TTTTACGGTACATCGCGAGGTGGAAGGTGATATTTGGACATCCGCGAGGATACTTTGACGCTGCGAGATGCGAAGAGACTTTAGGCCGCCTCGAAAGTCTTTCAAGTCGTCCTCGCGGAGCCTTGAAGAGAGGTCTCTTGGACTTGAGCGAAGCTCGAAGAATCCTCGAAAATCTGCCTCGCGCACATTGTATCGGACTTCATTCGAATATATGTATATAGTATGTCAAAAAAGAAAAAATATATATATATGTTTATACATATCTAGAAACACGGCGATTTATGAGACTGCCGGCGACGGTCTGACTAACACGGAACTGACACATCGAAGCACCGCGACCAGATCTTTAGTCTTTGATACCGTGACGTGATTCAGGCGACCGTGTCCTACATCGAGAAATGGCGAAGTGAACGGCCAATAGCGAAACCATTGCCATACCGCGAAGCATTCTCTCCTCTGTCTCTCCCGTCGTACTCTCTCCCGCTCTCTCCAAACATGGAAACCGTATTTAATAAGCCGCTCAGTTTCCTCAAAATGTATATCCTCGCTCCCTCCGACGAACATCCTTCCTCTGCTAAAGCCGCGTTTTTCAACTCGGAATACAGATTCCCCCTTTCCCTCCCCCCTCCCTCCTTCTTTCTCTCCACCTAGCCTCCTCTATTTTTCCTCCATCATTGCGAAACACGGGAAGACGTTCTCTCTTCTGCCGTCGTAACGATTATCATCGGTAAACACCGGGCGATATCGAAAGTGTCGAATTTTAATCATCGTCGATCCATGGCACAGAAAAAAACACAAGACTGTTGACTGTTGACTATTCATCGTGCAAGCATATTTCTCTGAATATGCTAGTTGAGAAACATCTCGGCAGAGTCCGACATCCCCAAGAGTCGCAGCCTGAGAAACCGTAGGTTTTTCAGATACGTAACATCTCGAGGTCAGACGATTCCTTTTATTAGTGTCTCTCGTTTTAGTTATTAAAACATTTAATGCGTCGTCCTTGCGCTCGCGCTCTCGTACAGGAACGCGCTCTTGCATTATTAACGAGTACGGCACGTGTCGTTACGTATCGCCGATAATACGGATCGTTATGTAACGCGTGATTTTTGCGCTCGATACCGTCGCCGCCTATCGCCTATCGCGAAACCGCCAGCCGCCAGCTTTCTGAAACTTTGCCGTCGATTAGCAGGCTCTAATTAACGTGAGAGAGTAACGATCCGAAAGTGGGATTTTCATCGCGCCGTGTAATTACCGCTGCTCGCCGAATGGCGGAATGGAGATGATCGCGTCGCGGAATGAATCTCGCGATCAAGGCAAATCAATGAAGGCTAGATGACAAGAAACGAAAGGATAAGATGTTATCACGTGTCGCGAGTCTTTATCGGACAGTTCCTCGACGACCTCTCTCTCGATGGAAGCTTCGAGGCGCCGCTCCCGAGTCCGCCCTTGGTCCCTTGGTCCGTAATTTTAATTTAATTTTAATTTTAATTTTAATTTAATTAATTTAACCGTAAATTCAACTCTGCATATTTCTCTCTCTCTCTCTCTCTCTCTCTCTCTCTCTCTCTCTCTCTCTCTGCACGAGATCTCTCGCCACTGGCGGGAAAATCGATCGGAGGCGTCCTCGGAGGTGACTCTGGCGCGGTGCGACCACGAGGTCTTCCCCGAAGCGTCCCGACGTCGTAGCTCGCGATGATCGATCACGCGTCCTGACATGTTTTGACGATTCCGCCCGCTTCCTAAAATTGTTTCCGCGTCCTCGCGGCTGATGCGAACGCGACTTTGGCTTCCCTGAAACGCCCCGGCGATTATATCCGGGCGGGAGGCCGAAGAAGCGAGTCTCGCGAGTCTGCAACTCGAAGTCTGCCAACGGCGTCAGCTGATGGCAACCTGTAGTGTCTGTTTCGCGCGAACGTATCGTGCATACGCAGTTAACTGGACAGCTTCCAAACAAACCGCCGCACAGTGGGGCCAGATGACACTTTTTGGTTGAAGACACCAATGGATGAGATTGATCCTGAATAAATTCCAAAGAGATCTGTCTAGCTGAAATTTCGAAAAAATTCTCGGTTCAGGGTACATGGGTTTAGGGTTTGTCTTAAAAGGGTTTATCGTTTCTAAAGTACGGTGGGTCTTGGGTCTAGCTATGGCTAGATTGGGTTCTTGGACTATTTAGGGCTCTTAATATATACGGCTTCATGCATCCACGAGCTAAAAAGTTCTCGGATTGATAGATTTCTAGGTTGATAGGGCTTAAGATTCCAAGATTCCCTCGGTTCTGTGCTCAACAGGTCTATATTTGATGTTCTTGTATTTCGGGCATATGAGTTTTGGGTTAATGGGTTTCTGCGTTCAAGATCGATGAATTTCGTCGAGGTGTCTGTTGATTGGTTTCATAGTTTCAATCCGCTGAATACGCTATTAGATAGATAAATAAGTGTCGAATAATGAGTATTTCACAAGTTTCTCGCGTTTTCCTCTTTTGGGGCTAGTAATTCGAGGAAAAACTTTTTTTTTTAATTTTTAATTTTTAGCAAGACAGATCTCTTCGGAATTTATTTAGGATCAACCTCATCCATTGGTGTCGATGATCGGTTGGAAATTTAGGTCTCTAGAGAATTTTCAACCAAAGAATGTCCCCATCTGGCCCCACTGCGCTGCTGTCGCTGCCGTCGCGACGCTCGTGACGCTCCGGACATTACGCTGATTCACGCTGAGCGAGTCTACCGCGAAACTACCCCGCGAAACGACCCGCGAAACGCGCTCGCGTTTCGTAAACATTTAGGCCACAAAGGCGCGAAACGTCGCAGTTGTTCGCGCGAGGGAGGTCTCGTCCTTCGGAGCGGAAAAAGATCCGACGGAAACAGGCAGGCCTCAGGGTTACGTCGATCCTTCGCGGAAGGCTGCCGGGCGACGAATTCAAGTCGCAAATTCGAGTCGCATCGATAATCCCACGCTCGAGGGGCAAATCGCTCGAGCGCAAAATTTAGTCGAAACCAAAGTGAAACGCAGTTGCACGCGCGATACAGATGTTGCTTCAGTCATCGAGAGGTTCGTCCAACTGCATAACACGAATAGGTAATCCCACCTCCGGTCGGGGGAAATCAAGGAAATCGGACGGTAAATACGACCGGTGATGCGTCGAAGCAGCTTTACGAGCGTCTCTCGTTGAGCTAAATATTGAACTTGCCTTACGCAAAAGAGATGAAAAGGACGTCTAAATCCGGATGGAAAGAGGCAGAACAGTCGGCTCGCCGCGCGTCGTTCGACCCTGACGTCGAGTTCGTTTAACTCGAGACTCGAGACTTTCGTTTCGGCCGATCTTGTTTTCTCTTTATTTACTGGCCAAAGTTCTCGGCGGAGACGAAGTTCCTCCTGAGCGAACATTTCCTGAGAGGAGCATTGTCGTGTCTCGCGATATTTGAATACCTAGCGCTGCCTTGCGAAGGATACCTTGACGAAGCTTCCTGATGAAGAGTTCCGTATAACTCAAGTGTCGTGTCTTATTTCTACAGAGAGCGCACTCGAAACGAGCACTCCAACCGCGGAAAAATCTTTCCAGTTAGTTCGACGTGGCTCGCGTTTTCGCGGACTCTCTCCCGAGAGAGACGTCTCCAGCGAGAGATGCTGGAGAGCGCTGGATTCACGCGATCTCCGCCGCCTGCACCGCGAGTCGAGAGTCGAGAGACGATTCGGCCGGTTTCGAGGAGCGGCAGACGACTCGCGCCACGGCGGCGCCCTTTCCGCGGTCCCTTTTACGCCAGGTTGGGCCCGGAGGTGGCATTGAACTTGAAAGGACGACGAGTTCTTCTTCTTCTTGCGCGGCGAGAAAAACCGGGGAAAAATGTGGCTCGGCCTTCGTCGGCCCACAGACGACCCTCCTCAACCGGACCACTTCGTTCTCGATTGCTTCACCGCGCCATCATTGCCCCCCTTCGGCCCGTGCACCTGGATTCCATTCGCGATGGAAATAGTTGATCGATCATCTTATCGAGCCTCTTATTTCTTCTAACAAATTGACATCGGATTCATGCTATCTTCATGGGAGATTCGTTCAAATTTCTTTTCTCCGCACGAAGAGAGAAGTGTTCGAGTGAAGTATGAGTTCCGATTAAAATTGTCAGAATTCAGTCTGAATTATCGAGATTTTTCGTCAGCTTCGACGGAATTCATATTTCTGGATCGCTCATATCTCGCCAGAAAATTGATTCACACTCGACCAAACATTTTTCTCCGCGAGCAATATTTACATTCGCTCTCTCTCTCTCTCTCTCTCTCTCTCTCTCTCTCTCTCTCTCTCTCTCTCTCTCTCTCTCTCTCTCTCTCTCTCTCTCTCTCTCTCTCTCTCTCTTTCTCTCTCTCTCTCTCTCTCTGGAGAAACGTTTATTTAGTATCGCATTAATATTTAATATCGCTGATTACATAATTTCCATTTCTCATTTCTGTATAATTATATTATTTTTTATGGGATTTAGAGGTGTTAAGAGGAGTTTTTGCAATACCGTCTCTCAGATACGGTAAACGTAAATCGTGAATACTATTGGTCGCATACATTGCGACGTTATTTCTGAACGAGTATTGCAAAAACTCCCTAATTTTAATATTTACTTCTTTATGCAACAGTGAATTTGATTACTCGAGTTGTCATATCCTCCAATCTCCGATTGGATATTCAGATCTTTGGATATACCCGAGTCCTCAGATCTTTGAATCTTTCGGTACTTCAACTCTGTCAAGTGTTTAGACTTTAATCGAATTCTTCAGATATCTCAATCTTTACATTCGCTGTTGGAAAAGTTCGTTTAATATCGCGTATTGATTTCGCGTACCTTGACACATCTTTCTTCATATGACTTGATGACATCGAGAATTTTCATGATTTTGATGCATTCTCGCCCGCAACGGGGCGATTTGACGTGAAATGCGTGTTTTCTTCTTTTTATTCTTTTAATTCCGCTTTCGTGCCTAGCAAAGTCAGCAAAACAATCTCTTTGTTGCAGATCCACCCACCGACAGTGTTTACATGATATGTGGGGTGCTGATTGCTATGGTTCTAGTGGGCGTCATCATCGTCCTGCTGGCCGTAACGATCAGGTGAGTATATCGTAGACTGTTCCGCCCTATCAGCAACGTTATCACGAACTGTCCTGTAATAAAAGTCCTGGCATGAAATAATCATTAGGAATCAACGTTAAGTCATTCTGACGTAGATGATTCTCCGTAAATTGTGCCGGTTGTTGATATGGTGATTATTACTTCATCTTGATTACTTATTTCTTAGTGTCTCAGATTAAGTTTCATTCATTATCACAAAATGCTCGATACGGATTTAAAAGTCGCATCGACTCTTTGATTAATCGCGGGAAACTCTCGAAATTAGTAATGTCGCTTATCGCTTGAAAAATAATAGAGATACGCACTTCACCGATAACGCGATAATTGCGAATTCGCGGGAGTTATAATTTCACAATAATGCTACGTCGGTTAAATTTTAACATCCTTCTCCCTTTCATTTATTCGTCGTTCGTTTCCTCCGACGAAGCGAATTTTATAATTCGCGGCTCTCCCAAGAGAGCGGTACAGTCATGTAACGACCGCTTAAACGTGATGACACTTTTTACACTCGATCGACACGTCATGTATATTATTTCGTCCTTTACACGCTGAGTCATCAAAGGTTCTAATTAGATAGCCCGCATTAGACACCAAGTGTGACGGTACAGCTTCGCGAGTGACGTGAAAAACGACGCTAAAACGCGCTCGGAGGAAAACGAGCGTGGGTGGAAAACAGCGAAGGAATGGAATAATTTCGCGTGACGAAGACGCACGCGATAATTGCACCCGCTAATTGGACTCGCATCGGCGAATCAGGCGCTGAAAATCGCCGCCAATTAAGGTCAACTGACTCGCGAGTCTCTCTTTCTCTTTCTCTCTCTTGCTCTGCTCCTCTTCTCTCTATTCGTCGATTAACAGCGATGCCGATTAAACACAAAATTCCCGTATCCTGTTGCGCAGGATGTCACGGCATCCTACATTGTACGAATTTCGCAAATCGCGAGGGGGCAAATAGAAACCGTTACGGCTTCGTGCGAAATTCCTTCGCTGAGCAGTTTTTTCCCCAATTAGACTTTCTGAGGTGACAGCTGGACCCCCCCTGCCTTCTCAGGTTGACTCTCTTCAAGTTCTAATTAATCTAATTGATGGAGCCGGCAGAGTCGCCAACGAGGAAAATAAAAAGAAAACAGATTATTATAAAAACGAGTGAGGAAATATTCTCTTGCCTGACAATTTTTAGCTAAAACTGTCATCGATCAGACAATATCGACCGCTTTATTCCGCCAAAGTGCAGAATTATTATGAAATTTTTGGGTTATTAATCGCCAAAGACGGCGAAGATTGCACGGCTAGAGATTGCCGACGGCGATCCCGTCGGTTAATCGCCGATTAGTTTAATCGGAGGTTTGGTGAAAGTCACCCTCGCGCACATTTCTCTCGGCGAAAACATGCGAATATCACCGCGGAGAGCCGCGGCCATTGAGAAGAGAATCGAAAGGTTTGCGAGATGGCGCGCGGATTTGTTTTACGTTAAAAATAACGCCCGAGTCCGAAGAGCGAGTCGGATAATCCCCGCGCTTAATCCATTTTTCGTTACTTCGCGTCTCGAGTCTCTCGTAAACACGCGAATCACGTGTCGATTCGCGTGCGTTGCGTTAAATTCGCGGATTACCGGGAAGTAACGCGGGGGAAGACCGACGGCGACGTCTGCTTATCGGGGACTTATCCGCCCGTTTTCCCCCACGATCTTGACATTTACAAACGATACGGGTTTATTGACCCGCACACGTTCGACGTTCCGCGAAACTTCGTACAAACAATTGTCGCTGCCAGACGATCGATTGTATGTGTATGCGTATCTGTGTGTGTCTCTCTCTCTCTCTCTTTCTCTCTCTCTCTCTCTCTCTCTCTCTTTCTCTCAAGCCGTCAGTTCCGCCCGTTCTGCGCGCATAACAACAACGATATAAATACGTACATATACCTATATATCGCTCGAGTCGATACGACGCTCAACGAGCGAGTATTTCGGCAGAGTTCGCAAACTTCTCTATATATGTATAAATCAAACTGAGAACCTCCATTGTGGTTTTCATGTATAAAAGCGTCCCCAATGTAAAACATAAAGTTGTGCGCACATGCGCATCGCAAGATCCCGAGAGGTAAATGTAACTGCACCATACAAGCGTTTTTACTCTCCAGGAAATGTTAATATTTATCCAATATTTAATATTTATGTGAACATTGAATGTGTCATTGAATATGACATTGCAAGAGGCAATATTAAATATTGGATAAATATTAACATTTTTTGGAAGAAAAATGTCTTACGGTGCCGTACGCACCGTGCAATTACATTCCTTTCGGGACCTTGCAATGCGCATGCGTGAAATTTTAATACATAACTTTTAGAGGACGTGTTAAAGAGACCAGTTATCGGTCTAGTGTATATAATATAGAAGAGTGTGGCAAAGTTCCACAAACACACAATCGACCGCGGCACGTTCTCTCGAAAGCGCGTCTGGCGCGCGCGCGCGCGATCCGAAATCCGAAGTCGCAGAACCGATGCCGAGCGACTGTGTGAAAAGAGAGCATTTCAATTCATTGAAAAGAGGCAAAGCAGAGATGCGAAGCGAGCGGAATGAAGACGCGGGAGCAGACGGAAAACAAGAGCTCGAAACTCGAGAGCGTCCGTCCGTCGTTCGCGTCGGTGTCGCGTGGCATCGAGACGCGTGCTGAAAACGGCGCACAAACGTCTGGCGTGCGCGTGCGGCACCGGACGGAAATAGCGATAAAGGCTCGACGCGTGGCTGCTCGTGTATATTTTGTTTCCCTTTTGGACGTTCCTCACTGGAACACTACCGTCGTCGACGTCGTCGTCGACGTCGCCGTCGCCGTCGTCGCCGTCGTCGCCGTGAGACACCGTCGAGACGCTGCGAGGCGCCACGAGGAGCGATGTCTTCATCGCCGCTCCGTCCCTTTTCCCGAGGGAGACAAACGAGCACCCCGTGGAAAAGGGAAATTCACTCTCTCAATTTCTCGCGGTGAAATCTCACTCGGAGATAGCGAATTTCTGTCACTGGGAGAAAAGATACGTGGAAGATAAGAAATATTTATCGTTGGCTACCAACGACACCTTTATATGCGCTAATACTTTTACAGGAAGAATTGCTTTTAGGTGAGGTGAAATACATATAAGGTAAACGTCCCAATGACCAGACACGTCCCAGTATCCGATTATTTTGAAAAAAAATATTCATTATTTATTTTAACAATAATGAATGAAAGTAATAATTATTGTAAGAAAAAAACTAATATTTAACGGTTAGTTGGAAAAGAATATATCCAATTTGATGCTTTTGTATTAAAAGATAAAGATTAATTAAATAAGTATACACTTATAATTTGGCAAAATAACGGTCAATCGTTAATAAATTTATTAAAAGATAACATGTATATATATTTATATAATTTCCTGTTAGCGCATACTAATTTTCTAATTGCTGTCAGACACTGGAACAAATTATATCCAAACATTGGGCCGTAACTTGTTTCAACTGGTCCGATCACTGGTACATTAATGCGCTTCTAATTACTTGTGTAAATATTTCATTAATAATACACATATATTGATTTAAATAATTTCTCTCTACTTAAGGGAACTACTTAAGTTTTCGAATAAATACAAATATTTACATTAAAACTATTCTTAATATTATATATTGTATTTTTTGTGACGACCGTACGCTTAAAATCCGGTTACTGGGACATTTATCTTATTTTCTTCAAACCGCAGCTTTTCAGCTGAGCGATTGCTTGTTCTATTTAAATGAAAGAGATTGAATTTGACTGAATATGTTATTAGTGAATTGAACGAGTATTTTTTTATCCTTTCGATGTTTTTCTCTCAGTGTGTGAGTGATCTAATCGAGCTTGAAGTATCCGACTCCGAAGTCTCTCGAATCATCCGTCATTTTACTTCTCCGTTGAAATTTCACTCCAAGGAACTGAGAGAGCTGCGCTGAGAGAGTCGGCGCATATCTACCGGTTGCAGAGAATTGCGCGTGAAAACATCGATGAAACATCAACACGCGATCCTAATCACCGCGACAATGTCGGAAATTACGGAGAGCCGTCGCGGAGGCCGAGATAAGGAAAGTTCAAGTCCGAATGCATCCGCCGCGGGATCGATTATTGGTTACGAGATATCGCTTTTACATTTTTCTGCCTCATTCCACGAATCACTTGGACAACTGCCTGGAAACTCGAGCCGTTTCTATTCTCGCCGGCGCTAAATGCGATCTTTTCGCGAGAATTCCCATCGCGTCACACGGAGAGTCCGTGTTCTTTCTCTCGCGTGGAAGCGAAGATTAATGCGACGAGCCGACGAAATCGAGGCAGTCTGACACGAACGAACGAGAGTTCTTCAGGACGGGATCGTCGTTGTACTAGCGTCGAATAGTATTTCGCGATATTAGACGTTGTTCGGCGCTGCAACCTTTTATCGCGCGTTCCCGCGCATTTTTGATAGGAGCTCTCTCTCTCTCTCTCTCTTTCTCTCTCTCTCTCTCTCTCTCTCTCTCTCTCTCTCTCTCTCTCTCTCGTTCCGAGGAGGAGATTTATGCTCGCGCAAATTGTCAAAATGTAAGACAGGCAGTCGCGTTGTCTGGGACTCGACCTTGTTTATCAGCTGACGAATGAGCAAACCGAGTGATCTACGATCCCGGATCACCTGTCACACCTGTAAACAAGCTTTTTTGTCGCTTCAGTCGCAGCAACAGCAGCAGCAGCGGCAGCGGCAGCGGCTGCGACTGCGACTGCGGCGACGGCAGTGGCGGCAGCAGCCGGCGTGGTGCTGTCGACGGAAATAAATTCGGCTTTTGCAATTTTCCGCGAAAATACGGGGTTCATTGTCATTCGCTCCTAACTTTTGTTCGCACGACGCGTGCGTGATTCACTCGTTATCGCGTTGCAGCCAGGGGCGCCGATAACCGGATCAATAGATCTCTCTCCTCCTCCTCCTCCCTACCAGCCCGCTTCCCGGTATCTACATCACAACGACCGGACGAAAAATCGAGCGACAAAGAGGAAGAGGAGGAAGAAACTCTATGACGATCGACTCTAAGAAATGGGAATCTCCTATCTACGCTGTCACGCACGAGAATAGATTTTGAATGAGCGGATATTAGTCGCCTTGAGATTATTAGCTCGCCTTATCTCTCTCTCTCTCTCTCTCTCTCTGTGGCATATTCTTTTGTTCCGTCCAATTTAATCTGGTATATCTGAAAAAGTTGTCAGTAAAGCTCTCCCCTCCCCTCCCCCGTCCTCTCGCCTTCTCGCTCACCTTTGCGGGTATTCTCATTTTATTTTATTTCGCTTTATCTCCTACTCGTGCAGCTCAGTTTTATTTTACTTCATTTCATTTAACTATATTGACTTTAATTTTATTTCATTTGACTTAATTTAATCCGACGGTCAATTTAATTTAACGGTCGAGAGATTAATCTTCTTCTCACGCCGTCTTTGTTTCATTGTGTTTCACGTTGTATTTTATTTCCGCTCTTCGCTACAATTAAATTAAATTAAATATCGCAGATAAAGTTCAGTCTGTCTCTTTTGTTTCGCTTGGCTTTCATTTCGAGCGTTCCATCTCAAAATGTAGTATAATTCGAGAAACTCCACGATGGACCGCATATGTAAAGGGGCAGCTTGCGCAGCTCCAAAAAAGAGCGAGAGAGAGAGGGAGAGAGAGAGAGAGAGAGAGAGAGAGAGAGAGAGATGAGGACCTTGCTTGCTATTATTGTTAAGTCAGCATAAACGTCACGCGTGTAACGCAGAAGAGAGCTCTGCGCGCGCATTGTGAAGTAATAAAGGCGCCGTTACAGTCGTTGTTACATAATCGCGGATACAGCCGGCTCTAAATTATTATTTCCTATCGCGGTCTGATAAGTCCCGGGCGATTCAGCGTAGATCCCCCCATCGCGATTGCCCTCGATTTTTCGAAATCGTTCGTTTCACCGAATTCAGCCTCATCCAGATTTCACGCCGTTCGATTCGATTTTCCGCTTTGCGCGCTAACTCGAGATTTTTTAACTCTCTTTTCTTATCGACTGAAATAATTCGGAGATTTATCGCGTTCGGCAGTGCCACGCGTCTCCGATTTGTGTATTCGATTTAAGTTCGATTCGTCATATATTTAGTTTTACCTAGCCTTTCCTTTCGATACGCTTTTTTCCCCCTCGTCTTGAATAATTTAACCACACGCGACATTCTGCGCTTTCCTTCGCGCATATTTCATGCGACTAAGTTTCACTCGCTCTCGATTAGTCGAAATTAATTCCAGCTCGATCTGATTTTGCTCCATTTGATTCGAATCGAAAACAGAGGAGCGCATGGAAAACGGCTTTGAGAATAAAGCGGAGAGGCGCTAAGTAAATCGCGACCGTCCATCCCTCATTTACGTACTTAAGCCGCATATTACGAAATGCACGCTACAAATCGTACAGATACGTCACGAAATTTTTGATATAATGCTGATAAAGTCAAGCGCGTCATGCAATATACTTGTGTCGTCGGGCCGTCGCAGAAAAAAAGAAGAGAAAAAAAAGAGAAAAACGACCTTCATTCGGACGCGTGAATCCCCCTAGCGGAGTACGCGCGGAGCGATTAAATGTTAAATACGTTTCGCTAATCATCGCAATACATCGCAATCGACCAAAGAGAGAAGGAGAGAGATAAAGAGAGATGGAGCGAGAGAGAGAGAGAGAGAGAGAGAGAGAGAGAGAGAGAGAGAGAGAGAGAGAGAGAGAGAGAGAGAGAGAGAGAGAGAGAGAGAGAGAGAGAGAGTGAGTGAGCGAGCGAGCAAGACACACACACACACACACACGTATAGCGAATGAAACGGCGACGGCGCTGCAACGGCGAAACAAGAGGCCACGGACGTCGCTCGTACCGCGTCGCGTCGGTTACGCGTCGCGGTTACGCGACATAAAGGCACATGTCCGCTGGTCGGCCTTCCGGCGCGACTGGCGCGACACTATGACGACAGCGCGCTGAACGCAGCGCCGGGACGTGCGGGACGGGCGACGTGTACCGTTCGAATTTCGCCGCGGCGGCGATTGGCCGGCGCCGCGCGTACTAGCCAATCGCGGGCGCGCGCGCTCGTGACGTCACAGCGAGCTACATAAGGCTTGGCGCGCGGTGCCGAGACTCAGATGCGCGCTGGCTTCGAGCGATGAACGAGTGCAGGTAGTCGAGAGTCCACGTCGGCTGCACGGCCTATCGGCAGTGAGACAGGACGCCGTGCGCCGTTTCTTCGATTCGTGTCCACGCGCGTGGAGGAGAAGAGAGACAGAAGGAGAGCGAAAAAGGGTGAGAGAGAGAGAGAGAGGGAGAGGAAAAGAAGGAAAGAGAGCAAGAGTTTTTCCGGATGATCGAGTGTCAAGGGTCCACGAGGCTAGTCAGTGCGAGTATCGCGCAAGTGAAAAAACAGTGAGATCCTTGTCGTGAGAGAAACGGAAGGAGTGAAAGAGAGGAAGAAGTCGCTGGAGTTTCGCTCGTACAGCTGTTTGATTGAACGAGACGCAGGCAGCGAGGTGCGTGTCGCGTGCGACGGAGACGGAGAATAACCTAGAAAAAAAGCTTGGCGCGCGTACGTAATATCTGAGAAAGAGAGGGACTGTGTTGAGTACATCCAAGCGGAAAGAGAGACAGAGAGAGAGAGAGAGAGAGAGCGATAGATAGAGGAACCAAATCCGCCATTCATCTGTGAGGCACATGAATGTATGCGAGAGTCTTGAAGATAAAGAAGGTTAGAAATTGTTCCTAAATCTCCGAGATCAGTCGTACAACGACGCCAAAGAGAATAAAAATCGATAAGGTGACTGATACTTCGTGGAAAGAGAGAGAGAGGGACAGACAGCTGATTTCACGATGACAGCTCAGCGTTCTGTGTAACGTAAAATCGCGTGAGGGAAAGGAAGAGGAAAGAGAGAGAGAGAGAGAGACTGAGAGTATCACCCACGTTCGTTTTATCCTCGTTCTTTAGAAATTCCTCGGTTCGTTCAAGGGAAGTCCAGAGCGTCTCGATACGTTCTCGGAGTGTGTGCTTTTTCCTTGACGTTTGAATAGAACGTACATTATTAGATTCCGCCAATAGCGGTCGCGTCGCGTGGATTCTCGGAGCTGTCGGGAATCCCGGAACTGCAGGAGAGTCCTGACGGTGCCTGGGAAGCTTCGTTCTCGAGAAGTCCCGCAAAAAACAGCAAGAGAAAGAGAACTCGCAGGAGTTCGATCGTAGAGATCTCGATCTCGATCTCGATCCCTACGATAGTCTCTCGCGAGAGCACCTTCGGCGGCTTCCGGCGCGCTTATACCCTGGAAGACCTCGAGGACTCGCGTGCCGCCAGGCGCGGCGGTGAGGAACTTCCGGGTAACGCGGACACGTACGCGAGGAGGAGGATAGGCAAATTCGCGAAGCTGTACCGCAAGTGCAGGAAAATGGTCGGCAGCAACGGAACGATGATCGCGATCCGCCTTGTCCGCAGCAAGCTGCGAAAGCGCGAGGATCATCACTCGAGCGCGGGCGCGGTGCACCCGGAGGCGACGGTGGTGCAGACGGCGACATCGCCGCCGGCGGCGGCGACGGCGGCGATCGTCGGGGCTCAGCACCATCCTGACGGCTGTTGCACGCAGATCTCCACGACTACCACCGTGTCGACCGATCTCGGCAACACCTGCGACGAGCACCATGTCTACGCCATGGCGACAGCGACGATGACGACGCCGTCCGCTAATCCGGTCGAGCCGTTCGCGTGGCAGTTCCCGCCCCCGTACCCGCCGCCCCACATGCCGCCGGCGCAGTACGCGTTGTACAACGACCAGGTTGGTGTGCTCACCTTGTATATTTTGTATTTTACGCCGGCGCGGCGCCTGCGCGACTACGCGGTGGTTCTCAACCGTTCTCGTCGTCGGCAGCTCGTCGCTGTTTCCTTTACCGCCGTCTGCGGGAAAAAGGGGCGCATTCGAATGCAAATCCTGCGGCAAGTCGGGGCGATCCGAATGACGGGCGCTATGTGCAGATTCGAGGTCTGAACTTTGTCTTCTACCGCCCGACTGCCGTGAACACTTGCGGAACTTGTCGGTAGAAACGAACACCAGGGGACCTAGATGGGCGATCTCGAATCGATCTTGAAGAAACCTTTCGAATCGATTCTTTTTTGCACAAGTCGATTCTTTCAGCAGACGAATCGACTTTCGATTCGTCGATATAACAACGATGATTATTCATCAGCGTTGTTGCGCTTAATGAAGAATTCAACCGGAGTCAACGTTCAAAAGAACCGATTTGTGAAAAACATCAAAAGTCGAGCAGAAAAGAGTCGATTTGAAGAACCGACTTTCGGAGGGAAAAATTTTTCGTTTTTCCGTCGCGATCAAGATCGCCCAACTCGCTTGAACTTTGCTCGGAGAGGAAGAAAGAAATGTCGAGCGGTAGAAGACAAACTCCGGTCGATCTAACGTCTCTGCGCAAGTAAGAGACGAGAAGACGTGGCTTCTTTCGCGCGAATGTCCTTATCTAGATCTGTCAAGACAGTTCTCAGTAGTTTTCGCTATTATAATTCTTCGAGGCGAGACGCTGCTAAAGTTCGGAAACTTCAACTACCGAGAACGCGCGGAACAATCCTTATCTGCGTTCGCGGCGCTGAGAAGCCCCCCCCCCCTCCGCCGGGAATCGAATTCGCCGAGATTATGCGGGTTGCAACTTTACCGTAACCTCCGCAGGACTGATTGTACATGCGAATGCGCGATAAAAAAAGAACAGTAGTTTTACAGTTACACGCGGTAGGAGCGGTGTATTTTCGGTGTGTACGTCCGTGACAACGATGATGATGCTGCAGAATTCCTTCGCGACGCACTGGCCCCGGTGTTCTTTCTGGTAGCTTCTAAATTATTTGCCTGGCAAAATACGATTAGCTTAGGTCAGTGGCATTAACTTCGAGCACGATCGCGCCAGTGGCTCTCAGGGACGCCGTTTACTCGACTCTTCTTCCAACGATACACACGCGCTTTTGTCACGTTCATATTCCCGAAGAGCGAAACGCGCGATGCAACGAGATCGAAACGAACCCATTCCAAACCCGAGGTCTTCAGCCATTTCGCAAATGAACTTTCCAAAAAGCCTCAGAAACTTCGCATTTCGATCTTTGAATCTGCCGAGCAAAAATCTCGCGGGGCGAGGGGGTCACGTGGGGCAAATTCAAGTGCCAATGGCACCGACGAGAGAGACAGGCCGCGCGAATATGAGCAACCGTTGACCGCCCTTTCTCGCGATCTATCGGTCGATCTAACCGCGCTCGCAACAGCTAACTGGCTAACCGGTGAAGCCAGTATTACCAGATTTTACTGGTTCGCCCCTGCTACGCCTCTGTTCAATGCTTCGAGGACGCGCGACGTCGACCGGAGACACCCGAAAAAGATTCGCAGGCGTAGAAAGCGGTGGACGCGGCCGCGATTCCATTGGGCTGATTTTCCCGCGACTTATGCGCGCGATAATGAGCCTTACGATTCTCTCCGTCTCTGTGACGAGCACGTCCCACGCCTATGCGTTTCACTCTGGAATCTCTTGTTGTTATTAATCATCTCAGTTGAATGGATGTGGAAACAAGGTTCGATTGAGAAGTGAATAGAAGCTTTTCTCTGCGACGTATCGAAATTTTAGAATATATCGGACGCCATATCCGACAGGGACTTTTTCGAAATGTTGTGACTTTTTTCACTAGAAATAACAGAGAGAAACTGTAATCTCTCGTCCGTGTACACTCTTCGTAACACTCGGGGGGGGGGGAATAGCAGCAAGTACCTTCGTGAATCGATAGTAGGGACAGTGACCCGCGGCCATCGCGGTTTCACGCTTCGTACGCTACTTTGGAGACGATCGATTATTCCCGCCGGTCGAGTCGCGCTCTCTGATTGGCTGCAGCTGCGGCGCGCTTTTTCACCGCCTTAACCTGGAACGTGGCGGAGCCGATTCGATCGTGATGTATAGAGAGCGACGTAGTGTTTCTTTTAATTCCGCCCATGCTCGCCCGGCGCGTCGTCGCGCGAACGCGAACGAGAGCAAAAGGAAGGAAAGAATAACGGAGCGTCTCGTAAAGACTAATTTGTCGTCGCTCCATTTAGACCGTCGCGCGCAATTAATCGATCGCACACGGCGGCGGATAAAATTTACGTGCGGGCGGTCGGCGACGGCGACAATCAGGCAGATTAGTTCCTTTATTTAGAGGCCGGCCGTCGGGAAGTCGCGACTTTATTTAGTGCACTCTCGAAATAGGCCCCCTCCCCTCCCCGCTCCCCGCGCGAGACGTCACGCGACGGGGAATGAATTAATATTGATCGACGAGAGCGCTGTTAATTTGTTAATTAACGACAAATTTAATAGCACAACGCACAAAGTTGTGTAATCCCGTGTAACGGTCCGAGTCGCCGCGACGGACAGCCACGGTTGAAGTAAAATTCTCTAAAGTGTAATAAAACAGCGGGGAGAGAGAGAGAGAGAGAGAGAGAGAGGGAGAGAGAGGAGGAGAGAATATGTATATAAATACACCGGCGAAATGGGTGCAGCTCTCGATGCTTCTCCGGCCTGACGCTAAATTTAGCGTCCCCGGTGGGCGTCTACCTACCGCCGCTCACCAGCCGGACCCCGAATAGGGTGCAGCTGTCGAGACGTTCACGAAATAACGTTTCTCCGTTGCTCACCGCGCACGCCGGCAGGTCCGAAACGGACGGCTCCACTATATAGCCACCACCGCCGCGGCGACTTTGGCCAACAATAGTGATTTACGGCGGATTTCAAAGCGACGATGTCATTACACGACGACGACAAGATGTCGTGTGTCCAACAAATACGGGGGCGCTTCTTCGCAGGCGCGACGGACTGCTGTCGGGGATCCTCGTTTCCCCGGTGGGTTCTTATCGCGATAATTTGGCCCTCGTCATGTCCCTCGGTGTTGGTAACGCCCGAGAAATTGGGGTAAATACAAAAACAAGTTCTTCAGGTACGAAGAGCTTCAGGTAGACGGGTCCTAACAATGAGCTATTTAGCACCCGAGTCGCTCTTGTCTGGCGATAAAAGTCTCGAGACGGGGAAGTGTTATTCCCTCGACAAGACTCTCTCTCTCTCTCTCTCTCGCTCGCTCGCTCTCGACACTCGGCGGAATTTCGAAAGAATGCCCGATGGAATAAAGCCTCCGATAAAGGTTATCGTTACGCTCAGGCGTTACCTGTTATCGAACGATCGTTGCACGTTCGATGTGCAATATACGAGCGAGATAAGGCGTTTCTGCTTGCTTCTTTGACTAGGATAACCCGATTGATCGATTTCCACTGCGAGGACTGTTGAATAATACAGCGTCGAGTAAAAATGGCCTCTCCCTTTTGCTCTTTCAGGATAACCTTGTACACGCTCTGCCGCCGGACCGGTCTGGATTCGCGAAGGGTTTCCGCAAGAACATCGGCGGGCGCTGGCGTCGGCTGGTGAAGCGGAAACCAGAGTCGGAGACCTGCGCCATTCCCCCCGAGCTGAAGGATCAGCTGAAGACCATCTACGTGTACTGACGGCCCACGGGCCTTACCCGAGTGCACTCAGTCCGGACGTGAGAAATCGAGCAGATAGATGGAAAGTGCGAGGAGGAGGAGGAGGAGGAGGTTTGGTATGGAGTACAAAGAGGACTCGATCACGAGGAAGGATGCTGGACCAAGAGGTGCTTCGATGCGGAGGGATCCGAGGAGAGCTGGTGACGGGAAGCTGGCGCGGTTGGTCCGGCGACATATCAGCAAGTGCCTGAAGAAGACACGCAGCAAAGTGCCTTCTTTTATTCCACGAAAGCGCCTTTCTTTCATGAGACTGATAACGCGAGAGAAATCGCGAGATATATAATGGGTGCGACAAAGCGAGTTACCTCGTAGCTTCTGCGTGCGCGTAGTTTCTGCGCGAGATTAGTATAGGCGAGAGAGAGAGAGAGAGAGAGAGAGAGAGAGAGAGAGAGAGAGAGAGAGAGAGAGAGAGAGAGAGAGAGAGAGAGAGAGAGAGAGAGAGAGAGAGATCCGCCGTAGCTCGGCTAAACCGAGTATTAGTATTAGCGTGATCGGCTGGACTACGTTAAGTGCGGGCAGCGCGCGATCGGACGAGCGTGTTCGGGCTTGAGCCGGGGACTTGGCGCGGAAAGAAGAGAAAAACGAAAGCTACCTAGGGTCACGAGACTTGTGTGGAACTCTCGATAGTACTATTGGCTCTTCGAACTCCTCCGGAGAGAAGAATAGTAAAGAGAAAAACCTTTCTCGAGTTCTTTGTCTCTCACGATCTTTTTCAACCTTTCGTTACGACCGAGCTCGGCTGCAAAACGAAAATGTGATCGAAACACGATCATGTCTTGTGTCATGTTGGCTGACCTGTAGTCAGCAGCCGTTCTCGAAGGTGCGAGTACCGTTTCTCAACGGACAACTCGGTAGCGACAAGGTTAAAAGATCTCGTGCTCAGACGGCTCCAATTTTATCGCTAATCTTCCATTACCTCCATGACGGCTACAAAGTTTCGATAGTTTGAGCGTGATGATGAGAAACACCACCGGTTGTTCTGAATAATTTTTCCTGCAGAGACTGCGGCGGACTAGGGGAATAGAACATTCGCAAAAGAAAAGAGCAAGCTTTCGATTTTCTTCACTTCTTTCTCTTTCTCTTCTCAGTCCCGATCGCGCGACTCGTGACTTGCAGGATGAGCTGGCAGTCGTTGTCTCCGTGGGCGATCCAACTGGGAAGCTTTAAGTATTAGGAACGAGAGATAGCATACGTATTTTACTACTTGACGTGCAAACTAGTCGTACAATGGACGGCGGGAACACTCGGCGGATACCGTGTGTTATTCATGCCATTTTCCCCGACGAAACAATACAACGAACTCCGTAACAACTCGTATACGTATCCAGTCAAAGCGAATCGGATCTATGACCCGTCGCCCTTGAAGCAGAGCCGACGAACAAATAAACTCGACTCACTTTGATTTCGTCGCTTGTACATGAATTTCCTCCTGTGAATAGTTGGACTACCTGCTCATCCTGCTGTCGACCACTCGCTCGCTCTCGTAATGAGCTATCGCCGAGGCCGCCGACGTAGAAATCGTATAAATGAAGTGTAAAAAGGATTCTAAGACGAAGCCCGCGGGATAACTGTCGAAAGGTAAACAGTCCTCCTCTGTGAGTAACACGAACTTTGTGTACACAGAGAGAGAGAGAGAGAGAAAAAAAGAGAGAGGAAGGGGGGGGGGAAGATTGAAGAAACAGAGATTGAGGATAAAGATAGAGAGAAAGAGATTAAGTCGATCAACAAGCGGATTTTTGTATTCCTAGGATTATAAAAAACCTCGAGGACTCGGAAGGGATCGCCCTCAGAGTTTGAAGAATTCCGAGGGTCTTCCCGCAGAACGGCAGTAAAAAAGAAGGTTATGGGATAGGGAGGGAGAGAGGGAAACAATATAACGCGGCGTCTCATAGTAATAATAAGTTAGACCAATTTAAGATTATCGAAACTATTATCACACTACGGCTCATATTGAGCTCGCAACTATCGCGACGCTGACGTGGTATTATTTCACTCGTACGCTCGCATTGACCCTTTAAATCGATGTTTGACCAATACCTCAACGCAGTCGACGAGAATAGAGTATTTCGTGACTGCTTGAAGCAACATCGCAGCATCACCGATGATAGACGAAAGAAAGAAAGAAAGAAAAAAAGAACGAAAGAAAGAAAGAAAAGATCTCAAGAGATAAGAAAAAGAAAAAGTCTCTCGAGAGTTACTCTTAGCATTGTTATAAAAACAAATTGGATGGTTATTTGTGTGTTCTTTTGCCGCATGTTTAATTACTGTGATAATTCAGTAATTAAATAATATTGACAATATCACGTAACAGTTGTTTTCCCATAGGTCTTTTTGTTTTTCTTTTCTCTTTATCCGTTTCGATTGTTCTTTTTATAAGCGAGCTGAGTTAGCGAAGGGTTAGTTATCGATTGAAGGGTTGAACGGCGTCGCGACGCCATGAAAGGAACTTCTTGCGCCAGCGATTAATTAATTTATGGAGATCGACGGACGTTTGATTGTGCGGAGAGTCCTGCGACTTTCAGCGAACAAGTGATCATGTTAGAATGAAGAAATACACAGAAACGAAATGTATTGTACGTCTAAGAAAAATGCGAGGATACGTCCAAACTGATTGGACTTTGTATTCGAAAGTTGCTGAGTTGATTTCTCGTAGCAGCTGTAAAACAGCTTGTAAAACTACGCGACTTCTTGCAGCAACAGTTTTTTACACGCGACAATTCTTTATCTTGACACGGGCCAGTATTTCTAGTATTTCGACTTTTTGCATTTGGAAGTTTTTCTGCCGATGTAGGTACGTTTTTCTTTTTTTAGAAGCAGAGGTGGTATGTGTATTCTTTGCGGAAACTCGCAGGTCTTTGCGAACGAATCGATAGTCCAGAGAACCGCGATTCTCGTTATAGTATTGTAGAGTGTAAATAACGAAAACGTCGACTTTTAGAGTTATTTTTAAGGGCGAAACCGACGAGAATCCTCGCGACGGCGATTTCACAACATGCTTAACGGACGCGACTTACCTTAACCCTTTGGAAATCATACAACAAAATTGAAGAGAAGAGTATCTGATACAACACTTTGTACACATTCAAATGACTTCATATACTATATTTTTACTATGTACGTGCAAAAATAATTTTATGACAATCAGAGGACCAACTTGTATAAAACTTGACTTGCGCGAAGTCAGTAGATATAATCACTTACTCGGAAGCACATTTCAGTTGGAAAAGAAAATCCAGAAAAATACCAAAAAGAAAAAGCAAATACCAGTGGGAATGATTAATTCGAGTGAAATTTACAGAGGAAACTAGAGAAAAATTAATGCAGAATGCATCATTTTTTATTTTTAAAAGTAATTAAAAGTAATAAATTTGTTTCTTTTTCATTAATCGATGTTCGATTCATGAATTAAAATTCGATAAAAAGATATTAAGTGATAAAATTCATAATTTGAGAAATTGAATCTCTAACATCGATATATCAAACTGAAATTGTGTACAGAATTGTTTCTCTACTGCCTTCGCAAAATTCGATTGAACGACGTGCCCGAAAACAGTGAAGATTATTGTAATAACTCGTTCTCGTTTTTTCTCCCTTTTTTGTATATAATAGCAAATATGTATCAGGACGGGGTTGCGCGCTCCCCGTCGCCTAGTCACTCACTCGATTAATATTTCGACGAAATATTGTAGCTGTAACAATCAGACGAGAAACAACCGGCGCAGCTTTCTCTTTCCTGTCCGAATGCAAATAATGATGTCGAATAAAGTAGTAAGAAACTGTTACAAATAAAGAGATCTTTTGATTTTTAATTTGCTCGCGAATCGCATAAGAGCAATCCTAAAACCACCTAGTATCCTTTTCACATACCTTTTGATTTATTTGAAGTAAATCCTGCTTCTAATATGTTCATATAATAATATATTCATATTCAATAACAATATTCACACTAAATTCAAATTCAGTTTTTCTAAGTAATATGCAAAGGTTGAAGTGTCAAGTTCAACCTTTCACGTCCAATTAAAATATAAAAAAAAACATCGTTCCATACGTATTGCGAACCGTTAGGTTTTTCATTTCTTTTGTCACTGGCTGCTTTAGTTTAAAAGATGACATTCTTCTCGCCGCTATTCGTACTTTTACATTTTCCAAATTTAACGTTGTCCTTGGATCCTTGCTAGTCCCAGACAAAGAAAAGGCAAACCTATTGTCATGTGACATTACATGTATCATAAGAAAATCTAACCTAACCTAACCTAACCTAACCTAGGTTATCTCTCTTAACCTGCCAGCATCTAATATACTTAGGAAGTAACCGTCAAGATCAAAGACGTGAACATTGTGGATATTATAATATAAATAATTATTAATGAATGTATAACACAAGATCGCTGACGGAATTGGTATTCAGAAAAAGTTAGTGTACTAGCTTAAATTGAAATTGTTCCATTTCCTTTGTAAAATCAATTATATCTTTATTTATTATTTTCTCGTCATGGTTCTTACAAACACATTTTACTTATAAATTTGTCGCTTGTACATACAACGAAATAATCGATCAAAAGTGTAAAAGTTTGTGTAAAAAGACACATCAGTCTATATATGTTGGAAGATTCAAGAAAAGATAACTCTTAAGACAGACTTCTGTGACTAACATTTTTCCTTCATTATATGGTTAAATTTACTTCCACTTGTCACATATTTTATTACCTATAAATTATTAGTCTTACTTATTATATTTGTAATATATATTTGAATGGTTCTTGTTTGTGAACTTTGATATACTGGTAATCATAGATCTGTCTATCTCTATTTCATTTTCATAAAATCCATAATATATATTTCTTCTAATTTCTTCTAATTTTATCTATATTATTCACATAAGAATGACAAATATGTGTGCCAATATAAATACAAAATTCTTATATTATATACAGACAACTTGATTCATTGGCAAAATATGAGTAGTAGTGGAGCAATGAGTAGGCGTGTGGAGAGTTCCATCAGGAAGAAATTAGAGTCTGCACTGAAACCGCAACACTTTGATGTCATTAATGAATCTTATATGCACAACGCACCCAAAGGCTCAGAGTCACATTTCAAAGTTGTAGTTGTATCTGAGAAATTTGACAAGCAACCTCTCATCAAGGTAAATATTGTTAATCAAATATTGTTATCAAATATTGTTATCAAATATCCTTATCCTTTAATAAACTAAACATTTTGTTTTGATTCTAGAAAATTTGAGTTATTTTCATAAATTGTGAAATTTAGAATAGTAGTTAGCATCATATAAAAATAAATTAAAAAGAACAATAACATTATAAGCATAACAAATCAAGTACAAAATAGGATGTTTTATTCTCATTTTGTTTTTTAATTTTTAATTTTTTACTTTTCTAGCGACATCAGATGATATATGATTTACTGCAAACGGAATTGGAAGAAGATATACATGCCTTGTCTATAGTAGTAAGTATGATTATCATTAATTATTAATTAAGTCTTGGCACAAAGTATGAAATATTTTAGGTTATATGAATTTGTTATCAAAACTGCTGTTAACAATTGCATGTTCTTGTATATATGTCATTATGTTATTATCCTTCAAGGCAAAAACACCGGAGCAATGGGAGAACAGTAATAAAACAGTGGCAGCGAGTCCTGCTTGCAGAGGCGGCTTTGGAAAATGACACTATTCAGTAGTGTCTAATGATCAGTTAAGAACAATAATAATGTAAGCCGCAAGAAAACAGTGTAAGTATCAATAAAAATGTATCTTTCTGTGATATGATATGAATAATGTCCAGTATTTATTGAATGAAGTCACATTGCATATGAAATATCTTTTACAATTGCACAAGAGGTTTCTTACGGCAAAAATCCAAGTTTACTCTGAAAAATTCATTCTCCAGATAACAGTATGTACAACATAACGGAAGTCTAATGCACTTTCTGAAAAATTTTAATTGAATTTAAAAAGAATTTGACCTGTTTAGTTAAATTCAATTTAAAATTAAATTAAAAAGTTTTTGATTTTAGATGTAAGAATAATTTCTTCTCTCTTTGATAATTATTTCTTCAAAAGTGGATTAAACTATAGTTATTTTTAATCGAAACGCATTGTTTGTTAACACGATACAAGCAAATTGTTAACCCCTTCTGTGGCACGGACGCACCGGTGCGTCCAGATCATTTTCGTGTTGTATTGAATTTTAAGTGTAATAACTATTGTTGTAGAATTTTTATCAAGTATTTTTTGGGTCGCTGATTACGAATTTCAACTTAGTTTTTTATAATTTGTTAATGAAAAAAAAACTATAATCAAATTAAAATGTCGGAAAATTGTAATTTTTTTTTTCACACACGGGATGTGTGAAAGTGAGAAAAGGTGAGAGGGAGAAACTGAGGAGAGACCGCGGCGTCTGATAGAGGGATCGGCATCGTTTGACCACAGCGCCTAAAGGAATCCGAGTGTTCGGTAGTACCAAAAAACAGAGGATGTACGACGAAAAGCGAGCAGCGAACGAGTCAGTTCGCAGCGAACAGCAAAAGCGTTTAGAGCGGTTTGATATAAAAATCGTTAATTTAGTGACTTGAGAAATGACCAATTATTTTTATTTATAATATTAAGCATTTCTAAACATTTTAGTCGCCATATTAGATCCGCCATTTTGAATTTCTATATTTTAACCTCAAATTCGGCTTCAGCGACCAAAAAAACTGAAGTATACAAATTATTGAGAAAATCCGCCCCGTCATTCTTTTGGGGCGGTTTCAGTGCATTTTACTAAATTTTGCTCTGCCACGAAAGGGGTTAATGAAATTCATTGTTCTCTCGACCTTTTCTCTGCACTTATTTTATAATTTTATAATAAAACTTCCAATTGATACATTAACAGAAAGAAAGTAAACTAAAAGTAAGTGAGCCAGTAAGCATCAAAGAGAAACTACTATATTTGCGCTAAAATGCGAAACAAGTGGCAACGTCAAAACAGTAGCTACAATATAAAAATGTTGCGACAAGCAGTTGTAACTTTTGCCGTTTGTATTATTTTCAGTGTGTATACATGAGAATATGACATTAGCATAAACATTTGTTCTTAGAGTTTGATAGAAAAAATCGTAATGTCAGTTTCATCGAAAATAGCAATAATTCGCGTGTATTCTCAAGGTTTTGTCGAAACTTTGTCATGCTCTTCAGTGAACAATATCTGACTAAGGTTTTGTAGAATAGAAAGTTGACCAATTATCAGCTGTTAGAAATTTTATTGTTATTCACTCACAAGATTCCGATGTCTGTAGAAGATCGAAGTTGCGAGAACTTGAATACTGCCACTTGCATGTTCTGACGCACACAGCAGCGTTTCACTGGCTATTACTTTTGCTTTCTGATTGTAATTGGATGTGCATTTAATTAATTGAGTTAATTCTAATATATTAAATCGATTTAATCCGCTTCGGTATATCAAATTGATTATATTAGTTAACAACTTTGTACACACTTTATCGATACGAGATCTTTCGGAGTTGCGAACATGTTGTAAATTTGTTTTAAATCTATTTAGGGACATTAGTTGCGAGTAGAAAAGGTCTTGAGAATTTGAGAAATTTCGTGTGACTCGGAGACGACAAGTTGTGCAAACAATGCTACAACCAATGCAGCTGTGTAATGAATAATGAAAGTGACAAAAATAAAATGATGCACTAATGTCATAAAGAGAAGGTGTCCAGTCTTAGTTTTCCCTCATTCTCTATGAGATAAAGCATGTCTGCCATAGATTGCTCAGCTATCGCCTCCTCCGCTCTTTCGTGCATCTGCGAGAGAATCACAAATAATGCGATTAATATCAATAAAACTTAACAATAACCTCCGAAATTCTTGAAACACACTCGTATACCTTCGTCGAATTTATAATTATGCGAATAAGATTGCGAAATTACATCGTGTGATAACGCTACATTGATTTCCCGCAAGTCCCGGCTCGATCGTTAATGTCTTGAGCGAATACTCGCGATCGGGGATTAAGTCGGCTTAAATCGTCAGTCAATACGTGTTCTCGATTGCAAGAAACGACCGAGAGGTGCGGGAATTTACTTACGCCTCTAAATGTCACATTTGTCGGCGGGCATTTGAAGTTTGGTCCAAAGTTAACGGATACAGTCGCGCTTTTGAAAATCGCAATTCCAGGATAGTAGGCGCCCTTGTTAAGCTCGTGGAAAGCATCGCCTTGGTTGATGCCGTTCTTATAGAATATGATCTTACTGCCTTCTAACGGCTTCAGGGCCTTTACCGCCTCCGTCACTTGATCTTTTTCTTCGTAATAAAGATGACTCTTGAATTTCACTAAAGGCTGAAGCGGGGAATCGAAAGGAACGAATTAATTCATAAAGACATCTCGAGAGCTCGGTTGCTCTCGGAAAATTTTGTAGTCTTGCTTGTCGCGAAATCTAATTCACTACGAGAATATAATCGGAGTATCTCGACAATCGCGTCTCTATTTCTGCAATGTTGCGCTCACCCGGTCTTTGTAAGTTTTTGGTATGTGCGATGCGTCGTGCGCGTTCGGAAGGACTATCAAGAAGCCCAACGTGTCACCTTCGCTGTAACCGTCATTATAGTGCTTACCCCTGCTCTCGTGAAATCGCGTGCCTTTCCTGTCAATCGAGAAACCCGTTATTTTTTTTGTATCTCTTTTCCGCTAGGAAATACATATAAATAACAGAGAACGACTAAAAGATAAAGTTAATTTTTAACACGACTTTGCAGAAATATCTATTTGTTATTAAAGCCATCAGAGATTTTGTTAGGCTCTATTAAACATATATTCGTTATTAGAGAGAATATTTGTGAATAAAAGGAAGTTTCATCTTTCGATGAGATATTTTGCCAATATTTTACAATCATGAGGACAGTACCGTGATCTCCAAGAATAACCAAATTTATCATAACCAAGCGGAGTCTGCAAGTTCGCGTATTCTTGTCCCCACCCGAGCCTCGTGGCTGATCCTTCTGGCATTTCTTCAATCGTGGCCTCCCAATACCAAGTGCCTCTGCTTACACCTGCAAACTCGTTGATCAATCGGGATAATCCGAGTATTCACGGTATTCCAGAAAAAAAACTGAACATTATCACGTATGTCTTAATCAAAATCAATATACTGCGGACTGCTGGCTGACGCACAGTGAGTTGCTCTGATCATGCAGTGTCCCTTCTCGCCGGTGACCGCTAGCCTATCCTCGGAGACTTTGAGTTGCGGAGCACGGTCATGTAACGCTAACAACACCGAGCTCGGACTAAGAGCGCGATACAGCCATCCAGGTATGGGTTTGCCAGCCCAATCGCTGCTTTCGTCAAACTCCTGTCCGTAAAATCAACCGTCGTATAATATAATTGGCGACATATTTCATGACGACAAATGATGATATCATGTTTGGAGAACTTAGAGTAGAAATTGCTTTTTCTCCCTTCTTTCCTCTTGGAGTCATTATTGATTGACGACAGAATCAGAACAAAGTGTATACCTGTCGGAAAGGTGCATGAGGATCCGGTTCCGCCAAGATATACCTGTAGCCATCCTTATTGAAAGGATGTTCTAGCGGATAACCATGTGCTGGCAACTTGGGTGCTGCCATGTCGGATCCTCTTCCTTTTTTCCCGGAGCTTGTGCCCGTTCCTTCACCCGGGATCTTGCGTTTCGTACTACGACCTCGCCATCCGCCACTCAGAGGCACTGTATGTTCCATTACGGTATCTTATTAAGACTTGCTTTTGAAAGGCTGCCGCAGCAACGTCGTCCTCGATGATCCTTTTCCCTTTACTTCGATCACCGTTTCTCCTTTTTTGTTAGCGCATTCGTGTCCGCGACAAGATCGATAATTCAATTCTTTCTCCGAGCCGATTGATTAATTTACGCTGGGACGATGAGTCGTACGTTTGCAGATAATAGCGTTAAAAGCGATACGATACAAGAGAGGCAACATCAAAGACGACGTTTGCAGCTTTGTAGTAAGTTAGGGCAAAGTTTATTGAGCCGATTTCTCTGTCGTGATTAAAGCTTGGGTAGTTTGTGATAGCGAGTTGGTGATTGTACCCGCGATAAGATAAGTAGTGACAGATTTATCTGCACACATAGCTGTGAATAAAGCTCATTCTAGGAAACTTTATGTTTCGAGATGTTGCAAAAAGACGAGAACTCAGTCAAAAGCTTGATACATGATAAAGATAAGAAGGAAATGTTGGAATGAAAGTTTAAACATCCGCATATCGAAATATGCAAGATGATATGTTGAAATTGTTAAACTTGCACGTGTATCCTTTGGTCAACTCGAAATCAATCTGGATCTTTCGCGAACAAAATCTGACTAAGCAAATTAACATGTTATTTTGATAAGTTTCAGATTGGTAATATTAATTATTCAGTTATAACTTGATTTTGCACATGAAGAAGTTGCAAAAATCAAGTCGAGCTAAAACTGATGATGATAAAGAAAATAGTACACACCAACATGTTGTATGCCCATTTCGGTGACTTTAAGCTGGCCACCTTTGATCATTGCTTCGTAGTTCGGTTTGATCGATGTGAATTCAGGGCTGATTAGACCAAATACTTGACCTTCGGAAGTGCTCTCGTCCATCGTAAAGAGGGTACCAACATCTTTCAGCAGTGCCCTATGAATCTGGAAAAGATGACATAATCAGAGATAAGATGATAACCAGAGATTCGGGCCAAACTAGAATCTCAGTTGATAACTCATAAATATTTCATTTTTATTATGCGTTTGGTATTTGTGTGATGTATTTAGTGGTAACTATAAAGAAGATATAAAGAAGAATATATAAAGAAGATCGCAATTCGACAGCTCTCGCGAGCGTACCGTAGCGTGCCAAGATTGAGTGACTCTACGGGGCATTGTGGTCATACTTTCCCAATGACAATCGATAAATGGTATGATATCTCTGTCCTTGTGGAAAAGATTCCTTTGCTCGTTCTTCTTTTGACTCATCTGTAGCAGATTCGCAATCGCCGTCACGCACATCTGCGGGAATGCTGAAAGAACAAACGAGAACATGACCTATGGATGAAAAACTTATTTCATATCACACAAATTGTTCTTATTACTATATGCAATTCACACAAATTGTTCTTATTACTATGTGCAATTTTATATTTGATACGATCTGATATACTCACATGCTTGATTTTTCTTGTAATATTCCAAACCAGTTTGTGAACAATTTTTGCATATGAATGTGTAGTTTACCATGAATGGCACAAGCTTGCCCAGCTGATATCCAATGCAGGACTCGTGGAACCAACGTGAACAGCTGGCACAAAGCAGCTCCACGATATTTGGGTTCCTTTCCTTACCACTGCATGGATAGCATTGTCAGAGGCAAGAGTCACAATACAAGAATCATCACAAGAAGTATAGTGTTGAAAAATTTGCTATAGATTGCTTACCAGTAACAATTTCCACTGTCATTGTTTCCAGTTCGTCCTGCCTTCTCGGCTGACTCATCTTGCTTACTACATCCTGGCTTTGGTTCATCCTTTTCATCAGGCTTTGTTTCTGTCTTTTCTTCAGGAATCTCTGTCTGTTCTGACTTATTGTTTGGACTGAAAGAATTATTGACATTCAATATGCCAATTACTTTGTTAAAAATAACTACAATTCTGATGTTAATGTTGAAATATGACTTATATACTATGTTTATTTTGAGGTTTCTTAGTACCCAAAATTTTTAGATTAACATTCTATACATTCAAGTTTCTTCTTTAATTCTTGTATTCTGAAATGTGTCAAAATTCCTGGTTTTATTAAAGAGATTAATTTTTATATCATTAATTCATAAAATTTGAGATTATTGAAACTTTAACTCTCTTCCACATTAATTATCCATATTTACAATCAATTTATCAATATTTACAAATCCTTTAATTACTTATACGTCATTCTATCTTACGATAATTTCCTTTTGCATTTATAAATATTTCTGTTACTCGGACTTTAAACTTTTCAAATCGTTTGACAACAATCAGCAGGCAGGGATAAAAACATAACCCTCATTTTATCTGATAAATTAACCGGTTACAAGATATAAATGTAAGAAAGGATATTGTAGAATATATAGATGAACGTTTCGTACCTTTCGCTTTTTTCCATTGTAAATTACTTTACACTCCACGAAACTCACAATATATCTGTTATAATAATATATTAGTTAATATTGAACAAAGAAACTTCTCCGCGCGGCACTTTCCCACGCGTGCGTAAATACGACTGATTGACCACGTGGCTACCTCGACAAACTCGTAAATATAACGCAAAATGTTTTTTCAAATCCGTAAAAGTTTGATTTATTAAAACTTTGATACGTTACATGTATATATATATATATATATATATATAATAAGAAAATTTCTTTCGTTGAATATTCGTATAATAAGATGGCGGACTAATAAGCCTGATTACCGTTATCCTTCTTTTTATTCACAAGCACTTCATTTTCTATCTTCTTTTAATAATAGAAACGACGATATTCTTTATTTATATGAACGCAACAAAGAATTAAAAGCATCTGTTAACGATTACTTTATGCACATGCAAAGCATTTCTCTTTTCTGCCCTATAATCCTGAATGGCAACAAATTTGTTCTTTTCAGCCTAATGAGAAACTTAAGTTTCCCTCTTTCAGACGTATCTGTTACATTTTTTAGATCTACATATATTTTGAAAAAAAAATAAACAAGGTTTCCGACTGATCACTGGATCGTCAAACTCGAAGGTAAAGGAATCTCTAGTCGGTCATTTAATTTTACTACTTGATAATAAAGCACGTCTGACTTGTCGTCGAGTCGCATCGCGACGCGAGCGACCTCGAGCCTTCATAAAGTAGCGACTCGTAGTGGAGATGTTGGAACTAACAAACTGAGTTTCTCACGACACCGCTAGATGTCGCCGAATAATCCGTTGTGCGTTCAAAATATCGGCTCCGAAACTTGCCTTCTGCAAGCCGCCAAGTTTTGCATGGTTTAACACACAACGATTGGAAAACCATTTTATTTTCAACTTTTACGTTGCAACAACAGCGATAAGACCTAATTTTCGAGAGGTACGACTTAACGATACGTTAGATGCACCACATCAACATTACATGTACGTTTATCCCGTTATTTATCGCATCTCTTCAATATTTAAGGTTATCATTTGAACGTTGAATCAAACGTTGAATTAGGATCTTCGAGTAAGAATGTGCATCAATAACGTTTATTGCTTATTGTAGATTATATATATGTATACGAGCACTTAAAATGGCACGGGATTATTTGAAGAGTGGAATATTTTTCGAATATATTTCATTTTTGCGTCGTAGAATAACGTTGAAGACTAAGCTCGGAACTCAAACTGACCCTAGAAGAGGCCTAGCGTCCTTATTTTTATTACGTGGGAGTTCAGAGTTATTACGTGGGAGCTTATATTGCGCATCGTAATGATGAATCAAGCCGCACAAGAACTCGGGTCATATCCGGACGAAGAGGACGATAGCAATACCTGCCGTTGGGGGGCGGAGGAGAATGTATTTAAGGGTTAATGAAGGGGGTCGATCTCGCTACCGCTGCCACCGCCGCCGCCACCGCCGTCGAACTTTGTAATTTCATGGAACGCGAGCGAGACAGAAACGAAATTTATCGATAATAACGGCGCGAATGGCGGCGGCCGGAACGAAAGGATGGCGTAGCGGCGGAGAGGAACAGGAGGGAGGAGGGAAAGGGGTAAGTGGAAAGTTGAAGGCAGGGCGAGAGCGGTGGCTTCAGCTGACCTTTTTAAGCCGTGAAGGGGAGATTCGGTCTGCTCGACTGGCCCGTCTGTCCCACCCCTGAAGTCCCCGCACCATCACGTAATGATGCGCAGCGGTGCTCAACTTCTTAAAGAACCCGCAGTTGCCATCAGGGGTTTTCAATGAGAGCACAGGTAATTTGCTTTCACTATCATTATTATTATTAGGTAATCTACTATTATTATTTTCTTTACAATTATATACATAATCTTTCGTTCAGTTTAATCAATTCAGTTTAATCAACTCAATTTAATCAATGTTGAACACGTTTATGGATTAATTTTGGCTATTTATAATTTTAGCAAGATTTAAAACTCGAATTGAGAGAAAAGATCACTTTGCTGTAAAAATCACAAATGGAGGCTCCAGAATTCTAGGAAGACTCATGTAGTCAAACGTAATCTGGACTTCATATTGGAAATTCAAAGACCTTCGGCTAGGTAGAAGCTAGGACGGCGGAATTACGAGCGGCAATTTTTCGCGCCTGGTATGAGTATGTATGTATAAAGTATAATATACGTAGAGGGAGAGAGAAGAGGACGCTTCAGGGTTGGCCCAAGGGGCCTCATTCTCTCCCTGCGTCTCGCGCGGGTAATGAAGGGTCTGCCGTTCACGTATCTCGGAGGTGTGACCCCGTACGGCCCTTTTATACCGCGCGATTTTATACTAAACTCGCCAGCATGGTGAATGATGCATTATCTAGAATGTGAAAGCTGTTGGATTGTACGTTGAATCTATTAACGTGCCGCTATTTCCGGCCGAGACAACGCCGGGATGTTGTAATTCGAAATGCAAAAAAATATTTCCAAAATATCTTAGAACATGGTAGAGTAAAAAAATATAAGTGTAAAAGTATAAGTAAAGAAGCCAGTTATGGGAGAAGAAATATGAATAATTAATATCGAAACTTAATAATAATATCACTTATTGATCGAACAACGGTCGTACCGTTGACTTGGACCGAAAACTTCAACAATGCGATATCCGCTTGTAGAGATTTAATTAAGCTACTCGATAATAATCGGAAAATCTAGAAGGCAGGATAGAGCGATGGCCGTCGATAGTTTTCAACATTCATTTCCCATCAGCGAAAAGGTCGTGACTAAGATGAAAAAGAGAGAGAGAGAGAGAGAGAGAGAGAGAGAGAGAGAGAGAGAGAGAGAGAGAGAGAGAAGGAACGAAACATAGGGGCTGGAGGGGAGGGGGCAATTCATTAAAACTGCCGAAGGCGGCGAACGATTGCTTATAGCCTGTACTTGAAGCCGCGCATTAAATCTACGTTATTACAGGTTATTACCGAGTAATGAGAGACCTCCTCGCGCCATTTACGTATCTTCTGGCCTGCCGATGCAATCCCGTTTCTCTCTCCCTGCCCACCCCCCTTCGCCGACACCCAACCTCACCCTCATTCCCCACACATCCCATCTCTCACGTGAATTTGATGCGCGATGGAGAACACCCAGTACGCGTGCAATTTAATTGAGGGAGTAATTTTTCATAAATTTACTTCATGGAAAGAGTGAGAGATTGAAAGAAACAGAGGGAAGGAGGGAGGACGTGCTCGTATTGTATTTAAATCGACGGAGAAAAAGCGACGAGTGATTGAGGAGACACACAAAGGTTAAATTTGCCGAGCAGTCTTTTCCGGAAGAACATAGATCCCTCAAAAATCTACATCACCGTACCAAGTATACCGAAGATTTTGCAGGAGACCGTTTTGAAGTTTAACAAAAACACTCGTCAATTAGAACCTTGCGCGCTGCCGATTCACCGCGTCGGTGAGGGCACAGGGTGCTACTCGAGGTGGAAATAGCGAGCAAAAAGCAGAAATTCCCGCGTCCGGTGCTCCGGTTGGCCGCGCGGCACATGCGCGACTAATTACAATCCTCTTTGATGATTCGCCGCCGCCTTCTTAACTCTCTTCCTTCCCCACCGTCGCCGCCGCCGCCGCCGCCGCCGCCGCCGCTGCCGTGGCCATGCCGTCGAGCTTCACCGACGATCGCGTCGGCCGAGGAATACGTTTTTGAGCTCGTTGTTGGAAAAAAGTGTGCCAGCGAAGAGCTATCTTTCGAATTTTGACGAGGAAGATTGCCGCTGCCATAGAAAAAGTAAGTAATGATGTTATACAACAAAAGAAAAAAAAAAAGAACAAAATCGAAAATTTTCGCATCACTTTTCACCTTGTTAATTTCGTTAAATATATAAGGCTCCTAATCGTTAACTTCAATTTATTGTCCCATTGTTATAGCGGTGTGTCTAGGAAAGGGATCAGTAGTCGGGTGTTTCGACGAACAACCCGAGCCAGTATGACGAGCAAGGTGAAGGTCCTCCTCTGGTAGATTCAGCTGGCCGGGGTTCTCGTACCCGCGAGAGGCTGTTTGCGAGAGAATCGAATCGAGATTTTCGTGGGCAGACGTAGAAAAAGTTCAAATTCCAGCGGCGCAGCTCGCGTTTGCTTTTTGCTAACGCTTACGATTTCTCCTCGCTTCGCCTGACGAATCGTCTTCTCACGCTCGACAGCACGATCGGGATGACGTTTAATTTAGAATCGACCGGCCGCCAGGGGGTTTTTGTCCGTCATATCGAAGCGACGAAATTTCAAGACAAGATCCGAGCGTTTGAAGTCCGTTCTGTATCGGAGATACCTCGTCGCTCTTCTCCTCCTGCTCTTCCTCCTCCTCCTCCTGCTCCTAATCAGACCCGACAGGTCCGATGTTTTGGGGCCGCGCAGCCCGAAATTTCAGCTCCACCGAAAATTCGAATCCGCTCTCTAAATATCTTTATGTAAGAAGTTTCGCTCCAAGGAATATAAATATTTAGAGAAATCTAGAACTTTACCCAGAGTGATCCCGAATATGTAAAAGTGATGATTTCTATCTCTACGAATCATATCGGTAAGTTATCATCGATTTGTCATTTCGACAATTCATTCATCATTATTCATATAAATCGTAATTAATTAATTAATTAATCATTTTAATTAATTAATCACTTGTTTAACAACGGGAACTATATTAACAATTCGCACAAACTTTATAGCAAGCAACGAGACACGAAAGGGATATTAGATGCTAGACGCAGCCATGTCGAGAAGAAGGGACGAGTGCGCGCGCGCGACATACAAAACGCATAATTAGCACTTTTGCTTGCGAGGGGAAAATAAGACGGCGAGGACGGATCCCGTCAAAGGAAACCGGGGCCCAACCTGTCTCATTGTAGGTTTCTTTATTCTATGTTTCACGCGGCCTCTGCGCCGAGATACCCAACGTCGTCCTTCAATGGGCGTAACAGACCGCGTCGACTCAGGCCGAAAAAGGCCCAAAAGGAGTGGTCGTGGAAAGCCCGAAATCGTGTTAACACGCATTATGGCGAGCCCATAACGACTCGTCGACTCACCGCTGTCCAGAATTCACCCCGCGCTTTCCGAATGAAATACCGGGTCCTGTTTGTGGGCCGATCAAAGCCGCGTTTCTTAGATCCACCTGGTAACGTGATGAAGATCTTTCACTCCGGCTTGTTATAAATATTCAGACCGCGATTGAGTATTATTTTTGCAGAATTATACGGTTTTGCAAAAACCACATAAACCGAAACTTCAGTATTGCGAGAGAAATCGTCAATCGAATTGTTAAATCTGCGAAAGGAAGAAATCGTATCTCCCGAAAAATTGTTTTACCGTTCGCAAATCAATTAATTTACCGTGTGAAACAAAAAAGAGGCTTGTAAAAAATATCTGAGAAATCGGACTTACGGGTCTTTTCAGGACTTTTTTTTCGAAAGCCACCCTGCAAGATCTATTACGTATTTACGTGTGGAGCTTCAAGGACTTGCCGAGATGGGGTACAGGGGGACTTGTGAAAACCCACTCGGGGTATTGGGTCTCGTTCACCCCGGAACAAGAACACGACGGATGCCAGACGCCGCTATTGTGTCAGCGTAATGAAATTCATACAAAAGACTTGTTGTCGACAGAACGCGGTGAACGTACAGAGCAAAGAGGAGGGGAACGAAGAGTTTGAGAGGGTTGAAATCCGATCCAAGAGAGGCCCATCTGGGCAATCACAATTTCTCGTGCGTGCACAGCCAGCTAAAAAATCGAAGCTTCGGCCGTATTCATTATTCTGAAAAAAGAATCGCGAGGAGAAATAAAAGCGAGATTGATTCATTGACTCGTGCCTACTTTAGAAGCGGTTCTCTCTGACATTTTGTTAATGCACTTGCTAACATTTTAACGTCATAAATCTTTAAATCCGCAAATAAGGGAAATTACATCTCGAGGAAGTATTATATTGCATTATATCGTGCGTCAACTAATTTTTCACACTAATTACAATTTAATAATCTCAAGTACTGCTCAAGTAAAATTTAAATTTTAGTTTCCATGAAAAAGAATTTTGTCTTCTGTCTTTTTTCAGAAAAGATCTCGGGACATCCCAAAGACTAATTCACTTGACATCAGTTTTAGTTAATAATTTCGGTTCTAACTCTAATTTCAATTGTAATACAAAGCAATTCCATTTTTCAGACTCTCGAGCGACTCCGAGGACGCACAACGACTCATCGGCTCCAAATTCCACAGATTACAAGTTCGACGTCGCTATAAAGGAATTTTCTTCAGCGTCGTGTGGGTATCAAAATCTCGGCAAGTCGTGTCAAGAAAAATCCTCAACCGAGCGAGCGACAGGGTTGTCGCTCGAGCCTTCGCGTTTCCAAGAAAGTGACAGAAACACATCAAGTCGAGGTAGCGCAGCATCCGGCGCTCCCTTTGTTCCTAATTACGCCTGCGGGATCAGTCCCATGATCCCTCGGCGGTCGGGCCGAAATAATAGGGCCCGCCGCGGCGGCGACGTAGCGGCGCGGCGGCAAAAAGCGGAGAAGGTACGCGCGACCGCGGCTACGCGGCCGAGCGAGTCCTCGGGATCGCCAGTCGGCCGTCGACCATCGACGCGCACTGATATTGCAGGGAGGGAGGTTGCGCGTAACGATCGCGCGAGTGAACCTCGCATCGCCGCAAGTGCCGATTCGAAGAGGGAAAGAGAGTGCCGACAAACTGGATCTTTGTACACACGTTGTTGCTATTATGCGCGCGCCATGCGGAGTAGAGTGTGAATGTCGGCGACACTGAGGACGATGATGTTTCGCGAGTTGCTTGTGCTGGCAGTGGCAGCATGCCTGGTCCAAGGATGGAACGCCAAGCCGGAAAGCCAGAAGGCAGAAGCCAAGTGCGAACGGCTCAGCGTGTCTTTCTGCAGGGGACTGCGCTACAACTTGACGGCGATGCCGAATTTTATGGGCCACACGGACCAAGTGCAGGCAGAACGAGGGGTGAGTCTTGCTTAATTACTTAAGGTACGCTAGGCTGTGTTTTCTCAGACGCTTCTACGACGCTTTTTTTTATCACGACGCTCTTCATCGCCGTGTCTATTTGTCGCGCGTACACGTGTAGCGCCGTCTGGGAAATCGCATCTGCGGAGCAGAAACGCGATAACGACGGTCGTGAGCAATAAAAAAAAGTAGAGCCACAAATAGAGCCAGAAATTGTAAATGAAGATTCAACGTAGAGGAGCAGCAGGCACTTCACCGAGCAGCGATTGGCAGCTGGCACTTGACGCGTGCGTCGTTCGAAACACGAGTTTCAGCGATGACTGATAATTGCCGCTTGTCGCACATGTCGAAGAGATCCAGGTCTGTTCTCCTTCGCCCCGAGCTAGTCCACGTTTTTGGAATTTAAGGAGGAACAGGTGTTCCCTCGCCTGAGGCTCGCCGCGAAAAAGAAGAGATAGTGCAAGGTAGTGCAGCGAAGCTGCACAACAGATGAAGCTTCACGCCGTGAGTCGATCTCTCGAAACGTGAAGTGTACTTCATCGATGCCGAGGTAGCCGCATTTCAGGCAAATCATTCGATTCGGCGATCATCTTCATGACTTCTTCCATCTTCATGACTCTTTCTTGAAACGTATCGCGTCATGGCACACACACACACACACACACACACACACACACACACACACACACACACACACACACACACACACACACACACACACACACACACACACACACACGTACACGCACACGCACACGTTACGGCTGTCATACGGTGGGATCTCGTTGATACCTGTGTATCTTTTCTCGCACTGTAAACAGCTGCCGCGATGTATATCGGTATCGCGTTCAAAAGTTAAGACGTTTATGGCGTTTATCGTGCAGATATTCACGCGGCGTCCCTTATCTTTCGAGCGAGACTTGTAATTGGGACGGGAGATCCCAACAATGAGATCAAACGCACGGCCCTGTGTAATCTCTTAGAATAATCCTCGGGTTGTAGTGTGGAAGTGGAAATGAGCGACGGGCATAGGGGAAGAGGAGGAGGAAGAGAGGAGGAGGAGAGGAGGGAGTATTTCATGGCGCATCGAGCGTTAATAAGCGATCGGAGATCAAAGAGCGCGCGCGACCGGCTCTCATTAGCAGCGATAAGGCGAATCAAAGTCGCTGAACCGCGACGTTGCGGAAGAGTGGCGAGAGGGGGTTAGGGGCGAAGGGAGAATACCGGTCCCTTTTTCTCCGGAGCCTCGGAGATGTACAGTGCTCTCCGCGGGAGACGTAATTAGAAGCCAATTTCTCGTCCGCTCCGCTGCCGCCGGATCGTCGGATCCATCGATCGTTCGATGGCCGCGCTTCCGCCTGGGGAATCCGTTTCCTGGGGAATGCCACCGCGACTAATTAACGGCAAAATGGCGGGACCGACTGTAGTGCTAATGGTTCGGCGTCGAAACGGTCGACGACCGTTCTTCTCATCGTTTCGTAGGTAACTAAACTGCGGGTTCTTGACCTCTCTCTCTCCCTCCCTCTCTCTCTCTCTCTCTCTCTCTCTCTCTCTCTCTCTCTCTCTCTCTCTCTCTCTCTCTCTCTTTTCTCTCTCTCTCTCTCTCTCTCTCTCTCACTCTCACTCTCACACTCACACTTACTCTCATTCTCTCTCATATTTTTTTGCACTGTGAACGTTCCATTGATGGTCCGGCGAAGCCGGCGGACCCGTTTCTGAAATATTTCCTAGGTGCATAACATAAAATGCAGACGAATAATCAATTATGTGAAAGCCCGCACACAGTTGTCGGCGAGAAAGAGATCTTGTTTTATTGAATGTTGACGTCCGAATAATATACTAATTACTCGTTCTGACTGAGCAAATTAATTTTAATCGACTGCTTTAATTTAAATTAAACGCGAGCTGAATGAATGAGTGAATTAATTAAAATAAATTAACGGGTGAAAGTAAATCACAATTTTCCTGTCTAAAATAAGAGAGAGAGAGAGAGAGAGAGAGAGAGAGAGAGAGAGAGAGAGAGAGAAAAAAGGAGGAGGAGGCTTCTGTCCTAAAAGCAGCATAAGTAAGCCTCTTCGGTACAATTTTAGATAAGTGATGTTAGCACGGAGACACCGTAGGGAATCGGAGAGACTGCGGGAGAAGGAACCGCACTCGCACGCGTTACGCGTCTCTCGCATACACACCCACACGTACGCACGCACGTCCGCGTAGCCGTGCACACAACGTGCGCATGACGCAGAGAAAGAGAGGTATTTATAGCCAACGGTTCACTCTCGCTCGCTCAGTTTTATTATCGTAATAACGTTAAGGCGGCTTCCTTTGAAGCCGCCCGAAGCGAGATAGCTCTGACGAGCAAAACCGCGTATTTTTGTAGCAGCTGCGTTCCCTCGTTCGCACATGTATATGTATGTGTGTGTGTGTTTGTGCGCGCGAGTGGTGCGCACAGAGGTGTGTGCATTGCGTCCGTATGGGAACATGGTCGGCGGATGCATTTGATATGCGCTTTTCACGCGATGAGCCCACTCGAAGCCGGGAATGACGATGATGTGCAATCGCAAAGGAGGAAACTTGGAATTCTTAAGCTCTCGCCGGATTACACGAAAGCGCGCGCGCTTTTGTGGTGCGTATATATCACGTGGACGAAACCGCGTAGAGACAACGAAACCGACGATAGCTGAATTTGAATAATCCCTCTTAGTCCAAATTGTTCTCGTCTAGCTCGTTCCCGACCGATTCGGCAGAATGTTTGTACATAGCTTGCGACGATAATTCGCGTAATTCGCGTTTATTTCATTTTTTTTTTTTACACTTAAACCTGGCTGCTTGCCACAGTCATCTTGATTTGTGACGTCAGAAGCGAGAAAATGCGTGCTCAAGATTCCTACCCGTGTCAAAATAAAGAAATATGCCCAAAAAATGACGCAATCTTGACTGAGCACACCTAGAAAATACTCCGAATACTTTCCTTTCGCTCTAACAATCGATAAGTTACCGTAAAATTAACATGATAGAATCATGGGAAAGGGATAGGTGAAAGGGTGAGTTGCGTGTTGCGTTAATTTTACGCTAATTCTTGATCGCTAGAGCGAAGGGAAAGCGTTTGAAGTGTCTGAAACAAGAATGCCCAATTGATTGCAAGTGTTATTTGTTGCATATATTCCTTTATTTCGACATACCTTGCCGGAATTTTCAACGTGCATTTTCTCGTTTCAAGATCAAGATAAATCAAGATGACCGCGGCAAGTACGCAGGAGCTTTAATTAACGCGACAGTGCGTTTATGCTGTGATACATACATGTCGAAGATACTCAGATATGAGGGAAAGATGCGTGAATGAAAAGGACGCTTGCTTGTAGCAAACGATGCGCAATGTCGGCACGGATTCGACGCGGGACTGTAAAGCACATTGAATGGAATTTCCACTCGCCGTGTCCCGAAGCTGCGAGGAGCGGAGAGAAACGTGGGCTTTGGAAACTCTTTTCAAAGTTCACACTTTCGAAGTTCCTCGGAGGAGAAACGCGCCGGCGCCGCTAGCCACGCGGTTGCGCAATTAATCGAGTTGTAATGTGATGTAATCGCGCCGCGCTACGCGCTATCTGTAAACGTAATCGTACATTCGTATGCGATCGAGCACAAATCGTAACGATAAAAAGGATATTTTATTGCGCTTAATCTTAAGTGCGCGCACGCACACATGCATAATTACACACAGTCGCAACGGCCAGGCGCTTAAATTATAATTCGGTTTGCCTTCGTAATTGAAGGCATTTGTAATTTAATACAGACGCGCCTCGCGGCGCGGCTGCCATTACACGCGATTGCGCTTTAATGCCTTTATGACTTAATGCGAGCATAATACGCCGCGACGCAGGTATGATTTCACATACCTGCAATTACTCGTGATTATGATCGGACAGATGCGGTCGCGATCTTTCGTTTGAGATGCGCCGACGGAAAAAGCCGGTCGGCCGAGCAACATGAACTCAAGAACGAGTCGATTGTTGTGAAAAATAGGAGGAAAACACGGCATGTTGATCCTTTGCCGATCCGTAGAAATTCATTCACTTCGCGACAGTATCGCGTTTTCACTTGGTTACTTTAAAATTTGAACAACGCGTAGCGACTCGTATTTCATTTTAGCATTAATATATATAATATTTATGTCGTGTGTGTTATTAACGCTTATTTGCATCAAAAGAAAGTGCTTCATTGAGGCTATATTAAATCACAAAATCATATCTTTTTATCTGTATTATTACATTTGACGTCTGAAGAAAAGAATGATGTGGGTATATTTTTCAAATCTTACGATGCGAACGATTGAAGCGTCAGTTTATAAAATCGATTATGAACAAAATACGAGGTAAAAATCGATACAAAATCATAGAAAAACGCACAAAAAAACAAGTGTATTTCCGAATCGTGGAAAATCTGTCGATATGTTTCCATCTCCCGAGATTCGTTAATTTCGCGTAATTTCGCGGTTTTTGAGACCTACCTACGAACTTTGAGAATTTCAAACGTCGCTCGAGTCAGCCTCAGTGGAATTTTTATCGCGCGGAACGGATTTTGTCGTGGAAGTTAAAGTCCTCCGGACGTCTTCGGGTTCCGGTTTCTTCTCTCTCCGTCGTCGTCGTCGTCGTCGTCGATCCCGCAATCGATCCCGCAGAATTTTTTCTCGCATTATCGGTTCCGCGGAGCGTATCGGGGTAACGTTTGTCTCATAAATGGTATGACGAGGCCCTCGAGATAACGCAGACGGCACCGCGGTGGTCGTCGCCGGAGTACGCATCGAGCTCAAAGGATGCCGCTATCGTTCTCCGTTTTCTCCCCCCGCTGGCCCCCTCTCGCCTTCCTCCTTCGCTCTCCTCGTTCGCGTTCCCTTCCTCACCCCCTCCCCCCCCGCGCCATCGGCGAGTCTTACACGAGCTCGGTGTTCGTCGGTGATACCATTAAGCACACATGTGTGCGAGCCTTCGCACGCGCACCTTCGCACACACCAACGTAGCGATCGTAAAAACATTCCGCGGTCCTTGAAGCTTGTCGAACCGTGGCTTTTCGAAATTGAAGTCTCGTCGGGTCCGTCGACGAAAGCTCCGAGGAGCTGTGCTCTAAGTTGCACAAATTGCCTCAGCCGGCCGCGGTCGTTCAAACCGCGATCGTAAAAACCGGAGATTTTGCACTCGCAGCTTCACGATTCGATCGAAGCTCGCAATCCGACAACTTACGGCCGATTTTCCGCGAAGTTACTTCGACGAGACGCGACTTGGCGGTTTTTCCTCCGCATTCACGAGTTTCGTCATTCCCGAGCGACGGTTCTGCACGTAATCCTTCGACTCGTTACAGTCCGCGGGATTAAACTTTCGTTATTCTTTGAAGGAAGACTCGAGAGAGAAAGGAGGTTGCGTTCTCTTCGCCGATACGATCGAACGCGAAGGAATCGCGGGAGTGCGGCAAGAGTGTATCAACATCTGCAACCTCCTCTTACGCAATTAATGGGAATGTTTTATCCGATTTATCGCTCGGCGCATTCGTCTACGAAATTTGCATCCCGCGTCGGCAGAAATATTAACACGGTCGTGCGTGAGAAAAATATAAATATAATCTCCACTGGTACACGACATGATCCTTGAATCACATGGAACTCGCGGCTTCCTTAAGACGCTTTAGTTTAACTCTGAACTTCAATTTTGTAGAATCAGAGAGGGGCCTGAAAATCCCACATGACGAAATATTTAACGTGATAAAAATCCAACATTTAATAATTGAATTTATGGTTGTAATTATGATTTACAATTTTATGAGTATCCTTCACACGTATGAGCGTTCATTCTTTTTTCTCTTCTTTTTTTATGTCACATGCAGTACTACATAATTAGATTGTACATAGTCGTGTAAACAATGTCATGTTTCACATACTGTGTTAATATTTATCTGAAAAATGATATAATTTTCACAATTTTCACAATTCATAGAAATTCTTGCGAAGTTTCAAAACCGTAAAAAATCTCGAGAAAGTCTGTCGAGTGATCTTTAGGATAAAAACGCTCAGGAGCCACGAGCGACGTCGAGCGACATTCTGGTTTTCGCAGGCCCGAAACGTTCAAAACACACCGAAACCGGCGCGACTGATCGTTCCTCAGAACCAGCTAGTCGACATCCTGCTAGTCAGGACAATTACAGAGGGATTAGCTCGAACACGTTTCGCAGGCTGATGACTTCTCCAAGCCCCGATGATCCTAAGAAAGGCGCCACCGCCAATCACACGCCATCGTTCCCGGAAGGCGGCAAATTGCAGGGCGCGCTTGGTCATCCGCGCTCCTCGTCTCGATCTCCTCGAGTGCGATATCTCGAAGATGCTAAACGTCGGTTAACTTCGATTTACGCCGAAATTTCAACGCCGATCGAAATTACGCTTTGCGTCGGAAGCACGGGAATTCGGTGATTTGAACAATATTTCGAGGAGAGACTCCAACGTCGAGCTTTCCGAGTTGCACAAATCCAGGACCATCCGAAGATTTCATTCAGGAACTTTTCGTGAACACTTTGAAAGTCGAAGATTTGAAAGACGCGCAATTTCAAAGCTAAACGCGATCGTATTGGGGGGTCTAAGAAAGTCACACAGCTCCCTCGCCTCCTGATGTCTCTCCTGATATCCTTCTTCAAGACACGAGGCGTGCGAAGTTTTCCGGGGAAAGGACGAAATTTCCCGAGATTTGACAACGTCCGGGCGTAAAAATTCACTGCACCCGGTCTATGATTTATTGCATTTCTCCACGGTGACGGGAGGACAGCAGGAAGCAAAAAGCTCCCCCGAAAGCGAAGCTCCCCCCGCCCCTCGCAAAAAAGTATCCCTCCGCGGCTTGCGACATCGCGTCTCGGCGATTTATGCGTCACGTCGCATAAATATACATGCAGTCTTACAAAGGACCCTCACAATGACTCGATCGAGGCGGAACGAGCGCGCCGCGTAAGGACAAAGCGGGAAGGAAAAGGGAGCGGACTGCAATAAGAAGTAAGTTGGCTCCCCCCCCGTTCATCCGTCCGTCCGTTCGTCCGTCTCTTCTTCTATCCGTGAGTTGTCTGTCAAGCCGCTTTGAAAATGCCTCGAAGGGGACCGCGATGTGCGTGCGAGGGGCAAGGAGGAGGAGGAGGAGATACAGGCGGAAAGGAGGGAATGTGCGCCGTTTTCTACTCCCGTCTTCTTCTTCTGGTCATTCCCGGAGGAGAAGAATGCGAAATAATGAACGAACCGGTCTGCTCCGATTTCTTCTGCGCGCTCCGCCGCGCCGCGCTGCTCCGCCTCGCGACGCGCGCAAGATCCGAGAGATTGTGAAAAAGCAGGAGAAAAACGCGCAACAAAACGAAGCGGGGAGACAGAGAGGTACAATAACAAACGCGTAGCCGCGAGAGCGAACGCAGTTCAATTATCGGGCCCACCGCGCGACTCTCGAGGCGACCCGCTGGAAAATATTAAAGACAACCGCCCTCGCGCGAAAATATCAGTCCCTTCGCCGAGTTCGATTATTGATCGGCTGTCTACCGTGCGCGCGAGGAATAGAAATGATCCGCGTTGCGATTTCCAGACGGAGCTTCTCCCCCTTTCTCTCTCTCTCTCTCTCTCTTCTCTCTCTCTCTCTCTCTCTCTCTCTCTCTCTCTCTCTCTCTCTCTCTCGTCCTTTCGTTCTCTCCGCGCCGTTGCCTCCCGGCCGCGCTGCTGGTCCACCTTGATCGGTGAGAAGAGAGAACCCGAAGAGAACATCACGATGAGAAAGGGGGCGAAGAGAGAAGGGAGAGGGGGGAGACGAAGCGGCGGAGGGCTCCGGCGTTACGGGTTACCACGTAATTTCATGGGGCTATAATTTGGGAGCGCCGTGGAAGAGAGAAGAGCATCGGGTTCGCCCGTAATGGGCGAATCTTAGAGGGTGAGAGGAGCCGGGAGAAGGGGGGCGACAGGTAAGGGGGTAGCAGGGAAAGAGATGGGCCCGGTGGGCCGCAGCAGCGGCGCGGGCCCCGGCGAGGACGTGCGAGGATCTATCGGGATTGAGGCGGGAAGAATGGGCGGGATAATTACCCCCGATGCCCACCGCTCGTTATATCTCATGGAAGCGAAGCGTCTCCTCTCCGCCCCGTTAGGTGCATTACCCTCTCTCGTTCTCTCTCTCTCTCTCTCTCTCTCTCTCGCTCTCTCTCTCTCTCCCTGTCCCTTCTCTCCCATCGTCGTTCGTGTTATTGCCTCGACTTCGCGTGTTTAGAATACAAAAGAAGTGATATCAGAAAGTTGAGGCAAGTGGCAACAATTTCTGGCGATATTGAAAAATATCTCACTGATTGGGAGCGAGAGAAGTTCCATCGGGAGCCAGGACCACTCAAGAGTGTGTCTCTCTGGTTCTCGGTGGAACGTTTTTCTCTAATTTTGCATTTCCATTATGTCCGTAATGGAAATTGCATTTTTCGCGTGTGGCTAATGATAATACTGAGAATTGCTATTATGTGCATAATTGAAATTCCGAATGCTCATTATGGATATAATGGAGATTCGATTGTGTCCATGATGGAAATGGAATTTCCATCGCGTATACACAACGCAACGGAAATTGCGTGATAATTTTCGCCAAGGCGATTCCAGCGATTTCCAGCGATAACGTTGACAATGCATTTGTTTGCAGCTAGCGACCTTCATGCCGCTGGTCCACTACAACTGCTCGAGACATCTCCGACTCTTCTTGTGCGCCGTCTTCGCTCCGGTCTGCTCGGAACATGTGACTATGCAAATACCGGTCTGCAAGTCCCTCTGCCTTTCCGTAAGAAGGGATTGCGAGCCCGCCTTAACCGTCCTCGCGCTTCCGTGGCCACATATGCTGGACTGCGACCGCTTCCTTAGTCAGGGTGAGCGTCCATTTATCATCGAATCAGTCGGCCAATCAGTAGCAGATGATAATCTGCATCTGATCAAGATCATGGCGACTGGAGTCTACGTTCAATGCTTCATCACGCGTCGTCACAAATTGAATAATTAATTTCTCCTCGGAGACGAGGACAGAAAGCACTCTCGGCTCTTCTTGTATATTTGTCAATGTATATGTATGATGAAGCGCACAGAGTTCTTTGAGTGTGGGAAGATGTAGATGAGTGCGTTTCATCTTTCTACGACTTTCTACACGCAAGACTCCATTTGTGTGTGTGTGTGTGTGTGAAGTCTCTTTGTAAGAAATAACTTTATGGAAAGATCTATTTTTCTGCATCAAAGTACCCTTGATTTCTTCTCAGATAATGTACTCTGCGTAAAATCGCCGGACGAGACATTGGACGACAGCAGCCTACCGGTCCTGCCAAGCGTGCAACAGCAATGGCCGATTGTGCACCACGAGCAGCCGCTGCAGATCTCCACGCAGGAGCAGCAGCAACATCATCATCAGTGTCCGCCGCCTTTCGTGCAGATTCCCGAAATAAAAACGGTTAGAGGACATGATCGGCGATTGAGTCGAGACCAGTCGGAAAATGAATCGACACTTTCTCACCGTTCGCCTCACGTGTGACTGCTTTAGATCTCTTGCGCACCACGCTGCGGCACCGACGCCTACTATCGCGCGGAAGACAAGCGGTTCGCCGAGCGATGGATGACCGGTTGGGCATGGCTGTGCTTCCTGTCGACTTCCTTCACTTTGCTGACCTTCTGGGTCGAGCCGTCCAGGTTTCGCTATCCTGAGAGGCCGATTGTTTTCTTGGCTCTCTGCTATAATCTCCTCTCCGTGGCATACATTGTCCGGGGTGTCGTGGGTGCTGAAAACCTCAGCTGTGCTATCCAGATCGATGGGACAAGCTATGTTCCGGTGAGCAGTATCGACACGATACCACATTTAAACGCTATTTTCTTTTCTCAAAACCTAATGGTCGTGCGTAGTAACTGACCTAATTTTCACCATCGAAAGCGCATAGTTCTGTAAAAACTGTCTACAAAAAGACCCATCATTTCGTCTATTAATAGATAATGTTTGCTCATCGATAGGTTCGTGATGGGTTGAAGAGCGTCCCCTGTACAATTTGGTGGCTGGTCAGGTACTACCTGGGACTAGCCAGCAGCACATGGTGGGCGGTGCTTTGCGGTTGTTGGCTGCTGAGCGCCAGGAACGAGTGGAGCAGCGAAGCTCTTCACAACATCGCGTCCTATCTTCATGCAGCCGCGTGGGTCCTTCCAGTACTCTTTACGGGAGGTAAACGTCGTTTTGGATTACGATCGTAGAAACTTTTTAAGAATTTCTGAGATGAAGATGTTAGAAATCTCTGACCTCCTTGCAGGAAGCCTGTTGTCACGTAACGTGGTGGCGGACGAGCTGACCGGGCTGTGTCAAATCTCTGACGAGTCGGCGCTTTGGCTGGAGGTGGTGCCGCATGCCTCATTGTTGTTGTTGGGCTGTGTGTTTGGCAGCATTGCTGGCAGCGCACTGATTCGCGTACGAAGAGCCGTGCGTTGCGCCGGTCGCAGCGCTACGAAGCTGGAACGCCTGATGACTCGGCTGGGCATCTTCGCGCTACTGTACGCGTTACCGGCATTGGGTGGTCTCATCTGCGTCCTGCACGAGTCATCAGTAAGGCCACGATGGCGGAAACTGGCGTTGCTAGCCGCGTTGGACTGCCGAGCTACCCAGAACTGCGCACCAGGCCCAGTCTATCGGGCTGCCGGCCTTGAAGTAGCTCTCCTCAGGCTCTTCTTGTCTCTCGTAGTCGGTGTTACTTCCGGCATGTGGGTCTGGTCCGGTAAAACCTGTCGAGCTTGGAGCAGGCTACTCGCTGCGCCCAGCAAGCCTGCCAGAATGCAAAGCCCTTTCCAGGGCATCAAACAAGACGCTAACGTCGCTTGAGCAATTCAAGGTCGAACTACCGATGTAAAACGAGAGTAAAGACCGCCAGTCTTGGAGAAGTTGTAATATATGAAAAGCGAGTGCATGTAGAGTAATTAAAGAACGAGGACATTATCGGCAGTGTTTAGTTATACATGATTTGGACATGTTCAAAATATAATAAAATATTTATTTTACAATTTACAATTATCTCGATGCTCTACACGTGTATTAACAGAGTTACAATGAAATTTGTTGTATATTTTTATGAAATTGCGTTTCTGCGATTATCATCGATGTTGATTTGATCAATTTTACTGATAGGAAGTTATCAAATGGCGAAATTCTTTTTACGCTAATTTTCATAAGGCTGGCGAGTTTTATTCTTATTTCGTCGGTGATTTAACTTACCCAAGCAACAATACGAACATTCGGGGATGTAAAATACATAGCCGCAAAGGCGTTAGAGATTTTACGTTATTAATATCTCGATATTTCATGGGTAATCTTTAAGTATCCTTTGAACCTCGTGTTGTTGGGGTGACTTGTGAGAGATTAATTTTAGAACCATTGTGCATTTGCTGCGTGGTTTAATATGTGATTTTTTATTTATGAGTCAAATCATTTTATAAGAATACTTGTGATGCGCGGGTCGGTAAACGCTGAGGATGATTGCTTCTGTATATATACGCTGTACATATTGTAAAAATGTGATGTGCGTCTGAGGAATTGCAGAGTATAAAGATTCTTATAAATCTGCAATTAACATACGAGTGCCGTGATGATCGCCAGTGACCAGCTGGCTACGATACTATTATATCTTGTTAAGGTGCGCATAAAGAATATAATTGTTTGCATTTAAAACATTGGTTGTACGATCGATGAAGTAAATGAAATGAGATAAAAAATATATATATATGGACTTAAAGTTACATTTTTTCAAGTCATAATTCAACCATCATTAGTTTAATTTTTGTACAATCAATAAAAGAAAATGCAATAGTCAACGTGTTAAAATCGAATTATGGCATTATTATAATAATGACAGAAGTGTATATATTTGCATACAACTTTAATAAATACCAATCATTGTTTTTATTTCTGAATTGTACTTAAATATTGTTTAAGTATAAAGGTGATGAGGAGAAATTAAGGACATTGCTTAGACGAGAATCAACCTTGTTTTTATTTTATTTTCCTTTAAAATACAAGAAAGAATATACAATAAATATATGAGGCGATTGTGTAAGAATAATAACACGTGTATATATATCTGTGAAAGAGAATAAATATTTTATTTTAAAAATTAAAAATATATATCTATAGCAAAATTTATTAATATAAACTTATATAGTTTTACATAATATGCTATTTTTAATATCGTATTTATGATTATACTTCATTTTTTCTATGTAATTCTGAAATGAATATAAGAAGAATTATATAAAAATAAATTAAAAATATAAACATTAAAATATTTAAAAACTTCATTTTTATATAAATTTTCATTTCATGTTAAAATATATATTATGATACAAACTCTACGATGTTAAATTTTCATGATAATAAAAGTTTATACGTTTACGATATTACAGATTGAAATCCCACGATGCCAACGATTCAGGCCCCACGATATCGAAGATCTAAATCCTACGTTGTCGAAGATTCAGGTCCCACGATGTCGAAGATCCAGGTCCTACGATGTCAGAGTCCAGGCTCTATGATGCCAAAAATTCAGGTCCCACGATGCCAGTAATTTAAGTCCTATGATGTCGAAAATCCAGATCTTACGATATCGAAAATTCAAATCCCACGATGTCAAAGATCCAAGTCCTTGATGTTGAAAATCCAGGTCCCACGTTGTCGAAGATCCAAGTTCTACTATATCAAAAATCCAGATCCCACGTTGTCGAAGATTCAAGTCCCACCATGTTGAAAATCCAGATTCCATGATATCGGAAGATCCAGGTCCCACGATGTCGGAAGGTCCAGGGTCCCACGATGTCGGAAGGTCCAGGGTCCCACGATGTCGGGAGGTCCAGGGTCCCACGATGTCGGAAGGTCCAGGGTCCCACGATGTCGGAAGGTCCAGGGTCCCACGATGTCGGAAGGTCCAGGGTCCCACGATGTCGGAAAGTCCAGGGTCCCACGATGTCGGAAGGTCCAGGTCCCACGATGTTAAAGATCCAGGTTCCATGACGTCGAAGATTCAGATCCCACGATGTATAAGATTCAGAAAACTCACATATTGACAAAATTCCGAGTATATTATGAATATATTCCGAGTATATTATAATATTTAAGAAATTCAGATATAAATCTCATAATGTGGATAATTGAATATGAAATATTGTGATGCTCTTCGATTCAAGTTTAATGACGTTACTTCTATTATAATTAAGGTTTAAATTCATAATTTATATGAAACTCTAATATGAAAAATTCATGTTCTCTTTGTACATTTTGGAGATCTAATTTCAACTATATTTAATGTATACGACAAATGTGAGCTTTATAATGTTAAAATAATGTAAATTTTCCAGTGACATTTATTTTTAAGAAAATTTCATATTAGATATCTGTTTCTTATCCACCATAAAGTCCCGCGACGATCCTCTTCTACAGAATCTCGCAAGCCACTCGACAATTTTCTTCTGCAGCAAAGCCACGCAATGATGCTTTCTACAACAAAGTTCCTCTAATGATTCTGCTTTCATCACATGAGAGTTTTCTTCTGTTACGAAGTCCCTCGATGATTTTCTCTTCTGCGATGTCATCCTATGATGATCCTCTTCTGCGATGAAGTCCTACGATGATCCTCTTCTGCGATGAAGTCCTACGATGATCCTCTTCTGCGATGAAGTCCCAAGACAATCCTCTCCTGCGACGAAACCACATGAGAATTTTCTTCTACTACGTAGTCTCACGACAATTCTCTTCTGCAATGATCCTCGATGAAGGTACTATGGTAATATTTTGTGATAAAATTGTCTGATTTTCATCTATGAAAACGCAGTTTTTTTTGCGATGTAGTTCTTCTAGAACGATTCTCTTCTGCGACGGAGTCCTGCGACGATTCTCTTCTACGATGGAATCCCACGATGATCCTCTTCTGCGGCGGAATCCTACGACGATCCTCTTCTGCGATAGAGTCCCACGACGATCTTCTGCGATGAAATCCCACACCGATGATCCTCTTCTGCGGTGAAATGCCAGGATGATCCTCTTCTGCGATGAAGTCCTACGATGAAGCCGAATCAAAACGATCCTCTTCTATATAATATAATAAAGTTATCCAATGATTTTCTTCTGTAACAAAGTCCCACGGCGATCCACTCCTACAGCAAGATTCCAGGAAGATCCTCTTCTGCGGCGATCCCATGATTCTCTTCTGCGACGATGTCCCTCGATGATCAGCTGCGGTCCTTAGATAATATTTCTTCCAAATCCGGTATTTTCTAACGCGACACTTATGAAATATGATAGATGATTTTCCGTGCAAATGATGTCTAGGGCAATAATTCTGTAAAAAAGGAAAACGAAGCATTAATATTAAAATAAGATATTATTTTATAACAAAAATATACAAAAAATAATAAGATGAATCATGATAATTACAATCATGAAGATGTTCTACTTAGATCGCTATTATTATCGTTATTAATACTATTTTTTTATTGAAAGACAGGATATTTTTAAGATAAACGAAATAATTAATCCAACAAGCGTTTCTGAAAAAGATGATACTTAACTAATGGAGTGCAGACAACTACATACCTTTTTGGAAGTAAAAATATGCTGTTTTGCTGGAACTCTGCATTCTCTGCGACGGCCCTATTGAAAAGTATCGGTTGTTCGTAATCCTGTTCCATGAAAAAACACTCTCTCCGGCTGACAGCAAACTGCATACAACGCAGACAACTTGCATGCCAATGGAAGATCTTGAAGGGCTCGAAGGAGACCAACGAAAGTAGATGAAGGACCAAACGACCAGGACGACTGCACGCGCAGTCGAGCGGGTGTTGGAAGACCAGCGACGAGTAGTTTGTAGAATCACGGTGACGCACAAGCTCAACGGCCGTTTCACGCCGTTCTAAAACACTCCGTTAGCGGGCAAGGTGATAGAGAGGCGGGTAAACTCACGTGCCTCTCTCCGTCGTGGACGGTCGCTTCGGAATATCGACAAAAAGTTCGAAAGGTTGCCCGCGACCTTGTCGACGAGCGGATGGAAGGAAGCGCACGTCCCCGAGGTCGATCGCTCATATGCAAGGCTTCTAGGATTCCGCGCGAACCCGCTTTTTAAGGTGAGGCTAGCGATCCTCGGATAAAAGGGTTCCGGACACTGAAACGCTTCGAATATCCTGCAGGATTAGTGCCCTCCCCGCCCCCTCATAACGCCGCAATTTCCCTCCCTCAAAAGGTGCTTATCTGAGTTCTTACAGAGAGACTTACAGGTCGATGATTCTCCTATTAGGTTTTTATCGTACCCTGATATATTGATAACTCGCTTCTGAAGCTCTTAATGTTCACGAACACATTTCCCGCAAAGATCTCGTAATTGAAATTTTTAGGAACTTGTTGCTTTCTTTGCCGCTGAAGTAAGCCAAGTCCATCTGGTCAACCCATTGTACACTTGTCATTTTATGGTCGTGGCCATTTAGAGACATGATATCACACTGAGGAACATCATCTTCAACGATCAAACTGTGCTACTTATTCTGTGAAGATAGAACGCACTCCGGACGCGAAAACGAATACTGCTTTCAAATAACAGCTTTCTGTGAAAAAAAATAAAATGATTTTTGTTTTCCCGCTCCCTCCCGGTACATCCCCAAACATGATAAATGGACCTGTAAATGAGTATGTTACCCGATAGATTGTAGTGAATAAAATGATATACCTCTCTTTTTCAATACCTTCTAAAATCGGATACCTTCTAGAGAAACACTTTTATGCGGTATAGTAATGATTCTCCTTTCCTCGAGCGTGAAGATTTCAATAAATCGTCATTTATCGTTGGAATGAATTTGTCGTTTGACACGTTTTCAGATGTCGTCTCGATATAAAATTGCTCTTCATCGTGTGAAATACACACCAGTTATTATCTTCTTTACGAAACAAAGATATTTTCGAATGTATCACGCGGATCGTCTCGATAAGATAATTCCGACTGAATTTCCGATGAAATTTTGAAATGTAATCTGAAAGGAAGAGCATTTATCTAAAGAAATCGTGTGGTCGGACGGAAGAGAAGGTCTCATAGAGACACTTGAATAATTAGATCCTTGAATCCTGAGAGACTCGGATTCCTTTGAATTAGAAGTCTTGAATTTCTGGTTCTCGGGGGGGGGTGATTAGATCCTTCAAATGTAACCTATTTTTTGGATTCTGTGGTCCTCATAGTTCAGATGTTTGGATTTAACGCATCCTCATGGAATTTCTGTGCTTGTTTTACAGATTGTGATGAAGGTACATCTCGTCAGGGCTAAACCGATCTCTCACCGAGTGCAAAGCGATTATCTCAACTGTTATCTCTAACGGTCTCCTCGATTTATCTTGAAGCGGGAAAAGCCTTCCAAGCACGTTTTCCCCCATTGTCATCATGCGAAGTGCCGTTGTGTCATCCTGTGACTCATAAGAACATTGTTTTGCCCCATCCCGAAGCCCCTTCTAAATGCTACCTACTTCAGAATACACGGACCACGGGGATCGTCGACGATCTTTTCTCGTTTCTCGTTACCTCCGGCGTTTTTTTCACGCGACACACTCCAAGATGCCCGGATATGTGCATACACTGCATGTGCTCCCGGTGATGACCGAATAATGTTTATAGCCTTATACAGTTTGTCGGCTAGATGTACGAGTGAAGAGATGTCTCGGTGCCGTTTCTTTAATCTACCAAGGGGGAGTTTTAGCTCTTTCGTTCTGGCGCCTGCTGTGTGAAACACAAAAAGTACGGAACAGAGCAATCCGCAATATATAAACATAGTTAAGTACGAATTATGATTATAGCACAAGAGGAACGATAGCTGGTTACGCTAGCACACAGATAAATTTGTAGAAAATTGTGTAGAAAAAAACTTTGTCTCTCAAGCCATTTATGAAGCCAAGTCTCTTCGAGATGTCCACGTTCGACAGACCGCATTATCTCTTCGTTAGAATAGAATGTGTTTCATAATCTCCCTTTCTCTTCCTCTCTTCGAGGTTTTCGAGCGATATCGGGTCGATATGAGATAAAATCTCGAGTGACTCAAACTGCATTCTTCGCTAGCCGTCATCGGTTGAGTCGGACGAGAGATCCTCCAGACTTACGCAACGTTCTGTAGCCAAAAAGATTTGTCTCATTTGTAAACCCCCCTCCCCTCATCCCTCCCATTCTGCCCATAAGGAGAACTGCCCAGTATATTACCAAGAACATATTAATGTGTCAAGGTTACCATAATATGCCTGATATTTCGTTACCAAACCGAGGTCGTTGTCTTGTTCAGCGAGTGTCATCCACAATTATGCGTCAAGCAATCGAGCATCAGTGCACGTATATAGGTTGCTAAATAGCAATATCAGTCCACACAGTACACGTATGAATATACTTATCGTCCGAGTTATCGAATGGAAAACGATCAGCGCATCAACGAATACTCGCAAGCAACTTGCTCCTTTTGTTCTTCGTATCCTTCCTCACACACACACACACATACACACACACACATGTGTATGTTAGATAATAATTCCTACTCTCTCTCTCTCTCTCTCTGCATACTTTCATCTTGTTATATTCTCTTTCGCAGTAGATCCCTCGATTCGGATTCACGTGACAATACCGAGACCAATAGATACCAAGATCTTAGATTCCGAGATCCTTGGACTTCGAGGTGCCTTCGAATTGCCGAAAGCTTGGCGTGGTCCAGAGTCCTGGACGCGGGCATGCGGAAAATCCTTAGAGCCCCTGGATTAAAGTCTCTCGAATCCCCGGACTCTTGAATCCTCGAGTCTTTAGACACCTCGCGATCGAGAAATTCGACAAAATTTTAGAAACATTGTATTAAAGTGTATCAATTAGAAACTAAATAAAACTCAAGTCTTAGGTTGAAATGAGTGTTACCAAGTCGAGGCAACCCTAACATCTGTTTTCTCTCGCACCCAATGTGCTTGCACGTGCACTCATACCATTCTACCTCTTTCTCTCCCTTCTTGTACCGATTTCTGCATTGTCCATTTCCTCAGTCTCTGACATACATCACAAACGTTTCCCTCATGCTCTTCAAACATCTAAAACATATACGTTAACGCCCTATCCTGGCCGTGATCTTTATCTTTCTTTTTCTTTCTCTCCATGGTGGACGTGGTAGAGATCGCAGATCTATGGACACACGGTTATGGCAACGCCGGGCAACATATATGGTGGTACAACATATTTCACATCGGATAGGATGAAATTTCAGTGACTCTCTTCAGCAAGTTGTTTACATGCTTGCATAGCGAATTATCTTACTTGAGGCGTACCTACGACTCTCGGGGATAACGGGAACCACGGAGACTTGATCCCCGGAGACGCGCGTTATGCCGGACAGAAACCAACGGTTCTGGATCTGGGAAAACACGCAGCTGGTTCGGCTAAAGTGGAAATGTAGAAGCTCACCAGATGAAAGACGCCTCTCTCATTGTCACACGGTTATCATGACGGCTTGTGCGTGAGATATTTGCTTGCATTTTGCCTGCACGCCGGTTGAACCAGCCTCTAGAAACAGATATTTTCCCTCCCTTTCGTGCCCCTTTCCATTCACACATGATATAATACTCCCTCAGTCGTTTTATCTTTTCGTAATCCTCTACCTCTCGCTTTCTATCTCACCGCAATCTTATAGGTACAAGTTTTCTAAGTTGACGACGACGTCGCCCCCATTGGTGGCCAATAGCTCTCGCTCGCAATAAGACGTATTTTCTAGAGAATGTGCCAGACTGAAAAGGAGTGATGGTATTAATAACCTGGTGAATAGAGAAGTTATGAAAAAATGACCTTACTTCGTTAGTTCATTTGCAAAATGTATTTATTTGTCTTACATTCATCTTTCAACAGTTTCCTTCCTTATCTAGACCTAGATCAGTCTTTACTTACAAAGGAATTATTTATTAATATCACAATATTTTTGCATAGAGATCATTCAATTGCTTTAATCCTAAATAGCATAAAATGCCATAAGATCCCTATCAATGATAAAAACACGAAACACATTAAAGATCTTGAAAAATTATATATAAATTTTTTATAATACATTCACTAAGTAAAAAATGTGTTTCGATATAAAACTAGCAATGAGTAACACTTACATCAACTTCTCAATAAGTTGTACTGTTCAGGATTTAACAAAGTTAAGTGTTACAACAATATAGGAACTATTATCACTTTTTTTATGTAATACTATTATTATAATCAGGTAACTTCATTGATGTGTTATGAAACATTTGTGAAAAAGAGCTATAAAAGACTAGAACTATATATATGGAGTATTTAAGTATTAAAACCTGTTCTTGATTCTTTGTACTTTCAGGGTATTGTATAGTTAAAATATGTTACTCTAAGGGTTGATTGTTCTAACTTCTTGGTAATAGTTAAATAGTTAAATTATAGTTAAATTATGTTTGTCTTTGTTTTTTTTTCAATTTAAACAAAGATAGACATATGATTTAACTATCAGTTAACTTACCAAGAATTGGAAAAACCTAACCTAAATGACGAGAATTTTTTGGTTTCGATACAGCTTTACGAACCAAACTGATGAAAGTCAAGCAGCCCATCAGAGCCAGTGTGCTTGATGATTCATCCTGGTAGTTATATGTCACAGGAACATTCCATATTTTCATAGTTTCCCAAAGTTCTCCCAGAATAGTTTCTCTTGAGCAGCTTCTGCAGCCATCTCAAACGGTAAGACTGCAAGTAAAAAAACCCAAATATATCCGTATATATCGTGTATCGGAATAACGAGACTGCAAAGGTGGCCAGTGTTGTCTAGTTGAAGCCTAGTTGATAGTCGTCATGTAGATTTCCGTAGATATTAACGATGACTTCTTGATGATTGATGATATGATGTATTGTGGAACTTTCTCCCAATTTCAAGTTTTCTTATACTTCTTTCAAGTTCTCTGTGAGACAGTTGACGTGAAAATATGATTGGATTTACTTTCTATAAGTCTTTTTTTTCAAACAGCCTTATGTTCAGGATCGTCGTCATCTTGGTCTAACATATAGATAAGATATCCTGTGTAAGATGAATTATTTTAAATGCATCTATCAGTAAGAACACACAATGCATCGTCAAAGCAAATTGCGTCATGGCTATTTAGCGCTCGACAGATGTTTTTATTCCACTTATTTGATGCAGGAACTCATCCAAGTCCTCTAAGCCAAGTTCTTCGAACCAATTTATTTGCAGTTCATTCTCCCCTCTTATGATCTGATCCTTCTCTTTTTGAGCTTCGATCTCGTGGTACACTGCGCAACTGCCATAGTATACGTCCTTGAGAAGTTCACTCCTCACTTGACGCCATCGATTCAATCTTGCCACTTGCTTACACCTCAAGTTATACCGCGCTTTGTCCAAAGTGCAAGAGAGCAAAGTCTCCACCCTCAAGTTGCGTTTGGGGCTTGTTGAGCATGTCAGTTTCTTGTAATTCACCTTGCCGATCCACTTGACCATTTTTTCCGTGTAAGTCTGTGAACCCTCCACGGGTTCGTCCGAATTTGTAATTTTCATGATCGAAGAACAGTGATTTCTTCGTATGTCACGATAACAGTTTAATGATTACAGTTTAACAGTCACGATTACAGTTTAACAGTCACGATTACAGTTTAACAACTTACAAGAACTCCGAGTAATGTTTCATTTATATTGCGTCATTCTTTGGCATCATTTTCTGCCTTAAAGGATTTCCTTTCCTTTTCTCTTCCTATTCTTCTTATTTACGCAAAGCGGTGATGAACTCTACTCTAGCTCGTATTTCTCAACGTACAACTACGTATTTGAATAATATGGAAGACCAACCTGTATCTAGCTCGCGAATGTCGCTGCTATGACTGCGTATCGGGTGGTTTCGGTCACGAGTGAGATCCCATCCTCACCGTTCGGAGACTTACGACGGAACAGGACACGGGCATAACTTGGTGGGGTATTTTATACCTGAGAGGTAGTGAGAAGAATGTAGCCTTGCGCGGAAATGAACGAAATAGTCCTTCTATGTTGTCGTGAAATTAGCTCTATGTCGCAAATTTTCGCGAGCTCATTGTATGATCTATGAATCCAAAATAGAAGATATTTTTTTGCGATAAACTTAAGCGCGAATTTGTGCTTAAAAAGCGAAAATCGATATAACGGAAGAAGTAGTTCCAGCGGAGGAAAGTTGTACCGCGGCTGCCCCTCCACCTTACCAAATGACGCAGCTGACCTGCTCCGTTGCAGATTCTCAAATATACTAGATGTCCGTAATTTCTTGGGCAAACGTACGCGCTCAAATGATCTTCGGGATAAGAATTAGGAGAGAAGAAGGTGATTTATGATAATAAAAATATTTCCTTGATCGTTTGGCTATCGCAACTGTTCCCCAGATCTTTGTAAAGCGAAATAATTCATAACCCCACTTATTCATACACGTGTTGAATCAGATCGAGAGTATTTTTTATCACATTACATTTATGGTAAACTGCGACTTCATACCTGCAAGATTGTATTTTATTTTTAATTATTAATTATTGAGTATTTTTAGATACATATGCGTTTGAACGTATGACAATATGAGCATTTAAAAAAACATTTTAAACCATTTAAAAACATTCTACTACTTTTGACATCGGATTTAGGATATTTTGCGATGTATTTTACACATTCATATTATTTGAGAACCTTCCTGTTGATTGCAATATGAAACTCATTGACCTCCGAAATTTATTCGAATAATTTAGTCACACCCTGTACATCTACAGAAATGCTCACGGCCATGCCCCTCCACTCTGAGAAACGACTAGGTTAGTAATAGTACAATGACGACAAGACGGTCTTTCCTTTATGGTCAATTACTGTATAACCGAAAAACATTTTCGGTTCACAGAAAAATATTCTGTGTATATTCTCGTAACGATCAACGATTGATGAGCAGCTGCGTATTAAACGATGCAGATAATTACGACGTAGCGCAGAATTATCTTTCAATAGGTAACGAAGACAAAATACTGAGATACATTTTATCTGGGGAAAAGAAACAAACAAAGCGAGCCGAAATTATGCATTGAGAAATTTTGCAAGTTAAGTTATAGTAAAGTTTCCTTTTGAAGATTCTCTATTATTGCTAATCATATCAAATCACTGTAGAATGACTCATGTTAAATGTCATGTTTTCCTCTTGAAAAAAGCAGCGATGAAATTCCTAGGAAAGTTTTTTCTTGAATAAAATACAGAAGTCTCTATATTATCAAAAATCAAATATATATTCTATATTATCAAATCTAGAAATATTATAATCTGAAATATTATTTCTGAAAATTTCATTGTTGCTGTGAAACATTTAGATTTCAATACTGTGCTTCATCCCATGATTATTAATATGTTCAACTTTAACCTTTTAGCAACATTAGTCAACCGATAAAAGTAAGATCACACAAATCTGTTATCTTCTTTATTCTCCCATTACTTCTAACACTTCTTGGAGCGACATTTTTAAAGGTAAAGTAACAACACTGAATCAATTAAATTGATGATTTTTAAATGAATCAATTAAATTGACGATGAATGATTTTTCATTTGCAAACAATGAACTTTTAAATTGCTGAATAATTTTCATCAAATATTTAGTGAATATTTTTACTTAAAATTAAAGAATAAATTTGATTATCACAAAGATAAATTCATTGTAATTGATCGAAATATTTGTCAAAATCCAGTTTATTTTTGTGCATAATAAAAAGAAAATTCTGATATAATCGTCTGTCGGTAAATTGTATCAAATCGATAGAAGATAATCGTAGAAATTTTTCTTCCTTAAGTGTTCTAACTTATAATTGTAGAAATGTAGTTTTATACAAATATATATCATATTTCATATATATACTATATACATATACGACATTACACATATACAATACATATATTATACTTCATTATTTGTACATATAGTGAGAAAACATATCGAGATATATAATTATAAAATTAATTTCTTATATCACATTGGATATCCAAAAATTTTACATTAAATAGCTTTAAATTAATAATAGATTTGCTTTTTATTGCTGAACTAATGTACATTTTTGGAGTTTAAAAAAAAATAAATGTGTAATTTAAATCTATTGGAGAGAAGAGAAAGAGAGAGAACTATTTCAGCCAGTTGAATGGTAGAATCTAAAATTATTCGTTTTCGTTATTTTCAAGTTTTCTTGGATTTTCCGTAATTACCATCAAATTTTTGCGGTCTTGGAAATCCTCGATTCTACAACCAATTAGCACGGTCGCCGCATCAGCCATATTCAGCAACGCAGAAACATGGATCTGAAGGAGAGTATACCCTCTATGTGTTCGACAGTTTCGGTTGAGAACAAATATCGGAGTACATTAATAAACCGCGACGGCGTGCGGAGGAGTGCAGTGGCACGTGAGCGCGCGTAGCAGGTATGTATTGGGTAGCATGTGAGATACGGTGTAGCCCGCGAAAATATACGGGTATTCGATTAAGAAATAGATTATTCACTTTAGAATGAATTAGGGAGCGAATGTACGGTAGCACAAAAAGGAGATTAAGCGACGTTAAAATAAGAATTGAAGTTGTAACAATTGAATCTATTTAAATCTCATTGATTTTGAAATATAACAATATGTCTGTTTTTTGAATATACTTTACGTGCTCCTACTTCGCAATGAGAGAATAATCGAATAAAAATCTAATTAAACTGGGCTTTTTCGTTATGTTGACAGCATTGAGTAAGTCAACGCTGTTTTCTTTTTTTACAGAGACGTACTTAACATTCCCTTAAACTTATCAGGGTGAGGTGGAATTTGTTGGGGCACAAACACGCAGCAGACAGTATGCATTGGATCAGGATATCTTGTATCTTATGCATGTTCGGATGCTTCAAGGACTTCCGACCTTCAGAATCATTTGTGACAAATTATCTAATGGGACCATGGAAGAATTTTACTAGCAGTGAGGTTGTTACTCTAGATTAACACTGTGTTATGTCATAAATATAAAACTGGATTTTGATAATTCTGGATATAATCTGATATTATGATCATTGATTATATCGTATGTCTTATTTATGACATGACTTTTATGCTAGTCATGTCATAATTGCATGGATTATGAATGTTATTAAACTGGCTTTAGTCTGTACTGCAAATCTATTCTTACAATAGTATTAGGTTTAATAAATATGCCATTGAGAATATGTTGATATTTTAGATGATATGATATGTTTCAGGTGAATCAAGATATTTATCCAGTGAGCACATACTGTTATGCAGCAATGTTGATATTTGTCTTTCTGATTACGGACTTTGTTAGATATAAGCCCATTATCATACTCTGTGGCCTCTCAGGTGTCACAACTTTTGTCATGATAGTACTCGGTCAAACTGTATTGGTGATGCAGATCATGGAATTTTTTTATGGCCTGTTTCTATCAGCAGAAGTGGCCTATTATACATATATATATGCCAAAGTAGATAAAAAGCATTATCAAGAAGTGACTGGTCATACCAAAGCAGCCTCTTTATTTGGTCGTAGTATGTCCGGTGTGGTTGCTCAGTTAACTGCTTCCTTCAACATATTGGATTATCATCAGCTGAATTATGTAACTATTGCAGGTATATGAGACTTTTAAGATTTTACTCGTAATAAACATGAAATGCATATAAATCACGCGCGTAAAACGAATGTTTGAAGTTTTCTATTTTTCCGAGTTGAATAACAATTATATAATATGTGCTATAATCGGTTCTAATGTTACATCATTTTTTGTTACCTCATTTATATAATATATATATATATATATTATATTATATTATTATATAATATAAAATAGTGTACAAATTATTTCGTTTTGTTATATATATTTCCAGCATTCAGCACGGCAACGATCTGGGCGCTTTTCCTACCCTCTGTGGGCCAGTCGATCTATTTCCATCGTGCGAGTACCTGCGATGAAGAAAATTCCATCGGTGAGCAGGAGAAAAAGGAGGTTGCTCAATCGAGACAGCGTAGCTCGCGATGGCTGTGTTGCATCGGATCTAATCGCGATAGTGCGTTTGGCCCCCAATACCAATCATCATTGTGCAACAAGTCGTGCTTTTGCGGCGTCGAAAGTAGCGGGAAACTCCAATTCCGTGACATCACGCGAGCGTATGCGCTGCTGTGGAAGCATTTTGTACAAGCTTACGCCGACCATCGCGTGCTCAAGTGGTCTTTATGGTGGGCTTTGGGCACCTGCGGCTATTTGCAGGTCGCTAATTACATGCAGTTGCTGTGGCTGGACACGGTGCATTCGAACGATGAGATTTACAATGGCGCCGTGGATTTCGCGTATGCGATTTTAGGTGAGGATGAAATTATTCGAATAGTCTTCTCGTGAGCTTCCGGCAGCGAGAAGAACACTCTCCTTGCGTTGTTGGTTGCAATGTAAAATTAAAGAAGAAATTTATTGGTGGATGTAAAAATCAATCTCGAAATCCGAATCTCGAGACATTCTCGTGAAATATATTCCGAGAAAAATAACAATAACAACAACAATATTAATAATGATAATGATAATTTTGCTCTCCTTTAATTGTCTCATTGCGTTGATCTTGATATTATAAGTTTGTATAGCAATCGAAATTATCGGGGCTGTGAAATTATCCCATTTCCGGAATTCGGGATGATGCATGTCCACCAATTTCATCGTCAATACAGGGATTACAGGGGTATTATTATAGGTGTATTATTGGAATATGCCACGACGAGCGGCTGCAAATTGTTCTGTTCTACTGTCATTGTGTTTATCTCAAACGATTCGAGAATTATCGTCGCGGTCATTGCGTTCTCATTAATGGTATCAGCTGAATCTATTGCGCGAGTAACTCCGTTTTTCTAATCATATGTATGCATTCGTGATAAATATATAACGGATTCCGATAGCAACCGCACGCGTTATGCGATAAATTTTAACAAAGGGCAATTTCGAAATTGCATTTGGATTTAATCCAAGTAGCGCGATATGGAGACTAATTGATTAATTAATTGATAGACAGGTGGCGAAATAGCGCGATAACGAGATAATATTCTCACGTCGGAGATTGCGTTGAGAAATGCCTGATTTATCTTTTTTTACGCGCGTGTAAACGTAAGCGCATTCAACAAATTGTCAAGTAAGTTGCTTATAAAATAGACTTTTATAGTTTCAGCTGACATTCACGGCTGAACTGATCGGTATTCTCTTTTTAAAGTCTTGCTCGTTGCTCAATATCGCGATTTGCTTGGTATGACAATTTGTTAAAAGAGAAAAATGAGAAAGAAAAGGAGGAATAGTGCTTGAAATTATTCCAAACAATCATATTAAGCATTTTCGACTGTGTTCTAATTACATTGAATTGACTTTTATAGCAAAAGCCAACAACAGTTGGTCATTTTATCGATGAGATGTTTTTGTCAACAGGTGCGATAACCGTATTTTCCGTAGGAAAGATACGATTAAACTGGGACCTATTAGGGGACATATCGTTGTCCATGTTTTCATTTCTTTGTGGTGCTATAATGGTGGTGTCCTCGTACAGCTACAACATCTGGTTCCTCTATGCTGGTTACATCATATTCGGCGTGATTTATCATACAATGGTCACCGTAGCGAGGTAATCTGGCTGAATTTGAATACGTAGTATAAAATCGTTATCACCAAGTATCTCGAATATTGTCGGAGATCCTGGTGATCGAGATAGGTTCTGGCTCCGGCAGTAAAATTATTATGGTGAAGAGTTCCATCTATATGGAACTTGTAAGAATAGTATACAGGGTGTCCCATTTAACCTGACAAATCGTAATATCTAGAAAACTACATGTCGGAACAAAAAAAGTGGGTAATGAAATTTGTTTGTCTCGAAGGGGGACATCTAATGATATCAAATTCGACCTCTCACCCCACTCCCGGGGGGTGGGGGTGGAGGGCAACTTTGAAATCTTAAATGGGAACCCCCATTTTTTATTGCAGATTCGGATTTTACGCCACAAAATACGTAAGTTTTGTCCGAAACTTTTTTTTTTTATTCGTGATAGATGGCGCTGTAATCGCAAAAAATTAGATATTCTGCAATTCTCCAGAAATGATCATTGGATTGAAAAATAAAAAAATACCTGTTCAATATTTTTAAAAATATTTTTAAAAAACATAATAACAGTTATTCTCCCCCATCCCCTCGGGGTAGGGTGGGTGGTAACGTTCAAATCTCAAATGAGAACCCACATTTTTCATTGCAGAATTAGATTTTACGTGAAGTTTTTATGGAAACAATTTTTTTCATTCGTGATAGCGTTAAATTTTTCCGAGAAACTACTTTTAGCGTTATCCAGGAACAATGACGAGGACGTAATAACTTTCTGTTCCCTTTGGGGTGCTTGTTTTAGGTGAGTCCCCTCGCCTCTCACCATCGGGGTGATTTTGCATAATTAATTTGTTACAAACAAGCACCCCGATGGTGAGAGGCGAGGGGACTCACTTAAAACAAGCACCCCGATGGTAAGAAGCGAGGGGACTCACCTAAAACAAGCACCCCGATGGTGAGAAGCGAGGGGACTCACCTAAAACAAGCACCCCGGAGGGAACAAAAAGCTACTACGTCCTCGTCGTTGTTCCTGGGTTAAAACGTTAAAAGTAGTTTCTCGGAAAAATTCAACGCTATCTGTCACGAATGAAAAAAATTGTTTCCATAAAAACTTCACGTAAAATCTAATTCTGCAATGAAAAATGTGGGTTCTCATTTGAGATTTGAACATTATCACCCACCCTACCCCGAGGGGATGGGGGGGAATAACTGTTATTATGTATTTTAAAAACATTTTAAAAAATATTGAACAGGTATTTTTTTATTTTTCAATCCAATGATCATTTCTGGAGAATTACAGAAAATCTAATTTTTTGCGATTATAGCGCCATCTATCACGAATAAAAAAAAAAACTTTCGAACAAAACTTACGTATTTTGTGGCGTAGAATCCGAATCTGCAATAAAAAATGGGGGTTCCCATTTAAGATTTCAAAGTTGCTCCCCACCCCCACCCCCCGGGAGTGGAGTGGGAGGTCGAGTTTGATATCATTGGATGTCCCCCTTCGAGACGAACAAATTTCATTACCCACTTTTTTTGATCCGACATGTAGTTTTCCAGATATTACAATTTGTCAGGTTAAATGGGACACCCTGTATAGGAATCACGTTGTGACGTTGTACTTGTTCGTAGCTTCGAAGTCGCCAAGTATATCTGCGAGGATAGTTACGGCTTGATATTCGGCATCAATATATTTATCGCTCTGGTAGCGCAGAGCCTTTTCACACTGGTGGTCGTCAATGCGCTCATGTTAAACATTCGGTGGCAGGTGAGAGAAAATTGTGTCACCCTGTATATAATACCGGTGCACACAGACCTTCGATACGTTTCTAGTAAAATCAGCTCTGTATACTTAGTTTAACAGTATATTATTAGCTTGTTAATTTGTTTTCACGATTACTTCACCACTAACGTGGTTAATCACCAACCGCTAATTGAGACGTTCGCTTTACTTTTGATTTAGTTAATATCAAGTTTTCAATTAATATTTTCTTAAAAAATATTCCTACGCTGCAAACAGCGAAGGAACGATGCGGAAAATGTTGAATAACGCGATTATCATCATCCTTTTTCTCTTCTTCTCTCAGTACTTCATCTACGGCAGTTATTTTGTGATCCTGGGTTTCATGTATTTTTTGATGGGTATATTGAATATCGTGAAATATTACCAGAGCAACGAGCGCTTCAATTTATGGACCAGCGATGAGACCCAGTCCACCGTAACGCAAACCACAAATGACATGAGAGACAACGGTGCGTCGGCGGCGGTGGAGGAAAATGGCAATTGAAACAGAAAATTCTCTAACTCGCAAATTTGTTAAATCGTTCAATATTAGACAAAACAAGTACTTATCGATCATTCAAATTTAATCGGCGCTATGCGATTCTTGTACAAAATATTTTTGCCGATTGATCGCGGATGATTCTTAAAATGTACTTGTCCCTGGTAGTTTTAATCAGACGTGTTATTTTTACATATCCAGTAAGCAAACAATCATTGACTGAGAATGTTACGAAATAGTATGTAACGTTTTAGCAGTGTATAACGTTTTTTCTTGAAATGTGATGTGTAACATTGTATCAGCATTATTTTACAAATAACTTTGATACCTCAATGTTTCTGACATATTTTTAGAACATTTGAAAAGATCACATTTTCGACAAGGATCATATAATGTTCTTTATATATCTGAAAGAGTATTTTAAAGAATCACGTCAAGGTCACGTGAAGGGATGTCTTTTAATTATTTTAAATATATTAAAGCAAAACGTCACAAAGGAAAGATACACATACTCAACATTTATTTAGGGTATTGGTTTAATGTCATTTGCTCACTGGGTACATATGTGCAGTATTAGATTATATTAGATACTTTTATAAAGCAAACAAATCGAGTAAAAAATGTGATTGGTGCAAAAGATTCGTCGTTCTTCTATTTTCGTTGATATTCAAAGAGTGAAGTTTGTTGGGCGAAAGGACTGTGATTTTCAAGATCAACCCAGAATTGTACAATCTTAACTTTATTCACAACGACATTATTCATAAACGACAAGTCGTTTGCACCAGTTCGATATTCTCACTTCGTAACGAGACATGAATAATAATTAGAACGTGTCTATATCACGAGTTTGACGTTTATTGCATTTATTTTTTCCAAGTTTTTCCCGTTACGGAGGTGTGTAATACTCTCACCAAGTGTCTCTGCCTTTTAGAATGCTATTGAGATATATTTTAATGAAATTTTAATGAAATATATAAATATATAGGAATATATATATGTTGAAGATATATTGTAAAGAATGTTGTTTATATCTAATATTATATAAAAAAATACATTCGAATGAGATGTTATCGAGTTGTACACTGAGTTTCAAAACGGTTTGAATATTTTTTCTAATTTAATTTTGAACAAGACTGATGGTTCAACGAGAGAATTTGTCTCTGAAAAATTCAAATTGTTTCAAAATTCAGTATATTTTTATTGCTAGATCTCTTCTCGTTTATTCTGTTTATTCAAACGGATAAAATTTTCATTAGAATGATCAATCGATTTGGAAAGTACGGAAGCACATTATAATCGATAGATTTAATCGAGATACGACTTGTCTTATAATATAATCTTTGAACTGAATATCGTCTCACATTCATAAAAAGAGATTAACAGATATGATTTCGATTGAAAAAGATTGATTTTAATGTTTTTTATTTGAGAAAAGTCTGCATCGTAGATCCATATTGCGATTATTTAATAATAATTTAAAAATGTGAAGTACGTCTGTTTACTTTTTAAGAATCTAAGTTAAGAGCAAATCTCAAGTTGACTTTAAAAGCTTCAAGATAAGAATATGAACTGGTGTTTTTATGCGCAGCTGTATGTTCACGGAAACGTGAATCAATGCTGAATTTATGATAAATTCGTGCGTACACATTAAGCCCATAAAATTATAATAATTAATAAGACGAAATGCCAAAGAGCATTTGCCAAAGATATTTGTTGAATTTTATTTACCTTTTGTAGTCCAGCAAAGTGAGCTTTCAATTTTTATATTTAACATACATACAGTTATATATACTGCAGTTAATTACTTTTTCCGTTATTCACAATATAAGTTTTATATCTTACAATTTGTTTTTATATTGAATTTTACATTTGAATCTCTAGGTAAAAGTAACGGATTAAATAGGGATTTTTTTTCCCTTGCGGTTACATTGAGTGATTCCTGTTTCACTGAGCATCCTTAGTGAGCAGTTTGTAGCTAAGTTCACGTACTTAAATAGGTTATTTGATGTCTGTCAAGTTTCTTCCTAAAACATTTGTTACTTCAGGCAGGAGGAAGTAGTTTCGTATCGTTGCGAGCAATTTTTATTCACGTGCCACTTAAAAGTCAAGTGACGAATTGGTAGAAAATGTGGTGGTAGTGATGCGCCTGAAGGGGAAAAATAATACAAAATCGTTCCACAGTGTCTACAGGGTGCTTTCTCGTCTATGTCGTAAGTGTTTCGCCAGACATATATTCTCCAATAATTAAGTTTCTAATTGAATAAGACTGGCAATGGATGAAAGGTTTTATTAGTGCAATTGCTGGAATGTCAGAAATAATAAAAATCTCTATATCTTTCGTTTTATACAATATATTAATTCTTAGAAAATTTATATGTTAGAGCTAAATTGTTAAAAAATTGAATAATCAATTCTTCTAAATATTCATATTTTAACTAAATATTCATATTTTAACTAAAGTTTTAAGATATATATATTTACAGTAGTTAAAACCTATCCGATTAGTTTTTGTATTACTAGATTTATATATGTTTAAAATATAATTTGCATCTGACTTAATATCTGTTTATTTGTGTTTATACTTTTGTAGTTTTATTATAATATATATCATTGATTTTTACTCAATGACATGTTTAATTGATGCTTGAAGATATTTGAAAATATTATGTTTGAAGTTTGTGGTAAAATTGTAATTATTTATACATATATTTGTTATTTATAGTTATGTTAGATATGATGTTCTTGCATTATACTTGTAAGAATCTTTGTATATTTGCAGTAAATTTTAATAATATATTTGTAACACTCAGTGTCAAAGTAAATTTAGTGAAATATATTAAACAGAGAACCATTATTATTAATACATTTGTGCAAATTATTATTTTCCTTCAAATCTCTTCCTACAGGATCTATGGATAAAGGACAGCTTGATGGTTTCATGGCGGATGGTGTAGCACCCACTTTGAAGAATGGCCATAACTCTAACATGGGTTTTACTAGTCAGCAAGTGAAGCAGTCATCTGAAGTTTCTAGCATTGTTTATACTGTAGGACAATATCCGCCGAAGCTTCTACGCAATCTAAATGCGCAAAGACTGGCAAACAAATTCAGCGATGTAGGCCTGATAGCTGGTGGTAGCATTATTAGAGCACACAGATCGGTTCTGGCTGCTGGCAGTGCCTACTTCAATGCCATGTTCACTGTTGGTTTGGTCGAAGAACAACAGGAGCTAGTAGAGATTCATTCAATCTCATCTCACATCCTTTCTCAACTAGTGGATTTTATTTACAGCGGTAATGTGGATATCACACAGGACAATGTGCAAGAGCTGTTTGCTGCTGCTGATATGCTTGAGTTAGATGATGTGGTGTCTGGCTGTATCTCCTATCTCAAACAGCAACTACATTATTCTAATGCTCTTGGAATTTACAGGTAAGATTCTAAATGAAAGTGCCATTGTCTATCATCCATACCAAATTAACAAGTTCCACGTATATATGTATAACATGTTTCAGTAATAAAACAAAGATTATGTACTAAATAACATTCGTTATTGTTGTTAATTGCAGATTTGCAGAAGCGCATAACAGACTGGATCTTTTGGAGACTGCCCTACGCTTTATAGAAGTCAATTTCCCTCAAGTCTGTCAGGAGGAAGAATTTCTGGATTTGCCCAAAGAACATCTTGTTCATTTTCTCAGTAGTGATTACATACACATCGATACCGAATGCCAGGTTTGTTCTAGAAAGTTAATCCGCGCGAGCATATTCCGTACAATATACAATCCTTCAGATTTCAAATTTAATTTTAATTAAGATTTTAAATATTTAGAAATACAAGAACAATTCTTGCAATACATTCTCTTCCCTAATTAATTTTCGGTGCAAACTATTTCGATCGTTGTTACATGAAATACTTTTTTTTCTTTTATCAATGTGTTATAACACTTATGTATTTTTTAGCTGTGGAACTCTAGCACTAAAAGCCTGTCTCTCACTTTCTGCAGGTCTTCCAGGCCGCATACAACTGGATCGTGCACGACATCCCAGCGCGGAGATGCTACGTGTTTGAGATCCTCGGCCACATACGCTTGCGATTGTGTTCATTAGCGAGGCTGGAGCGAATTATCCTGGAGTGTAAAGACGCTAGTCTCATCGTCGCGCTTCGATCAATACAGAAGGATTTAGTTTCGAATAAAGGTTGTTTGGTGCCTCTTCATGCCCAGCCCCGTGTCTGTGCTAGAAAGAATATCTTGGTAATTGGCGGATCCAAGCGAGAGCACTCCGCGGACAGCTGGGGCAGAACCGCCGAGAGTACTTACGAGACTATTGAGAAATATGATATATTCACTGGGTACAGTAATACTTTCTTTCTATTATAATGAAATTAAGGGAAAATTGTGTTCTTGTGCACTTTAAAAGCTATTATAGACAAATTTATATAAATATTTAAACAATATAAAATTTATATAAATATACAACGTACATAATATTTATGAGCAGTTAAAAATATCAGCAAGGCCGAACTACGTTTTATAATACACTTCTGTACTTATAGCCTGTAACAGTCGGCTAAAAAAAACCACTTGGATGATAAAAATTAATTTATTCAAATCTACATACAACAACCTTTAATATTTTCCTTTAGTACTTCAGTATATATTAATATATTCGTTTGTATTCACTATTATTATTATGATAAGAAGCCGAAGTTGCACTAAAAAACTGTCAGAAACTGGAAAACAGAAGCCAGTATCAGGACACGAGTAAATTGAGTAAATGATTAGTAGAATTTTCTCTCGTAGTTTATAAGTTACTATTATTGAATAAAAGCAGCTAGAGTCATTCGATTAATTGATGATTTCTAGAGAATGGAGCGAAGTGGCTCCGATCAGCATAGGACGCATTCTACCGGGAGTAGCTTTATTGGATGGCAAGGTGTACGTTGTCGGCGGTGAGTTGGAATCCTGCATAATCGCCAACTGCGAGTGTTACGATCCTCGCGACAATGTGTGGAGTTCGATTGCCTGCATGGAGGAGCCTAGATGTGACTTCGGTCTTTGTGCCTTGGATAACTGTTTGTACGCATTCGGTGGGTGGGTAGGCGAAGACATCGGCGGTTCCATCGAAATATATGACCCGATCACCAACACGTGGACTCTCGACGGTTATCTGCCAGAACCACGATTTAGTATGGGCGTCGTCGCATACGGAGGTAGTGATTTTTCCTATAATTAATAAATCGTGGTATTGCATATGAACAAAAGTTCAAAGTACATCTATTAGTCTGTTTCTTCGATTATAGGAGACTTCAATGCACGCAAGAAAAATATTCCAAGAAATTTCTATAGAAAAATGTTGGTCTAATTTGCGAGCTTTTCGTAGGACTAATCTACATTGTGGGCGGCTGTACTCATAATAGTCGGCATCGTCAGGATGTAATGGGTTATAATCCCGTGACAAGAGAGTGGAATTACTTGGCCCCGATGCTCACACCACGTTCACAAATGGGTATTACAATACTCGACGGATATATGTACGTTGTTGGTGGTACCAGTAAAAATCAGGAAGTTTTAACCTCAGTCGAGAGATACTCCTTCGAGAAGGTGATTTAGTTTTGTCTTGCTATATATATTAATTTATTGCCCAAAGATATGAACGACTTTGATTGAACGAAACGTCTAACGCTTCAATTAATGTAGCAAAATCTGTTGGGTTCTATCGAGTATCTTATTGGTTCGATCATTTGAGCAACTCAGTTAATTTTTTAAGTAAATGCTCTTCACGTTGTGACATCCATTTCATATTCGTTGCGCTTGCAGAACAAGTGGAGCAGCGTAGCTCCTATGAGCATGGGCAGATCGTACCCGGCGGTCGCGGCCGCCGACAGCCGGCTCTACGTCATAGGTGGCGACCAGTCGCGGGAGATCAACTTCTATCGCACGCAAATCACGATCTCCACCGTCGAGTGCTACGATCCCCACACGAACAAGTGGCACGAGTGTGCTTCCTTGCCTTCGAGTAGAGGTGAGGCAACGGCAATTGTCGCACCTTTCTGATCGACATTTCGCGGGAGTTCGGTTCGTTCGACTTTGTATCGGCTCGATATTGTCGTCTCCTCTTAGTTTTTGAATCTGTCGACGCTTCTTTTTATTGATATTTACTCCGCGTTATTCAACTTCACGAAGAGCGTTGTATCCATTAGATAGATAGTCGATCGTGTTAATCTAAAAAAAATATAGAGCCGTTGATTTTTTTTTTTGGAAATACTTCGCGTTCACTCTTTTTAAATACTTTTAAATACTCACATTTTTTAAATATTCCTGTACTGAGATATTATGTATTGAGGGATTAAGTTGTAACTAAAAGAAAAGGATCACTACCATTTCTCACGAATTATACAGGGCAAATCAATGTGTTAAAAGGAGCCTAGAATCCGAGGAATGTAGAATCTAACGAATCTGAGTTTTGAAAAGGCTGGGATTAACGGAACTAAAATCTAAAGGATTTAAAAGATATAAGAGGATTCATTTTTATAACTTAAAGAAAGCTTGAACTCAATGCATTCAAGATTTAAATGTCTTACACTTTAGACATTTGAAGATTGTAAATTCTTGCAATGTATTGAAAAAAAAAGATAAAATTCAAGCGCAATTACCCAGCGCTCAAAGGTAGGGTCCAAATCATTCCAATTTTCAAAAATTTCGGATCCAAGTAACGGGACATTTAAAGAGTCTACAATCCAAGGAATATAGGATCCAAGTTTTTAAATACTTAACTCGATCGAAGTTCCAAGGAATTTAAGATCCAATAAAGATTCCGATCTAATAGGAAATATCATCAGAAAATACTTGCTAATTGTATATTATTTGAACGTATGATGCGTATATGAATTGGTAATAATCTTGATTCAAAGCTGTAGATATTAGATTCCATGTCTTTTATCACTTGTTTCACAAATCAGGTTAACATGCGAATGGATTTGAAATTAACAAGTTCGTAATGGTAACAGCATATAAAAATACTTGAATACTTTTATTAATTAACGACAAGCATTAACGATGTGCGTTAGGAACGACTGAGCCTCTTTATATTCACATACTTTATAGTCACATACCAAAGTTTTATTGTAATTTTTAATCGCTATAATCACTATAAATATAACCCGCGTTAAACATAAACGTATAAGGAACTGTAAGTCGAATCCAAAGATATTCATCCTTGGATTATATAAAGGGTCTAAAGATACAAGGGTCTCCACAAAATAAATATTATCACAGAATTTTAAAAAATTCACAAATTTTGGAGATATAAATCTTCGAAGAGATTTATGCTTCTTCAAACATTCAAAAAAATAGAAAAAATTCAAGAATCTAATAAATCTTAGAGATTATATATTCTTGTTTTGATATAATTAACAATTTAGAAATTTGAAAATTAATTACATTATTTGAATTCAGAATGTTCAAATAAACAGGCATACCAGAATCTGACTGTTCAATCATTCAGTGGTCCTTGGAACTTTTAACTCATAATACTTTGGAGTCCCAGAATCTTTAAGGATTCCAAAATATGTATGTTATTATTAAGATAATGTTTCTTATAATTAGCGCGCGAAACTGCGGGCAATGTTTTGTAAAGTATAAGGTCATGTTTTATAAAATCGTTCTAAGAATCGAAGAATCGTCGGTCTCTATAATTAATTGTCCATGTAACAATTTTTCCATTGTTCGAAGTATGATGTTTGGTGTTACATGAACATATTCATGAAGAGAATTCAATTATTCTACAGTTTTTCGACACAAGATAAATATAGATAAAATGGCTTTGTTAGACCCTAGTTGGATCACTTTATTTATTAAAATATAATTAAGTTCCCGTCGCTGACTTTAGATGGTGTTAACAGGGGTTTTCGAACTCAATTCTTTTCCTGTTAATAAGGTTAGCTAACATGCATTTCAACACAATATGACACTCATTGTTCAATAATTAACTTCCCATACTTTTAAGTCAATAAAAATTTATGGGACATTGACTATGTTTACATGGCAGCTTTAATCTGATTTAGTAACCATCATAGTGATTTAAATATATACTACTGTGATTAAAAGGTATCCGAACTTTATTTTTAAAAATCAAAATTACAATTTAATCATCAAAATTCTTATAGTCTCCTTCAAAGTAGTTCCCATTGCTTGCAACACACATATGCCAGCGTTTGATCCAGTCCTGGAAACATCGCTCATACGCGGCAGACGGTGTGGCCTTCAATTCACGCAGCGATTGTTCTTTAATGTCCTCAATCGATTCGAAACGCTGTCCGCGAAGTGGTTTTTCTCAGTAGGGAGAACAGGAAAAAGTCGCAGGGGGCCATGTCTGGGGGAGAATACGGTGCTTGCGGAGCGACATTCGTTGAGTTTTTTGTCAGAAATTCACGCACAAGTATCGAGGTATATGATGGTGCGTTGTCGTGATGCAAAATCCAGGAGTTGTTTTCCCACAATTCCGGTCGTTTCTTACGGATTGCTTCGCGCAAACGCGTCATGACGGACAAGTAGTATTTATTTGCATTGACTTTTTGACCAGTTGGAAGGAATTCCTGGTGCACAACACCGCGATGATCAAAGAAAACCGTGAGCATGACCTTGAATTTTGACTGCAAACGGCAAGCTCTCTTCGATCTTGCTTCATTTTTCAAACGCCATTCCGATGATTGTTGCTTTGTTTCGGCGTCGTATTGGTAAACCCATGTTTCATCACCAGTTATGTGATCCGTTTCATGTATGTGCTGTCTTTGGATTTCGTAGAAATCATCTCAGATGACACCAACACTCGATTATCTTTTTGGAGAAAATTCAAGTTTTTCGGAATCAAGCGCGATGCGACCCGTTTCATGTCCAGTATATTGGACAAAATGTGCTGGCACGATCCAAATGATATTCCAATCAACTTCTTCTGCTATCTCTCGCACAGTCAATTGATGATTTTGGAGCACCAATTCTTTCACTTTCTCAATGTGAGCATCATCCGTTGATGTTGATGGTCTTCCAGAGCGTGGATCGTCTTCAACAGTTTCTCGTCCTTCTTGAAACTTCTTAAATCACTCAAACGTACTTGTTTTCGATAAACAATCATCGCCATAAGCTTTTTGTAACATTTTGAATGCATTTGTGAACGAAATTTCGTTTGCAACATAAAATTTCAAACAAATTCTTTGCTCTATATTTTTCGACATCGTACAAATCGCCGTGCACAACAATTTTCATTGATATAAACTGCCGCTTTCAAACGGCTTGAAGGAACGTCATGATTTTTCCAGCAAATGTGAAGGACATGCGTACCAACTTAAGAAAGCAAACGGATTTGATTTACAGTTTATATCGCGATTTAAAAAAAATAAAGTTCGGATACTTTTTGATCACAGTAGTGTGATATATATATTTTTAGATTTAAAAATAGTATACTCTAATTAAATACAAGAGCTCATTAACTATAGTTACTACAAAACAGGATCAATGTTGCCGTTTAAACGTAGTCAATGACACCAAAATGCAATGTCCACAAGAAACTAATTTTCTGAATCTGATAAAATGAATATATTGGAACATAGAGTGCTAATGGAGTAATTATCAGTTCTTTTCACTGACTAAAACTGTCAACTGAACCCTACATTAATAATAAGCATAAAAAAGATCGATTTTTGTGTCGGTCTGGGATCGAAATAATCGATTTACTAAAAGATCTAAAAAATTGATTTCCTAAAACTAAATCTAAAAAAAGAAATCGTACGCACTAAGATATTTAAATATATAAATAATAATACAATAATAGTTTATATATATATATATTTTGTTGTATATATTTATGATTAATTAAGACTGTTAAGATTTTCTTTCATATTAACAATTTCAAAGATATTTAATCCAAAATTATTTGATAATAATGAACCATTTGCTTCTTTGCTGTTACTATACGAAATGCATTTATTATGATTAATATTGCAGTTAAAACACAAAGAAATTATTTACAATTGGTATAATATAATAGGTACAATCTAATCTAAAGAAGATTCTCTATTTATAGTTGACAAGAAACCTAAGACCCAAGGAACCTAAAATTCAACAAAATATGGGAATCTATTAATCGTAAGGAAAATCCAGGATTAAAAACTACAATATAAAAAAATTATATAGGTTACAGAGAGAGAGAATACGATTCTTAATTCTTCTTAATTCTTGATACACATCTCCATCTCTCCAAAATTTATATCACAACTGACAACGTTTACAAGAGCACCATAACATGTCTCTGCAATTTAAATAAATTTTCAGTCCTTCATATGAAACGTCAGAACTGTGATTACATTCATATATTAACGGCACACCTACATATTCAGAAATTCACTCCATTTATATATCAGATTAATGAATTCCTTCAAAACTCCGGTTTTTATTTTGAACATTTTCAAAGAACTTGGAGATGCTGCAAAACTGAATCTTGCGTAGCACAAGTTTCCAATGTGGAGCATTAGAAATTTATGAACTGCGCCTCATAGCTGCTAGTTTTGTATTACAGTACATAGTCCAATTCGTATCTTAAATATTGGTTCTTTGGATCGTTCATAATACGAGGATAACCAGCCACGAGAGCATCCTGACCACCGATGTAGAGGGAATTATAAATCTTCCAGTAGACATCACGTACTTTGCGAGCCGGATGAAACAATCCCTGTAAAGGGAAAAAGAACATAAAATAGTAAGTAACATATGTTTAGTACATATCGAAAGCATGCTTGCTTACATAATATGTGCCATGTGATTCAACTAAATACATACTTGCAGTGTATACTGCAAAATCTTGATTGGTCCGAGTGCAACACGCAATCCGTCCACGGCATCCATAAACGCTTGTACCAAATGCGGTGAAGTTTCGAAAACATTGGGCCATACGTGATTTAGTAGATGTATTAATGCATCTTCACATCCAAAACCGTAAACACCCAATGCCATGTGTTTAATGGCAGCGCATGCGGTCTGCCTGTGTACCAAGTCCCTGATAAAACACGAAATTAATTAGATATAACTTACAATTTTTATATAATCCTGAATCACGTACCAATTCATAGCATGAATAACGTATAATATGAAATTGTATATGTAGAAATTATAATAAATTAAAATATATTAATATGTGGGCAATTTACCTGTCCATAAGAGCATCTTCCAACAATGGACTAACAGCGTAAATATAATCTTTGCCCATCTCGCCGATATATTCGAATAAGAACGACAAAGATTTCAACACCCCGTTTTGTACATTTAGCTCAGGTACCCTATATTCGTTCATCAATGCGGGTAAAACAGTAAAAGGACTACAAGTTTCAGCAACGATGGCAATAGCGACTGTGGTGCAAACGCGATTCTGACGTTCTTGGACTTTTAAGTTGTTTAAAAGTGTTGCCAAGACGTCATGCGGCCTATTTGAGGAAACAGAAAAAATGATATGTAAATATACATATATGTATATGCAGAGAGAACATCAAATTAATCAATTCAGCTTACCCAATGGCTTTGGCAATATAACCAAAGGTATTTACTGTTGCTCTTCTGATAGCTTTTTTATGTGCCTTCAATAGTTCCAATAATTCAAAGCATATCCTCATCCATTCTCGAGCAGAAACGTACTCAGGACCTCGATCTGCGATTCTGCCTACTAAGTCGATACAGTTTTCTTGCACCTGTAAAATTAATTACGGTAATTATGTAAAATTAAATTATGGTATTTGAAATAATCAGTAAAGAATACTAAGTCGTAATAGCAGTACGTATATCTGAGGCGAGATCAGTTCATAAAATATTTCAGCAAAATCTTTTTTCCCGCAACGATACAATTTAGATAAAAGATAATGAACAAAAAATTAGATTTTCACCTTTTCGTGTCTGTTCTTTAAAATTGGTGTCAGCCTCGGTAATAAATCCTTGATGGGTGGTGTCATCTTCGTCATTCCTATGACATTTACAATGGCTTTCAAGGCTCCTAAAATACTACCTAATACCTCTGGATATTCTTCGCCTAGATACTCATATAAGACGACTCCTAAATGTCCCATTAGTTTTTCCTAGAAGCATTATGTTCGTCATAAATTTATTCCAAATTATAAGGATTGCAGAAAAAAAATGCTATTTACACAATGTGTCTCTTACTTCTTGACAAGTCTTCATAACCACAGCGATACGTGAAATAAGATCTGCAGCTTGCTGTCTGACTTTTGCAGACTTGTTATTCAACCTCCATAATATCGTACCACAAATCTGTGGAAGATATGCCTTCACTCTTTTACCTAATGTGTTCACGATCGTACCAAAACCATTGAGCATGACAACATCCTACGAAAAAAAAATCGGTTAATTGGTTTTACAACTTACTTTATAATATATATTATCATTATTTTATTATTTTATAATTTTATAATTATTTTATAATTTTTACTAGGTCTAACAAACCTCGGTAGTTTGTTCCTGGAAGGCGTACAAAATGCCGTCAATGAGCTGCTCTTCCAAACGGGAATCGACATCTGCCGCTCCCAAATTACCCATTATCTTCTCGATAGTCTCCATTACCATTTTTCTATACTGTTCATTTTCATCTTTCAAATCATCCACTACTCTGTTAATGATCTCTGAAGCGCCCACTTTGTTAGCTATTTCCACAGTAGTATCTACAAGCTATCATTATATATTTTTAAAAATTTTGTTAATATTTATATTTATTTTGTTGCATATTTTAAAAAAAGTGAATGCGAGTAAATAATTCAGCTTTTAATATATATATATATATATATATATATAAATTGCATAAAATCTCATGCATTAACAAGTTTCATGTTGTACAATTTGTGGAATGTATGTAGATATACCTAGTTGTGCTATATACATATTTTAAAAATCTACTTAGAAATTTTAGATTACCTGTCTGTAATTTCTACGATCCAATGCCATACGGTGATTCCAAAAGTGTTTAAAAAAGTGAGGTAAAATTTCATCTTTTATATATTGCGCCTCCACACCATCTGTTCCGCAACATTGTTTTACTACCTATATAACAAAAGTGCAACTTTTTAAAAACAGAAATAAAATTTCTTTGCAATAAAATTAATAAAGCATATTATACGATAAATGTATGAGACATAATTTATAAATCACACAAATGTTATATATCACTTTAATATATAAACATCACTGTAAATACCTTTAATACGATCTTTTTCATTTCTTCATCCGGTGACTGGAATTCACGTATAAGGATAAGCATTACTTCTCTAGTGTAATAATTTGCATACTCCGCGTCCATGAGTGGGATCAGATAACCGATAGCTTTTAAGAACGCTGCTAGACCTTTACCTCTATGTGTGCGAATACCTTTCCATAGAGGTTTCAATACGGAGTCGAAACTTTCGATACCATACGGCGTCGCAGCTTCAGCTAACGCCGCAATGGCTAACGCAGTGATGGTTCGTACTTTTTGTTGTTCATCCACCAAACCTATAATTTGTTATTATTATTGTAATCAGTTTATTCTCCAAATAATTTCCATTTCAGAAATAATAAGACTTTAAGAAATACATGAGGATTATAAAAAAATTTAATTATAGGAAGATTATCTTATTAATTTATTTATTTACCATGTTCAATAATCTCCACCAAGCTCTTCAAATGTGGTAAGATAGCGCAGCCCATGAGGATAGCTATTTGTTGCACGATTTTGATGCCAGTGTGTCTCGCTTGCCAGGATTTCTTACTGCGACAAACGGCTTTTAAGAACGGAAGTAACGATGGGATTCCAAGAGCCGATGCCACAACAGCGAACGCTCTGGCCGTCGTGTTGCGTACATATTCGTCGATGTTATCGATGTCGGGTCTCATTGTAGAGATCATCGTCGCCAATCCTGCAGCTTTGGCTAAATTGGAAATGATTTCTCGGCCTTCGACACGGGCATAGTAGTCTTCATCGATCAATAAAGGCTCGATAACAACTAGAATCTAAATGTTAATGGTAGATAAGAAAATGAAATAGCACAGCAAAATTAAATAAAAAATTACATAATTGCAAAGCAATTACCTTGTGCACATATGGCCGCACCAGGTCATCGAGTTTATAAAGAATGCGATCGATAACTTTCACGAGCAAATGACGTTCCTGGTCCTCGAGAGTGGGTGACATGAGAAGTGGTAGGATTTGATTGAAAAGCGGACCAGCGCCAAATTCTCTCGCTTTGTCGGTAATTTGTCTTAGAGCAGCTTTACGCATCGGAGGTGTACCGTTTTTAATTTTCAGCAACAGCTTCATGATTTTCCGCTCTTTCTGCTCTTCGGGGCTGAGCGACTCTTCGTCCACGTCTACCAAAAGCTTGTCGAAATACTGCGCGTCTTCCGGCTTCATGAATGGCAAGTTACCCTTTGGTTGATTATCCACGTATTTGGCATTCTTGTCCTCGGTTTGAATAAAGAAACCCTGAGGCGTGCCGGCGATAGGTGTGGGTGTCGCGGTGAGCTTCCTAGCAGGTGTACGAATAGGCACATATCCTAGGAAAAGGTAAATAAATTATACATTTTAGATTATATATGTGTGTGTACATTTATTACAACACAAAATGTTCCAATATCTTATATAATGTTCAAATAACTTTCCCAAATTTTATTTATTATATAGTATCTTCAAAAATTTAGAAATTGAAACACTCGTAAATATTCAAACTTTAAACCTTTAAACGACAATAACTCCTAGTAAGCAGAAAACATTAATTTCCTATATATGTCTCACCTGCCGGTGGTTGAAGGATCTTGTATCCGGGTGGAAATAAAGCATCTAACTCGTCATCGGATAACGGTCTATTTCGTTCGTCTATTTCACGTTCCCAACGGTAAGCTTGTAACTGCTCAGGCGTCATAGACATCAAGTGTCCTGGTGTAGGAGTAGCCAAACCCATTGCTTTCGGTCCAGTTGGCGTAACTGCGTTGGGTGTCAAAATAGACGTTTGATGAGGAGTTGTGAGTGGCGTTGCCGGTGTTTGCGGTGTCATCGAACCCGGCGTTTGATTCGACGGTGTTTCGTCCCATCTACTTCGTCGTTTGCTTGCTGAAGGCGTCGGAGTTTCTTGTATCAAGTCACCGGCCACACGATCGGTCCTCGGAGTCTCTGCCCAACCACTACTATGTCCGGGAGTTTCTGCAATATTAGTAATATAATCATACATATACTTATGCTTGAATCAAAGGCACAGTTTAAATCTCGTTCAAATTATGAGTTATCTTATTCATAATTATAACCGATATAAAATTTTCACATAATGGTATCGTTGACACATACAATTTTATAATTAGTTACTTATTTATAAAACATGAAGCAAAATAATTTCAACCTCGTTCAGTTTTTGGAGTTTCATCCCAACGATTTCGTCTGCTTGAGACTGGCTTTTCATGAGAGGGTGTCTCTCTGCCTGGAGTTACAGCTCCTGGTGTTGCATGAGCTGGTGTAGCATCCCACATTCTCGTACTAACTCCAGGAGTGGCACCAGGAGTCTCTGCTCCTTTACCATGGCCTGGAGTTTCATCCCATCTAATAGCAGCTGGTGTTACCTACAATATTCGTGTAAAAATGATTTCAAAGCGGAACGCAAGAAAAATTTATAAAATTGGAGTCTTGATTTAGACTGTTCTAAATTAAGAGTGATTTTTTCAATAATTTTCAATAAATTGCATAAAATTACACAATTTGAATGAATATCAGAATAGATATTAAATAATATCAAAATGTGACATACATCTGCATTATCCCAAGATGTAGGTGTTGCCGAAGTACCAGATAACTTTCTCTGCACCGGGGTATCATCAGTTTGATCCCAACGACCTCTTTTTTTGGGTGCTGGTTTAGGTTCACCATTGGCTTTCAAAGTACCATCTTTAGCTTTTTCTGCTAATCTCTTTCTCAGCTATAACATGTGCAACATATATAGATTTTTCTTATTTTTTAAATATTTATTCTATTCTATCATCTTATATATTCTCAGAGTATTTAAACTTTTATATACCTCAGTCTCTTCACCTTTGAGCATTTGTTCTCGCATAATTTCAGTATAAGTTCTGGAACCAACATCAGGTGTCTTACCACCTGTGATCAAGTTACAACAATAACTGTTATATTAAGTGTCTAGAGAATATAAAAAAATATCTATATTTGTTTAAATACATGTCTAAATTCTAATTGATTGTTACTTTTACATAGTTTAAAAGAAGAAAACTAGACTAACCTTCAGCAAAAGGATCAACACGTTCAGGAGAGATAATCATCCTTCGTCTTTTCTGTCTATATTCATCTTCTCTATCAGCTATAGTAGGTCTTCGTCTATCTGCAAATGGATCAAAATCCTTTTCCTCCCTATCAGTTATGGTGGGTAGTCGTCTGTCCGCAAATGGATCATAATCCTATTTGTAAAAGCCATTAGTCATAAGGTGTTCTTAACATAATATTGTTACATAGAAGTTATATTTTACAATTAATTCTGATTATAAAACTTGGTACTGTTAATCTTACTTCTCAACTAAATAACGTTATAATGATAGATAAAATAAATATTTTATTAAGTTTCCCATACCTCAATCTCATCATTGGCTGCAATTGATGTAACATAGCCATCAAACTTATTATTACTGCCATCATAAATATCCTGATCATAAAATCCAGTTTTTCCTAGAGCAACTTGTTCTTTTTCAGCAACTGTATTCAAAATCTCCTTCTTTTTTGACTGTATTTCTCGTATCTGAGCTTCAATATCTGTAATACATATACATATAATTGTTTAATATCTTAGATAACAAACATTTTTTCACATCAAACCTATTCAATGTTCAGTTATTGATCTTTTATAACTCGTTTAATCAGAAACAATTATTTTTTTGATTGGACACAGGAATTACAATCTACTAACAGATGATTAGAGCCTCAATATTTGTTATTTGCACATGTAAATTTACACAATGCGCAAATAACTACAAACACTGATAACTAATAGAAATTAATTGGAAAATGCTAAACTGATATAAGAAAAAACCTTTATGCGTTCTCGGTATCGAATCCATCGTGGTGTAAAATCATGCGAAAGCCGCAAAGAGCGAGAAATGCATCAAGTTTAGGTTGAATTAATTGTGTGGCAGGATAACGTACTGTCAAATCTAGTAAACTCGACTGCACTGCACTCTTGTGTCAACCAACCATATTTCTTAGAATGTTTCAATTGTGCATGAATTACCGATTGCGGTAAAAAAATATATATTGTTATTAGCTAAAATCCGTAAAAAATATAATCTTCTATTGAGTATCGATGGTTTGTATACATGTATGCGTACAACGTCGAACACAATGTGAATCTTCCAATAATACATATATTGATATTAATTGATAAAAGAAAATTAATAATAACCCATTTTTTACAAACCATTTTTATTATATTATTTTATATTTGTTATTATTTTTTATTTAGTTATTACATTATATTAACCAGCAAATTGCTAAAAATTTGACTATTGTTTAAATTTATCAAAGTTTATAATTATTAAAAAATAGAATTAAAACACTTTTATTTTATTTTAGCCTTTTTATATTCTTTGATTGCTAATATATTAGATATTCGATAGGAAACTTTATTTTCTAATGATTCTCTCTCTCTTCTTCAAAAGTTAAATTTCCTATTGGATTCTGATGTACTCGTTGTATTCCAAAAACCATTGAAAAAAAAGCGTTGTTAAGCCGATGGCCTATAATTAGTGAAATCCAGTGTAATATGTTAAAAATGCTTTATTTTCATACATTTCTAATATATCATTCGATCTTATTAAATCCAACATAAAATTAAGCATCGTAGGCCTATTCCAAAATCGGTTTCGGAAACTGTTCCGAAATCGATTTCGGAAATTTTCTACATGCAAAGTTTTAACTGCCTTAAATATAAAATTTTACTATAAACCCGCCCTAAGTGCTGTCGGTTGTAACTTTTCATTCCTATTCTATTCAACCTGCCTCAGGTGGCGCTGGAATACGATTCAATTGACGACACAGAAGAGACTTCACCATCTTGCAATTAGTTTGGGATTCAATCTTCGACCCAGTTCGCCCGCGTAAGCGCGAAAAATGTTGCACTTGATAAAGTGCGTCAGATCAAGTTCGCGTTTCGCTGCCACTCGTTGTCGTTAATACAAGTGTTCGTCTGATCGATTTATTCGCTTTATTGCGCAAGGAGGTCAGTTTCTGCGGGTTTTGCACGCAAAAGTTCGCGATGCATTCTGGGCCAGCAATGGTGGGCGCGTGATTTTGAACAATTCGAGTTATCGAAGAAACGCGCAGGTACGTGTCTCCGACGTCAAATATTTAACGCGAATCTTGTTCATCCTATTTCCCCGAGTCGGACTTTTGAATTTGAAGATAAACAGTGTCCTCTTGATTACGGGTTTTGATTTCAGTGATTCGATCTCGACTTCGTCGTCGATTCGAACAATTTGAGGTTATGTTTCATGTTATTCGAGCTGCGCGCCGCTTACGCTTGACGGTTTCCTCGATGATACGACCGTTCCCGAGTCTCTAATCGTGAATTCTTCGCTATGAGTTCGTGCAACTGATTGTTTAAAATCGCATCTTCTACAGTACACTCGAAAATACATTTCACAAAAATGGCGCGTTCCACTAAATAAATGGCGCTGATGTTCTACGGGTTATTCGCGCTTCGAACTCGTTTTTTTGGCGTATTCGAATCTGTCGTTCGGCATTCGAATCCTCGCATGCTTCACTGGTGAGTGTTGTGGAGGCACAGCCGACAGCTGTTTCGCGATTTTGAAAGTGCAAGTGCAAGAAATCAAGTTTCCTCCGTTCCGAAAAGGACTATTGTGGGTTGCATCGGCGATGAAACGATAGAATTGCAGCGATTAAAATGTAAATAATGTTATACCATTAATAGGACGTGTATTTGTGCGCGATCTTAATATTTATGTTATTATTGACATTGATTACTTCGAATATTCAAGTGAATATCAATAAAATTCGATGTGAATAAAGTGGATAAGTTTTCCAATTGTTTATTAAGCGTTATTTTTTTTTATTTACAGCTCAATTATATATCTATATAATCATTGAACTATTCTACATTTATATTGTTACACAATTGTTACACAATGATAAATATTGTGACTAACTTAAAGTCAATATTTTCATAGTTAAAATTTAATCAGGCTTTATTTGTTCATATTATTTCTTTGTGATAATATAAAACATTTAAATAATATTTCCTGAAAATTATTCGAAAGATAAGTTTTTGTTATCATTATAATTTATTTAAAAAAAAATATTCTATGTTCAATGTTTCATCAATCAGGTGATATTATCATGTCCACGAATAAAGGACAAAATGCAAGGGCTTTGGTGGAGCCTGTAGCCTTGGATTCACGTACGCTGGGAGATAGTGACCTTAGTGCACTGAGCTTATCGCACAACAGTGAGCAATACAGTTCGAATGACTTTGATGCCTTTGCAAATATTCAAGCAGACTTCGAATGTATGAATGCCGAAGAAGTTATGTCAACCGATGAGGATCGGATAGTAATTGAGCGAAATATTGAGACTGATACGATAGTACCTGATGTGGAAATGACTGATATTTCTGGGCAAGTGCAGGCGGAACATGTTTATACAATGGCTAACCAAAACAGCCAGAATATCGTGTTTCAAACTAAGCCTACATTGCAGAGAGTGCCTGTATCTGCAGTTCAAGTAACATTATTAATTCTGTTTGCAGTTAATCACTAGATGATGCTTTATTTATTTGTAATTTAATTTATTTTTACTATTATTAGGTGAAGTCAAATGTCTGCCAAACTACACAGAGTCAATCAATTATGATAGTGTCACCTGCCAGTGGACAAGGCACTAGTCAGATTCTTAAGATATCACATCCACCGACAGCTTCACCTGAACAATTACAGTCATTGGCTCAGACTCTCATAACGGGAAAATCTACTGATGGAAGTGTCGTTCAATTGAGATCGACTCAGCCTACTAAATCTATTACGACATCTAGTTCTTCAGGAAATATCACAATTAGTAACATGCAGAATGTAAAAATAAGTCAGCCGACGTTGAAGCGAGCAACGCAAAATGTTCAGCAAGGGCGTAATGTACGTATGGTGATGTTGCAGTTTCTACAATCTGAAATTATGTCAAACAAGAACTTATATTTTAAAATTGCTGGATGTGTGCATGTGTATAAGATTTTGTTTTTCATGAATTTTGAATATTTTAATTGTATAGGTATATACAAAAATGATATTGACGGGAAATCAAACGCAGTCTGCTCAACAAGTTCTCATTACAAGTTCACAGAGTGAAAATCAACAGAGCCAAGGAATTAAATTCCTTAACAATAGTTCTTCCACTTATAGTGTTACGAGTCCAACAAAGACCATAACATTAGCGCAAGCGCAACAAATGGGTATACTTTCTACAAATAAAGTACAACATATTTTACCATCATCATCGCAGAAACAGGTATGTTGCAAATTTTTACACTGAGTATATAATAATAATTTATCATAATTCATTAAAATATCAAACACAAGTAAATTGTATGTGTTATATTTATAATTGTATCTGTATGTCTTTATGTAAAGTACAATTATATATTTTTTAAGGGGATGATTTTGAATAAATTGCTGCAATCTTCGACGTCGCAGCCATCAAAAGTAACCATAGTGCCCACCAGCAGTGCTGCAAAGTCACCAACAAAAATTCTCCCTGCACCAGCTACGACGATTCAGCCGAAATCTTCAACAACGACGAATCAGCAATCTACATTTATTTCAACCAAATCATCCACACAACAAAATCCACAGAAAGTGATAATCAGACAGGTCGGTGAGATTGCAAGTAATTAAAGTTTGAAAACAAATTTCAATATTACTATTTCTAGTTATAATTGCGGGAAAAGTAGAAGAAGAAAAATAACTTTCTTTCCTATACTTCTCTCTCTCTCTCTCTCTCTCTCTCTCTCTCTCTCTCTCCCTCTCTTTCTCCCTCTCTCTCTCTCCCTCTCTCTCTCTCCCTCTCTCTCTCTCCCTCTCTCTCTCCCTCTCCCTCCCCCTCTATCTCTATATATATATATATATAATATATATAATATATCTATATATTTTGGTTGATTAGTAATTTATTTTCTAATATTTCTGATGAAGTTGATGTCATGTCATAATATTTAACTTTTCAATAGAAATATTTTCCTCAGAGTTCTTTGAAACCTGGTACTGTACTTGGAAGTGGGCAAGTTATTAGAATACCTGCTAATCAAAACATCATGACTGGATCAAATCAAGTTCACCAAATCCAAATGCCTGGAAGACAAGTATTTTATTTTTCAATTTATCTAGTTGATGAATTGTTATAAATGAATATATATTATGTTGTCCTATTTTTCAGGTGCAATATGTGAGATTAGTTAGTACACCATCATCAGGATCTACCAACGTCGTTACTGTAAGCAAGTCAAAATCTGCCACAACACTTCAAACTGTAGGCATTGGTCAGAAAATAGGAAATCAGCAACAAATTGTAAAGGTATAGGATATTTAAAACACGCATGACATATATATTATAATATACATCAGATTATATATAACAACTCTTTTATATTTTTTTTAGGTTGTGCCTCTAAATACTAATCAATCTTTAAGAACTGTTGCACCTAAGACAACACTTACGAGCGGAAGTCAAAGACTGCTTATACCTGCAGCAGCTACTACTGGAACAACTGTCGGCAATCAGCCGAAAAATACTGTAGCTATTCCTGCTTCAGCATTAAGCCAATTAGCATCAGGTCAGGCAGTTTTATCAGCCAATTCGAATGTTGGAAATATCGTTGTTCTTCCCGCTCAATACATTCAACAACAGGTTCGTTAGTTTATTTTTTCTTGTTTAAATTTTTTTAATATTTTGCATAGATAAATTATTAGTTTTTCTAATGTTTTGTAAATAAATTATTGAATATCATTTATTTTAGTATAATATACTGCACAATATAAACGTATGTTTTAAATCACTTTTTTCCTGTAAAGTATGCATTATATATCAAAAAGAATTTTCCATTCATGTTTGTGTGCCGTATCAGAAAAATTGAGGATTTTTATACACAATAGTTTTGTATGATTGTATGATGTCTTAAATTAACTTCAATTCTTTTATTTACCAAATTATCTATCTATTAAATCTTGTAAAAAATTCACATCTCTATATCTAAAATGACATTAAAATAGTCGACGGATGATGCAAAGTTGAAATCACAACAAACAACATCAAACCTAATGGGAAGCTCACAAAGTTCCACGGCAACTCTATGTGTAATAGAAGGGAAGAATTCTCAAAGGGGTTACGGTAATATTGAACCGAACGGTATTAGGCCAAGAAAACCATGCAACTGCACAAAATCACAGTGTCTTAAACTGTAAGTACTTTATCAGAACATCGGACATTTCTTACAGTAATTAAATTTTTCTTTCTCTTGCGATATAAATGAGTCATATAATTTTTTCATAATTTTTGATTGAATATTCTATTTTATTATTTATTCGTAAAGAATAAATGCCGTGTAATAGGCTTTGAATTTTGCCGCTTTCCTTTGTTATCGTCATACGACGATTGACATAAATTGAGGAAGTATGACTGATTTTGAAATATCTTTATAAAAATATTCGTTAGAACATGCACGATGTTCTTCGTGAGCGAAATATAGCTTGGGCAGACTTAATCGAAGTAAGCACTATAATTATAAAGATATTTAAAAATATATTCAAGATGAATTAAAAATATAATTAATATTGTTTTATGTTTAATTTGAATTTAAATAGAATATCGAATGTGTATATTTAAGTATTTTGTCCTCTTGTTACAGCTATTGCGATTGTTTCGCGAACGGCGAATTCTGTCACATGTGTAATTGCAACAACTGTTCAAATAATCTCGGGAACGAAGAAGAAAGACAGCGTGCTATTAAATCCTGTTTAGAACGCAATCCTAATGCTTTTCGCCCGAAAATTGGCAAAGGCCGTGAGACCGGTGACGACATAAGAAGACATAACAAAGGCTGCAACTGCAAACGTAGTGGTTGTCTAAAAAATTATTGCGAGTGTTATGAGGTAAACTAGGATATATCCATACAGCTATTAAATGTGCTTTAAAGCACAACCATTTCTTTTTCTTTTTTTAATAAGAAAGCACTTGGATAATATTAAATATTTTTAGTAATTACATATAGAAAAGGTTACACATTTGATTTCTTTTATTTTAATTAATGATTAGTTTGAACTCCATCCTTTATAACATATATTAAAATCGAAGAAATCTAAGATATATGTAATATTTTCCATATTATTAATTTTTCAAATCTGTATGGTTTTCACCATATTTTTCAAATTTGTATGCTTTTCACAGTATAATTAATTCTATTTTTTTTAGGCTAAGATCCCATGTTCTGCAAACTGCAAGTGTATAGGCTGTCGTAATATCGAAGAACCAATATTGGAGAAGAAGAGTTTGAAGGATCTGGCGGAAGCAGCTGAAGTCAGAACGGCTCAGCTCAGTTTGAATAAAGCACAGCTGCAATTGTCAGAGATGGCATTTAGACCACCAGCAACGTCTAACTCTGGGACAAGGTATCTATGATAATTTCGATTGATTATTTTTTTCTGATTTTACTCTAATTCCTTTGGTTTTATGTATTGTGCCTGCTTACTGGCTTTTATTTGTTACAGACAACCATTTAATTTCTTGACGGATAAAGTGGTGGAAATAACATGTCAATGTTTGATGGCACAGGCAGATGAAGCGGAACGTAATATGTTTGACGACGAGACGTCGCAACGACTCATTATTGAAGAGTTCGGTCGATGTCTGAAGGAGATTATCGAATCAGCACATAAAGCTGAGGCTACCTAGCAGGTGCACTTGTGTATTTTCCCTAAAGTTATATCGCAACACTTGTTTTTCATTGTTTATTAACGTGTTTATGGGAGTCGAGTCAAAGTATGAAAACAATAGTGTAATGAGTGTTGCGTGCCAAAGACATTATCGTGGGGTACAAAAAAGTTCTTGGCATCCTTTTAGCCGGTTAAATTATACCTTAAGTCTTTTAAACTCTTACATACAAACAACGGTTTGAGGTTGTGGTTGGTTATAGTGTCTAAATAGCCATATTACGACTTACACTAAGTCTTCTTGGATACATTTGAAACTTTGCCTAAGAAAAAGCGAAATAATTTAGTATGAAAGAAGAATCAATTCTGCTTGAACTAGTTTCTTAACGATGAAATTATTCTGAAGGTTTATAGTCCAGACAGACGAATTGTTTTTTCTCTAATTTCTGACATAGAGCAAGGACAATTTTATTTTATTGTAAAAAGAGCAGAAATGATCAACTTCAAATTACTAACTACTATAACGAATCAGAAGATTTTAAGTTCTTGATGGGAAAATTCGAGTAATTATAATTGATTGTTTCCATAGAGAGATGTTCTTAAGACATAATGAACCAGAAATTATGAAATGGTAAATCAATACTACTTTATTTAGCAGTTTGATTACGTAATCACATACATCATTGACACTTCACACGATGTTACAAACACGTCGCGAGATATGTTGAAAGAAACGATAACATTCTTGCGAGTTTACTTTGTAGTCTGATTACAAGCTCGTATTCACATACAATTTATAGAGATAATTACTACATTTACATTTATAATATATATTAGACAGTAAAAACCAAATATATATACATATTTGCATATATATAATAATTATTCTGTATATATACAGGATGTCTTGCAATATTTATATCTTAAACTATCTCAAACAAATATAAAAACACATACATATATGTGTGTATATAAAATTTGGATATAAGCGTTGCTTGTAGGACATCCTGTGCATACATGTAAAATATTTGCGCGAGTTCACATATACACATACACATGCATACACAAACATTTGGACTTGATCTATTCACAAAAAAATATTATTAGTTCACCTTTTTTCACAAATTATCTCATTATTAATTATTTTAAGAAGATTAAATACCAAGTTTTGTTCAGTAAAGTGTATTATTGTATGAGAAATATAATGCTATTATCCAATCATAATAGAAATTAAAGTTGAATTACAATATATGTTTTTAGTTCTTGATCACATATAACAAATTATCGATGGCAAATAATACAAATATGTATTATAATCAGAAAAAGTTTGTTTGTCTGGTATATATATATATATATATATATATATATATATATATTTGCACTACAGATATTACGAGACCGAAGATGCAGTTACGTTTATATTGAGATGTTCATATGTATCTGCATTATACAATTTTAGTATATACGTTATGTTGCTTATAGCAATTTTCAGTTTGCAGCAAATACTGTTGTTACAATTTTTTTTTCTAAGAATAGTTCAATTATCTGTATTTCACCTCATTTAATTATTTCTTCATTTGTTCTTCTCTTTCTTGTATTTAACTTTTATTTTTGCAAGAAAGGTATTAATATATTATGATTCATACATACAATTTTAAAGAATCATTATTGCAGTTAATATCAATAAGTTCATCAATAGATTACACGATGTTAACCCTGAAAATATCAAGTTAGGCAAAGGTAAATAATATATTGTAGTTTTTAAATATTGTTGCTTATATAAATAAATTTTTTATTTCATATGTTTTGCACATATATTCATTGAATATACTTGTAAGTGTAAATGTAAGAATAACAGAAATAAATTGTAAAATCGTATGTAACGAGTACCTTTTATGCTGTATAATACTCATAAATAGAGAGTGCTTTGCTCGATAGCATATACAATAAAAAACTTGGTATTTTCAGGGTTAAAGTAAATAATATTGAATATATCACAATAAATTTTTAATAATAGATCTTACGATATTACTTGAAGAACTTTAAATGTATAATCACATTTCGAAAAATAAACAAATGAAAGTAAATTATTAATATGTACTTTTGTTTGATCATTTTGAATATTTTTAGCAATATAAGAAAATATGTTAATAACAGAATTCTTTAAAAAATTAAACATCCAAGAGATACTACAGATACATCTTAAGTTTTATTTATAGTAAAATACTATATAAATTGTATATTATAATATGTTAATAAATGATACATATTTACAATCTATCTACAACCATTAGATTCTATAAAATTACAAGAAGAATTTTTACACAACTCGATTGAAATTGTTTTAAAAATAAGAAATTTCAGACTTTGTCACCTATAAAGTATTAACAATTTATTAACTTGAAATATTAAGAACGATCAGAAATATGCGATGAGAAATAAAATAAAATATTTCTTTCAATAAAAAATATATATTTATATACGGATATAATTTGTTCTATCTATAAAAATTATAATATGCAAATGTTAACTGTCCAATTTTTAACTAAGGTCTTTTTACCTATTTTCGTGAGTACTATATGTCCTCATAAGTTGTGTATTTCACTTTTTTCCAATTATCTGAAATATAGCTTTTTAAAAGAAATAATAACACTACAATAAATTTATAACAACATGTATATATTATACATTATCTCCTAAAACTTTATTTTTAGATCCCTTGTTGCTCTGCTTTACTTCTTTATATCTTTCTACAAGGATTCCACAGCAGAATTATCTATTTTTTGTACTGTAATAATGTTATCCTCTTTAGTCTTTATTAAGTCGGGGCAGTCCTTTTTCAAGTGTGTCACGGCACCACATATCTTGCAACAACCACCATCAGGATAAACTCCTTTTGGGTTGTCAGGACATTGCGAGGAAATATGCCCCTGTTCACGACAAATGAAGCACTTAGCATATTTATAAGTAGAATCTTTGTGCACTTTACATTCAAAATGGGTATGTTCCGTCGAGCCACATTTAAAACAAATTCCTGTCCCGGCTTCTTCCCTTCCACCTAGTTCAGGACAATCCGACAAGACATGTCCAGATTTCCGACAATTAAAACAAAGAAATTTCTTGGCACGTGCCAGTGCTCTCTCAGCTTTACGTCTCTCTAACTTTATTGCTATATCTACTTCAGACTGTGGTACACCTGTATAATAATACATATTAATTATTAAATTATTTTTAAGTCGATATTGTTTTCCTATAATTATTAATCCTATAATTATAAGGACTAGCATTAAATTCATAATTTCTGAGATTCCATCTAGAGATTTCCAAAATAAAACTCTCGGTTCTTCTTGAATTCTGTAGACTTTTAGACATGTACATTATTTTATTTTTTGCATTTGTACTAATTTTTAAAATTAAAAATTGGAATATAATTGGAATATTTTTATTGTATGTAATATTTTATATAAATTTGTATACTTATGTACACTTACCTTTCATTAATAAGTCTTGTTTGAGTTTTGTCAATCTTTCCGCATCTTCTTTCTTGACAGGAAATCCATCATATTTGACAATTTCAATTTCTACACCATTAATTATAATTGTTTGGATGCCAGTATCTGGTTTTTTCCTTTTATATTCTTCATTATTTTTAAATTTCTTTTCTTTTACTTTGCTTTGAGAATTTACATCTGATATGGTTGTTTTAAACTTTTTGGATCCATCATTGTTAGATTTATTCAATTTTCTTTTTAGGTTTCGCTTTTGTCGTTTACTCAACATAGCAGAGTTTGAATTTATGTTATCTTGTAAAATGTTCGATTCTTTGTTATTAAATTCTGATTGTATATCATTAATATTATGTTTCTTGTTAGAAAATTTATTTTTCTTGTCTATACTTTTAATTTCCCCATTTTTTGCCTGTTCTAATTTTTCTATATTTTTATTCTTAGCTGTAATTTTATGAGCAGTGTCATCATTTCTAGAACCTTTCATGAGATTTACATGAGATTTATGTTTACACTTTAACTTTATATTTTCGGACTTGTCGTCAAACTCTGCCCAATCATGATTGTAGTTTGCAATTATATTACTAGTTTGCTGTCCTGCTAATAACTCCTTTACTGACTTTTTCTTTTCTTCCTTAGGTTCCTTATTTTTGCTCTCCTCTAATTGTTGTTTCATTAAATGCCATGGTGTAGCTTCATTTGGCAATCTTTCATTTGACGCTTTAGATCCTTTTGCTCTTGCATACCTAGTCATCTTTATAGGTACTAAAAAATATATATATATATATATATATTGACGAAAAATATGTTACGAGACATTTCAGATTTATTTTTAATGTAATTAAAATGTTCTTACCTGTTTTAAATAAAACTCAATATTCATAAACACTCAAATTATACCAACACGTGTGTGTACACGTGCAAAGGCATCTCTTCCTTAAAGTAAGGGAAAATAGACACATTGGAAACTAAAGTATCGAGATCGCACTGCCATCTAGTGAAGCTGATATTATTTACGTACCTGCTTTATTTCACAAAAGAGCTGATAATTTTTAGTAAATGCACCGACGAGATAATATAAAGTCTCTCTGATAATACCGAATATTTTAGCTATGCTGAAAATAACACAAACATTTACCTGATATTATATACTTCGATTACCATCGCGATACAGATTACTAGTGATATAAAAATATCGTATAAATATATCGTTACTATAATAGGTACCTGAAAAAATTGTTTACTTTTTTCCGAACATGGAGCACTAAGTTTCGAATACTTCCGGTGGTCGTAAAAAGTCAGGAGAGATGTAATTTTTTTCGTCTCGTCGAGCACAACTGAATGCTATTTTAAAAGTTCATACAAAATGTCTGGTTTAGATTTTCATAAATTTCATGGGTATATAAAAATAAAAATCTAAACTAGGCACTTTTTGTGAACTTTTAGAATAGCATTCAGTTGTGCTCGACGAGACGAAGAAAATGACACCTTTCCTTCTTCTTACCACTGGAACTGGACCACTGGAGGTATTCGAAACTCAGTGCTCCATGTTCCAAAAAAGTAAACAATTTTTTCAGATATTTATTATAGTAATGATATATTTATACGATATTTTTATATTGCTAGTAATCTGTATCGCGATGGTAATCGCGATATAGTATGAGATAAATATTCCTGTTATCTTCAGTATCGCTAAAATATTCGGTATAATCATCTCTCTTTAATTACCTCCGGGCCTCTCGGAGCCTCTTTGGCCGATATAAAAATTTATTTAGGGCCGACAGTCTTTAATATTACCTCGTCAGTAATAATATTTAGTAAATGTTTCTATACATCACTAAATTTTAAGAAATAGGTGTTTCATTACTTTCTATGATTTCAGATACATTAAAAATATGTAAGAAAAAGTTATAATAATTAATTCAATAATATTAATTTAAAAGCGAAATAAATAAATGTGTATAATATAAAACATACAAGAGAATGAATTTTATGGTGAAGAAGCTGATAGTGAAACAAGGTATATTAATAATAATATAAAATAGAACTACAAGATTGTGGTTCTGCTTTAAAAGTGTGAACATTATCTTTTACCCTCTGAGAAAATTAATAGACATTGGCTACGCAGTTTTTATCCATAAAATGGACATAGAGGCGCTTCAAAATAGCGCGTCACAGGAAAATCGTCGCCACGGCTACTTTCTAGTTACAGGAATAATCATTATCATGGCCACTTTCAAGAGCCTTAAGGCCCAGTTCCATAACTTGCTTTAAACTCCGTTTCTGGCAGATACTGGCAGGAGGAGATTTCATGGTATGGAAAATCTTTTTTGTCCACTCTCATGAGCTTATGAGAGCAATTCGGGGCTAATCTGTACCATACTTCTTTACCTAATTCTTTGGATTTTTCCCTGGAAGTTGGAAGTTTTCAGCCGGAGGGAGACTTTTGTTCGGATTTCAATTTTCAGATTAAATGCAATAAAGATAATATTTCCTCTGCTTTCATCATTGCTTCCACTATTTTCATATCACCCTCTGCGGAACACCTCTTTCAATCATATTTGAAAAATCATGGATGTCATGAACATACAATCTTATATACGGACGGTAGCAAACTTGGCTCCGGTGAAACAGGTTGTGCCGTGTTGTCTTTTAACCCTCTGATCGAAAAGAGATTCAGTCTTTCTAGCTTAATTTCTATCTTTGAGGCTGAACTCACGGCCTTGTTACACGCTCTCAGAATCATCGATGAGCATAATATCAATAAAGCTATAATTGCCACGGATTCCAGAAGCGCGGTCTCATCAATTTTAAAAGTCTCAGATTCGAAATATACGCATCCATGGATCATTTTAATAAAGGATATTTTGTATCAGCTCCACCGTAATGATACGGTTGTGAAATTGCTCTGGATCCCAAGTCATTGTGATATCGTGGGCAATGAAAGAACTGATGCACTGACTAAGAAAGCGGCTTTAAGAAAATCTCCTAGTGAACCTCATCAACAGATTTATCCCTATTTCAGCTTGTTTTAGTTGATAAGTTCATAAATTAAGGAGGGATCGTTCAAATTTTTGAAGATGTCTGCATTGATGAAGGGCCACCGTTATTTTAACAGAGTCAGAATGAAACTCGGAAATACGTGATTCAGGGATTATAATTATTTATCAAGGCACACTGACCCTTATAGGAAGACTTCGAACGCATCACGTGGCTGTTAATGCTCATTTATTCGATGAAGGCATAGCGGACTCTCCATTGTGTCCGTTTGACAATTATATCCAAACCATTGATCATATATTTTTTGAATGTTGCCGAAATTTGAAGGAATCTTATTGGCTAATAAAAGAACTGCACAAAGCGGGTGTCGGCCCTGCTGAGAGAATTGCTGATATAGTTTTTTCTAGTAATACCCAGGCTTTCCTCCTTCTGGAAAGTTTTGTACGCAAGGTTGGCTGCGTCACCTAAAGTATTATATTAACTATTAACTTGAAGTGGACAGAGAGATTGAAATCTCGGGCCCAAAGTTGAAAGAAGAAAAAGCCATTTTCAAGCTTCTCTTTGAGAATATTACTTCATGTGACTTCATGGTAGTAGTAGTGCTATGAGGGGCCATGTGATTTCAATGCTGGTTAAAAACCGCTTACATTCGAAATGACACCGGTTGTACACGAGGATAATGAGTTAAAGAAATTGCTCAATAATCCTGCAAAAAATGCGAACGAAGATGGATCTATGGCGCCTCCGTTATCGGTAAGTTATAAAATATGTTGACAAGTATTATAAGAATCTCCATTTGTATAAATTTATTTTCAAGGCATATTAATATGCGGTCACGAATATGTGTGAATTTTATTCGTAGACCAATGTACCGAGGCCCAGCACATCGCAAAATGTTAACCCGCAATCGATGATGAGCCCTATGACACCGGTTCACAGCACGAATGAAGTTCTAGAACCGTGTCTACAGTAAGTTTGTACAATATAAATAATATCTGTGTTCTCGTTTATTTTTAGTACGCACACAGGTAAGCATACGATTTTAGAGCTTTTTCATAACATATATTATGCCCTTTATTAGAATATAACTATGTCACGGTCATTATACTGATCTGTGTATAATATTTAGTTGTTAGTATGGATATTTACTAACATAATTGTAACATTGGATATTTGCTAATATAGATATTGGTTTTGCAGAAACGTAGTATCCACAATCGACTTACAAACGGAATTAAAGCTTATGTATATAAATGTAAGGACAAGGAATTCTGAATATAACCCAGCTAGATTTACTGGATTAGTTATGAGGATACAAAATCCTAGAGCAACTGCTTTAATTTTTCGTTCAGGCAAATTAGTATGTACCGGTGCAAGAAGTGAAGATGAATCATTGCTTGCAGCCAAAAAATTTGCTAGGATAATTCAAAAGCTTGGATTTCCTGTAAGTGACATTGCACTTGCTTTCTACAGTTATAGGGTATCTAGATTTAGGTTTACTAACAAACAATATAATATTTTATTATTATTATTGCAGGTGAGATTCACTTCTTTTACGGTACAAAACATCGTTGCAACTTGTGATTTGAAATTTCCAATCAAGTTGGAAAGTCTAAATCAGATGCATGGTCAATTCTCTAGTTACGAGCCAGAATTATATCCAGGTCTGACATATAGGATGTTGAAGCCTAGAGTAGTATTATTGATATTTGTGAATGGCAAAGTTGTAATAACAGGTATGATTGAAGTATGATGAAAAATAATATTTTGCAGATACTATAATAAATATACATTCCATGCTTTTATAGGAGCAAAAAAAAGGGAAGATTTGCATGAAGCATTGTATCACATATATCCGATACTGAAGAGTTTTAGAAAGCAGTAATATTATCTGCTCATAAATATACAAAACAAATAGAATGAGCAGAATAACATAAAAGAATATAAAAATTACTATTAAAAAGGAGAATAAACTCTGCATTTCCAGTTACCTGATAATCCTAGATGTATACATCTGCTTAAAATGAATCAAGTTAGCATTTTATACATTTGTACATTTTTCGTAATAAGACTATGATAAGGAAATATTCTTAATATTTTATTTATTAAGTTTACAATTATGGTTTTTCTTATGTTATGTAATATTTAATCACATTATGAAATACTTCTTTAAGATTTTAAAGCTGCAAATTGTACATATTGTTATAAAATACACCATACATTTTTGCATATTTAAAACAAATTACAACTAAGATGTAATTAAGATTGTAGATCAGGGAAGCTAAAATAATCGTTCTTTTATAGCGAAGGGTAATTTACATAAAATAAATTTTTAGCATTAAATATTGGAAAAGTGATATGAATAATAAGGACACCATGTACTATTTAGTTTATTGTTAAAATATATATTTCAGAGACTTTACACAGTGAAAATAAACATCAATATCAATATACTATATCAAAATAAAATACAATTGATAAACAATCGATAATGTATGTTGTGTGAACAGTTTTTACACAGTACATTGCTATGTTGGAATTATTTGGAATGTATACATGTCGGTATCAACGTCAACGGTAGCGCGTATGTATATATGTATATACACACTCTGGAGCTTTAATTGATGAAACATGTAAGAATTACATCTAGTGATGTGTGTGTACATGTATGTATGTATGATGTATGGTATTTGCGTAGCTCTTTCCTTTGTATTTCTGAAAAATTTCAATTTACATCGGTATATGTTGAAATTTAACGGAGTATTTAATCACCGTTAAGTACAGAATGCTGACGCGCAGGAATATCGCGACGAAGTACTCCGAGAAGTTTTGGCCCCGGCGAACTTCACGAACATTCTGCACATCTCATCGAGTCGAAGGAACACCGATACGTACCAAAAGTTACTTGCTCTTGTTTCGCAAACTGAATAATCCGTAACTGTTGCGTACAATTTTTATAACGGTTAAAGTGTAAACATTTATATATAATTATATGTTTCTGACAAAATTTCTATTAACATCTCTATGAGGAAAGTGTATAGACATTAATACAGCTGCTGATTAACAGTCATGGTCCATTTAAGAACTTTGTTCGGTGCATCGTTAGACTTGGAAATCGTACGACGTTTTTTGCAATGTTCGACGCTTTAACGCTGCGTAAATGCGTGTGTCTTATATTTATTAATTATCTGAACGCGTTAACTAATTACACGTCGTCGGTACCGAAACAAAAGCCCCGCTTTGCACAATCGGCATATACGCGTGTGTATATGTATATCCCTGGAGCTTTAATTGATGAAACATGTAAGAATTACATCTGGTGATGTGTGTGTACATGTATGTATGCATATATGTATGTATATTTTTGCATTCCCCTTTTTCGAGTCTTCACTTTCGCAATCTTTAGTCGATCACGTGTATGCCTTTCTTCGCGGCTATCGGCAATTTTTCCCCTTGGAAGAATGGGTTTTCTTCCTGAAACAATATTATACTTTAATCTAATAATTTGAATAATCAAATCGAATCAAGAGTTCTTCTTCCAAATAACGCAGGAGAAAGTAGATTTATTTATAAGTAGATTTATTTTCTCAACGCTTACAGAATCGAACACTTTCTTTCAGGTCGTTCGGAGATTAACGCACGACGAAGCGTACTACGGTTACCTGAAACTGCTCGACGATTTGATCAAAGTCGGGATTCGAGATTTGCATGTTTGACAAGTTGTTGTTGTTGTTGCTTCCGGAGTCGCCCGAGCATTCCAACATGTGTTCCGTGTCGCACATGCAGTCCTGCGCGCTTTGGTAATCACGACTAAAAGTCGCCGTGTTCTCGAAGTTTGTGAGACAATTGTTCTTACCTGTGAAAGTGTTGATAAGAAATTGCCGTTGAGTTATATTTCTCATGCATACTACATATATCTTTCCAATATATATTATATATTGAAAAGATATATATATATATAGTGTATATATTTATTTTGTAATATATATATATATATTCGGTATATATCGTACTATATATTATTATTGTTATTATTATATTATTATTATAATATTAATCATAATATTATAATATATAATATATATATATATATTATATTATTCAATTATTTTATTTTCTCATGCACGCTATATATATTTCCTGAGATGTAAAATAATATTTCCTGATACAAGATAAAAATTAATTTTTAAAGCTTCAAAACGGCTCTGTCGAGACGTTGCCGTTGTTCTGGAATTCTTCGCACGTCGAAACGAAATAATCGACGAAGGCAAATATTATATTGTATCGATACAAAGTCGATTCGAGGCGTGTAACGCAACCCATGATGTATGGCAAAACAATTAAAACGGTCTCCGGTCGTATCGATCCGAACGAATTCCGGCCGAACTCGATTTACTCACTCGTGTATCCGATCGGACAAGGGTTCGGTGGGGTGCAATAAGCCGGCAAAGGATTCTCCGTCTTCTCGTCCTTGATCCCCTTTATGCCGGCCGACTGAATCCTGTGCCTGCCGTTTCCCTTATTGTTGTTGTTGTTGTTGATATGCTGATGGCTCCACAGCGTGCTGTGCTGCAGATACTCCTGGTCTCGTATGCTCGGGTTCGGATTCAGCGTATCTATGGCGTCGTAATCGGCCGGCAACTCTAACGGCAGTTCCTTCGCTTTTTCCGGGTATTCCATAAAATACGGATCCGGCGCGTCCGCGAGTTCGTTTCCGAGCTGCTTGCTGCTGATCGAGTCGATCATCTCGCGCATGAAATCGGTCAGCATGTAATTCCTCCGGGAATTACATCCGAACAGACCGCATGGGTTCTGCAAGAAATGGATGAATGACGGAGAATCGCCAGGAACTCTCTTATGCATCGGCACGTTCAATGTTATCCGCAGATCCCGCAGAATGCGGCTCTGCGATTCTCACTTCTATTTGTTCACATCTATTCAGTCCAATCGATCGAACAAAAAAGAAGAAGAAAATGGGTTCTCTTACAGTCAAAGTATCTCGTGTGTCAATTTTCCTACGTCTAATTCAACATCGATTTACACTATGCACTAGATGTGCGGCGTGTCCATATGTTGGAATATGACAAGAGGATGGGAAAGAGGGATGCAAGCACTTCTCCAGATACAGACGGCCGATTTCGCAGGAACGATTCCTCTCGATCTCCTTTCGACAATTCATCTCCTTTTAACAGGGCCTTTTAACATTCCGTAACTCGCATACCTTCGCAATTACGTTGACCGACGGTAAATAGATGTTCGCTTGTGTAGCAACGGCGATCGAGAGAAGTAGAATGCAGTACAGCATGGTAGCGGATGTGCACATCTGCAAAACAATGCAAAAACATCCCCTTCATTTCGAGCGCCTCATTACCCTTCACTTATTCTAGACGACTTAATAGACCGGCTGTTCGGAAACCACCCTTCTTGTGAAACGAGAAAACTCTACCGTTATGTTTCATCAAGAAAAAAAAGAAAAAGAAAATCAGGGATACATAAACCTGCCTGCTCGTAACGATCGTATACTTGAGACTTGAGACGATCGTAACGATCGTCTCAAGTATCGCCACGGCGACGCTTCTCGCGCGGAATCGCGAACGGAGCGTCTCGCGCGAATTTCCCTTCGCCGAGACGCGTACGACTCGCATCGCGACTCGATTCGCTCGCGAAGACTCATGAATCGCAAACGAGGATGCACTCAAGAGCCACGAATTACACGCTCGATTACGTGCTTTAACTCGCGCACACCTACGCCATCCTCGAAGCAGCGCGGAGGACGGCCGACCCCGCTCGTCCGGCTTTTTCCTTCATCCGCAGGACGCGGCAATCAACTCACCGCGCGCGCGACGACGACCGGCTGGCTTGCGATGGAAGAACCGACGATACGACCTGGTCGACACACACCTCGAGCAGAAGATGCTCGAGACGCACGGCGCACCGGTTTTCGCGTCAGCTTCACGCACACATGCGTTCTTCGTCGCTGCCGCCTCCGCTGCCGTCGCCGCCGTTCGCCGTCGCCGTCGCCGTCGCCGTCATCGCCTCCGGCAACGCAACGAGCGCCCTTCGCGGTCTCGCCGAGTACCAGAGTATTGATTCGTCGAGTTACGTCGTCGTCGTCGTTCTCCCCTCGTTCACGAGGGTTGCCCGCTCACGACCACGCGCTCCTACATCCTCCTACGACTGCTCCTCCAACCCACATTCCGTATAAAATCGAGCGAGTCGCTGCCAAAGGTCACTCGACTGCCGTGACCAATGTGCGTCACGTGGTCGACAATGAAGACTCTCTCTCTCTCTCTCTTTCTCTCTCTCTCTCTCTCTCTTTCTCTCTCTCTCTCTTAGCGCTGAATATAGAAGGCATTTAGCGAGAGATCGGAGATGGTATATTTGTCTTGCCGCAAGTATAATATACCTTGGTTGCGCCGGAACGTACCTCTTATTAGAGCCGGTTGTTTTAACTTCTTGGTAAGTTAACGGATAGTTAAATCATTATGTTTGTCTTTGTTTTTCCTTCAACTTAGACAAAGACAGACGTATGATTTAACTGTCGGTTAACTTACCAAGGATCAGTTGTTCCGACCTCTTGGGGCTGGTTGCTCCAACTTCTTGGTAAGTTAACTGATAGTTCAATCATATGTCTGTCTTTATCTACATACGTAAACCAGTGTTCTTCAACCTTTTTCAACTCATGGCACACTTAAACTTATTATAGTTAAACTTCCGCGGCACACTTAAATTATGATGATCAAATAAAGAGTATAAAAAAGAACATATCCTTTTTGATTTATTTATTAACACAAACAATGCACCAATAAATAAATGCACCAAAAATAAAACAAAACAACTTATTAGAATTTGTAATAAAGGCTACATCCCACTTCAGAAATAAGCCGGTGTTTATTTATTATAACAATGATATATTCATATAATCAATTTAAAGAGGTTTTAATTTTGATGTATATGCTTACTGTGCTTTGAACTGCTTTCGAAAATAATTTAACTAATGATCTTTGAAAATTTTCGCAGCACACCTTAAATCCTCTCACGGCACACCGGTTGAACAACGCTGGTCTGAAGGAAACTGAAGGAAAAACAAAGATAAACATATGATTTAATTATCAGTTAACGTACCAAGAAGTTGGAACAACCGGCACCTAGTCGTATGAACACGGAACCGCATTACTCCCCGAAGATGACGGACGCATTCGAGGACGACTCAAATGCATCTGTTGAGAGAAGTTGCTGAAGAAGCTAAATATTCGGTCGTCGAGGTCGAATATTGACTGACTGGCAATTTTTAGGTCGGTGTTACTCGATAACGTAGCTTTTTCACGTTTAGGCGTTGTAAAATGGAGAGACACCTAGCTGTCGCTCCGATGTATTTTCACCGCGAATGTCCATTGAAGAAAAGCACGCGCTTGCAGTTGATTCAGAGTCGATTATAGTCGATTATAGACTTCTCTCTTGACCTCATGTTCAGAAATTCAGAAATTTGATTTGTTACGTCCCTTTCTCGACGCGGAATCCTTCGATTATTCTAGTTAACGAAACGTGTTGGCCATTCACGTGTCTGAATCGCGCTCGTAAGCGACGCTTACGAGCAAATATGATTTGTGTGTGGGACACACGTCGTTTGGATAATCCGATATAAAAGCCGGCGCGTATATATCTCGAAGTCCTACCGCGACGATAAAGCATCCAAAGTACGAGGTCACTTTGTCTCGCGAGCACGAAATGCGAGTTAATGTAATTTCTTCCTGCAAGAGACGATACCCCCTCCCTTTCCCGCAAAGTGAACGATCCTGTTTCCACTACTACGTACATTGTATGCCATTTTTATAGCCCCTCATATTAATCGTGTACTAATATCGCTACAGGTTGACATGAAGAATCGTTGTTGGCAATATGCAGCGAAACTTCCTCCTTCGCGAGACATCGCGGAAGAATCTCGAAACGAGAAATTGTAAAAATCTGTATATTTAAATAAGCATCATGGAGGATGATCACAAAAGAAATGCTGGACGACACGACGATGCAGATAAGTCGAAAGACAGACCCTGCAGAGGGATTAAATTCCATCGGAAATTACATATGCGCAAGCACGCATCTCGTTTCTGCAGCTGAAAAATATTTTACATTTTGCGAAATCGAGGGGGATAAAAATCTCGATTTTCACAAACGCCTTGTAGACAGGTACAGCAGCGGCTGTTTGTCAAACCGACGCTTTCATTAAGCGTATCAAATTCGGAGGGTTAAAATACAAAGCGTAGCGACGAGCAGGGTCGGTCGCTGGAAAGATCAAAAGATTCTCCCCTTCTCTCGTTACGGTTGCATATAAACGTCCATTAGTTACTGTCCCGCATTGCTTACCGGCAACTCAATTTCCAAAATCAAATTTCCGCTATGCCTTCATCCCGCTCTTCTCTCTCTCTCTCTCTCTCTTTCTCTCTCTCTCTCTCTCTCTCACTCCCCCTCTCTCTCACTCTCTCTTGCGCGCGCGCGCGCGGATTCACTGTGCGTACTCGTTGCGTTAAGACCACCCTCCTCGCGGTGTCTTCGGGAGAACCGCTGCTTACCGAAACTCCCCGCCGCTCTTCCGGACGTTTCAAGGAGCTGTTGAAATTTCGCCGTCAAGCTTGCGAGATTTCGACGCTTCGATATTATTTATCAATGCGAGGATCAGTGAGCACAGCCTGGCAATTGGCCTGGAGTGTCCCGAGAGAGTGAGTATCAGGACATTCTTGGGGCTGCTGGCGCTTTTCCAGCGCCGCGTCCGCCTGGCTTGTCGGAATCTTCCGTTCGAAAGAAAAAAGTCCTCGCGTCCTGGACGACTTCTAATGCCGCGGATTCCTGCACAATCAGGATCACACGCGTGCAAGCGACGTCCGCGTGATGTAAAGTAAATTCGCAGAATGCTCAGCCGCGACCGCGGAACGAAGTTGTATTTTACCTTTTTTTCTTCCTTTTCCTTCATGATATATCGCAATGATATATCGCGACGTGTGTTTCTATGGGGCGTGATGTGTATCGCGATTGATAGTAGCGAGACCGGAAGTGGAATCGCGCGGAGCAATCTTGTCACGCGCCTGATGATAAACGACGCGATATTTCGTGTGCTTAATATGTGCGGACGGATCGATGCTGGAAGTTGTTTACGTATCCGGGGGCATCCTCTTGGGATACAATATTTCGTAAAGTTTTCATTTCCGGATCGCTCCCTGATACTGATTTATTTCGCACTTTATTTAAGCGCCAGCGACAAGTATTCCATGAAATCCTACGTGGAATTTTGCGGATAATTTTCAGACATGAAAGAGGATCAACCTGTCGTTAAGGTAAATGTCTCACTAACCGGACGTTTAAGCGTAGGTCGTCACAAAAAATACAATATATAATATTAAGAATAGTTTTGATATAAATATTTGCATTTATTCGAAAACTTAAGATTCCCTTAAGTAGAGAAAAATTATTTAAACCAATGTATATATTAGAGATGTGCGAACTATTCGAATTCGAATCGAATCCCTATATGATTCGAATCCGAATAATTCGAATAGGAATCAAATACATTATGGTTTGCGTACAGTTACAAAACGGGCCATCTGGGCCTGTATGTTGGAACCCTTAACTTGTTATTAACTTAACTTATAATTAATAACTTAATTATAAATTACTTTAATTATTTAAATATATATTTTACTGTAAGATGATATTACAATATCAATATTCCCTTTCATATTAAAATCTTCCATCATTATTTGCATGTTTAATAGTCATGTTAAATTTTTTAATGATTCGATTCGATTTCATTTGATTCGATTCGAATTCGAGTGAAATTTCATAGATTCAATTTGATTCGAATTCGAATTTAAAAAATGAGATTCGATTCGATTCGATTCGACATAAAAATTCTTGATTCGCACATCTCTAATATATATACATATACATATATATATATATATATATACACACATATATATATATATTATTAATGAAATATTTACACAAGTAATGAAGCTCATTAATGTACCATGGACTAAACAGTAGAAATAGGTTATGGGCCAATGTTCGGTAATTTGTCCCAGTATCTGACCGCAATTAGAAAATTAGTATGTGCTAACGAGAAATAATATAAATATAGATGTTATCTCTTAATGAATTTATTAACAATTGACCATTATTTTGCCGAATGCATAGGTGCGTACTTATTTAATTAATTTTTATTTTAACACAAAAGTATCAAATTGGGTATTTTTTTCCCAACTAATCGTCAAATATTGGAGTTTTTTTACAATAATTATTACTTTCATTCATTCATTATTGCTAAATTAATTAGTAAATATTTTTTTTCAAAATGGTCGGATATTGGGACGTGTCCAGCCATTGGGACTAAGTTTACCTTACAACACAGGGAAAGCAAGCAGATCGAATCCCGAAAAATACTTTTCCCAAGAAAAGAAGTCGCGGAATGAGCCGGCGGACGATTACAGAGTCGACGGAATCGTCGTTGCCCCTGAATGTCGCGCGCAATTGGAAGGGAAATTTCGGACGCATTACCCTGTCCCATGAAACGATGTTTCCGCGCTCGTTCCCGGTTACCTCAGTCATCGACTCCGTCCGAATCCCCCGCTGCAGCTCGTGTTTCGCACAAAATGCAGTTTGCAAAAAGCGTGATATTTCACGTTTCCCAACACTGCAAATTTCCATCTAAAATACAATTGTTCCGCAAAAGAAAATTCCTGGGGGCAGAAGCAGAAATTGTGAAACACGAGGCTGCACGTATTGCGCTTCGTCGTGCGTCGTTAAGCATCGGATGATTAGTCGCGCTGAATTAACAAAGGATAACCCGATCACGCGCGATCCTGGCGAGGATGCTGTCGCTATCATCGGGACAACCTGCGGGCTTCTTCCCTCGGCAATAGACGGTATGCTGTGCGTGAGTAGTCAACGTGGGGTTGTTACGCTCAGTCTCGGCGAGTATTGATCCTCGTCGCGGAGAGAGAGAGAGAGCGAGAGAGAGAGAGAGAGAGAGAGAGAGAGAGAGAGAGAGAGAGAGAGAGAGAGAGAGAGAGAGAGAGAGAGTCGCTACGTGAATGGATTTACGGCTGTCGCGCACTGTACCGCAGATTTTCGGACGGTCTTCCCTTTCTCCCTCTCTCCTGCTCTCGCTCTCCATCTCACGCTCCTCGTCGTCTCCTCGCGATTCCGATCTCCCCCCTGCAGGAAGCTTTTATGCAACCTCGTCACGGCGCGGTGCCGCCCACGCGTGTTACGTCGCTGCGGCGAATGTCGCAGGCATCACTTAGCACTTATTGCTGTTCGGAGACTGGTTGCGACGCGAAAAAGTACAGATTGCCCTTTTATCGCGCACATAGAGTATGCCAAGGTAATAGGCATCTCTCCTCCCCGCGACAACAGAAGGACGGTTTTTCACGAAGAAAGCTGCCGTTACTCTTCGCCGTCAAAGGAATCGTGATATCGATGGCTCTTCAGCCGGCTGGGAGCAACTAAAAGGCGCATTTTAAGGAATCGAGATATTTCAAGTCGCGTCGGGAGAGACGATGTAATTTTGCGAATGGTTTTTCGTTTTAAAATGATGCCGGGGGGGAGGGGGAACGGACAGGCATAATGAACAAGTAAAATATTTTTCGGTCAATGATAGTGGCGCAGAGCGCGATAAGGGTCGTCAGACATTGGGAAGATATTTATCTCTGCCGCGAGCGTTGATTATTACGACGTGCATAAATTAATTCCGTTAGCTCGTCTCATCAGATATTCTCCTCGTTTATTTGTCATTTCTCCTACTTTCGGGATTCCATGGACATGTACATATATTTATATGTACCGTCGCGCTGCTGATGGCGAGCGTATTAGCATATTTGGCGAGTCCCGCATTTTGGCATCGTGACGGCGGGACTTAACAAAGTTAAGTAGTTTAACTGAAAGTGCTTTGCGATAAATTGTCTCGTATAATTGCGTCTGTGCTGGCAGTGTCGGTAATTGCGCAGTGTACAAGAGCGCTGGCTACCGCTGGGGTATTTACGATAAATTATCTCGTTTATTATGTGACAGAAAATGCCAATAGCACCTTTATTAAACGCAAGCGTGGACGCGCGCAGAGGGGCACTCAGCCGTTCGCATCGACTGAATTTTTAATTGAACCCATCTTCAAGGCGTCAGCGTTAGGAACGGTAGTGACAGGTGCGTTTCTAGGTTGTACTACGCTGTAAAATATCTGGAACGTCTATTCGAAGAACGATGTCTGAAATGTTGGACGAGCGCAAAATCGTGACACAATTTTAATAAATTTTAATTGTGTCTCTCTGTCTTCCACGCTCTCCTTCTCTCTCTCTCTCTCTCTCTCTCTCTCTCTCTCTCTCTCTCTCTCTCTCGTCTCATCATGACGCTGGAACAATCATCGAATGTGCCGTTTAAAAATGGACAGGTATTATGGATAATAAAAGAGACATTGAACAGATGCAATATTTATCTCCAACCATTTATTTTTGTATTTTATTCAAAAAGTTACAGTGACAGTAATAATTTTCCATGATTCATATAATTATTTCACAATAATATCATTCAGCACATATGATCCAATACTGTTCGTGAACGTGAAGCGACTGAATGTAAAAGCGTTCGTAGCGACTGAATATAAACGACATTCCGCGACTTCCGTCTCCTCTCGATCTAGTAGAAAATCAAATTGTCTTCCTGGTATAAAGTCTCCCCATCTATATTCCAGAGAAATTCATGTGATCGCTCGTGCCAAGACGCAGCATTCGATTTGGAGAAATATGGCCCTTATATCGACAAGATTCGAGCTCTTTTCGTGCCCAGCCTGGAATATAGAATCCGCTCTTTGCTGCGAGAGTTCGTGTACAGTGCGGATTCGCGATCGGCCGAGCGGTTTCCGCGTTTCAAGAGATTCGTCGACGCGATAGCCACGTGGAAGGATCCCCTGGACAAAGTCGTCGAATACGACGTCAGTACGATGGGAGAAGTGATCGGGAGTATCGCGAATTGCGCTTTGAAAGACGATCTGATTAGCTGCTTGCTGGACTCCACCGTTCTGCATCACAGACTAAGCAAGATCTGTCGTGAGCTGGACGCCTTGGGGATCGACGACAATATCTTGAGGAGCTTGAACGTGTGGAACTCGATGAATGAGAGATTCTACCGGGCAAGTCACGATCGTTTCATGTACGTGAGTCGTTCTTTTCCACACGAAATTTAACGCGTCGAACTAAACTACGTGACAATAAAATTGCGCTAAACTTTGTCCAATAGGAATCCCGACATCGTGGCGGCTCGCAACGCGAATTCACGCGTGGCCGCAACGCGCCGCGATGTGGAAAGACCGGTCGGGCGTGAAAAAGTCGCCGGGTCATCAACAAGGAGCGACGTTTATTACGACGGAAGTACTCGGCCAACCGCGTTAGACTACCGAACGCGGAAACGCCGGCAGGTTCTCCTCGATTCAAATCGACGTCTTCCTCGACGGGCGAAAGGCCATCGGAATCACCAGGTGTATCCTGGATCGCAGCGCGACAACATCGACCGAGTATGCGAGTTTCATGGCGAGAGACCTCACGTTGGCGAGTCCAAGAAGACGCGGAGCGCTTCGAGGCTGAAGGTAATCGTGCGCAAGATGTATCTGGAGGACTGCGGCTGCCCGACGCTCTCCAGACCCGTCGTCACTCGTCGTTTACCTGTGCCTTGCAAGCCGAACGATCTGATCGGCCGAATTTTCGAGGCCGAGCCGTCTCTGGCCGAGTCCTGTTTGATATTGATGAGACGGAAATTCCAAGCCAACGTGAGCAGCGTCTGTTCGTGCCTCAACGACGTCTTGGGCAGACTGAACGTCGAGACGTCGCGTCTCATCACGTTGTATCTCAGCTGCGAGATACGCCCGGGTTACATCAGCTTCAAGCTAAAAACCGACGGCGCAGGCAGCGCCCATAAGTACCTCTTCGTGGCGAGAATACCGATTTGTCAGAACGTCCACAAGCGGACGGCGATCTCACGCGATTCCGCTGCTACAAAAGCGACGGACGAGGTCGAGGGATTAAAACGCTCGGGACGATGTGAAGATAATGCGAGTTTCAATGATCTCTACGAAACTCTACGAAACATCGATGAGAAATGTAGCGAGCGTAAAGTAGTGCATGACAATGCTCCAGAGCGTGATTGTGAACTTGCGACCAGCTCTCCTGAGGAGTCCTCCGAGAAGATCGTCGAAACGGCTCACGTGACGTCATATAGCGGCGACCCGGAGGAGCGAAACGAGGAGCACGGTGAAGCTTTGGACTCGAGCGTAATCGACCGCGGTGAGAGCCGGCTGAACGGACGCATAAAGGAGAAGCGGATTCCCGAAGCGGACGATTCCGTTGCGAAGAATGACGAGTCCGCGCAATTAGCGAGCTGCGCTGACTGCGCCTGTCTGCCGTCTGAAGATTCCGCGGAGCGGAAACTGCGAAGCGACGAAGTCGAAGGTATCTTCAGCAAAGACCCGGACCGGAGTTCATCGCGGAGCGCGGAGCTCGACAAACGTGGTGACTGGACGTGTTCGTCGAAAGAATCAGACTCGAGGAGCGCGGACTGCAGCCGCATTACCTCAAGCAGCGTCGGCACGTTTGCGCAAAATTCCGAGCATGACAAGCAGTTGGTGGAACTAAGCTGCAACCGGTTCTCAGACGACGCCATCCAGGTCCAGGTCGACGAGCGATCGCGCGAGGCGGACGCCGATTCGCTGAATTCAGCGACCGTGGCTGCGATCGGCTGCGACTCGAATTGCCGCTGCGGCTACGACGACTTCATAGACATCACAGTCGTCGACGACACGGCCGAGGAAGATGATACCCGCCTCGCTCTCGAGACCCTCCGAGACAATCCGAACGCGGCGCAGCCTCGAAGCGCAATCCGCCGCGGACCGACGAAAGTCTTGTCCAGGAACAACGACTCGTTAACGACTTCCGTGCGGACGTCCAGACTGAAGGTGTCGTCGAAGGGCATCAACGTGGACGTGAGTTACCCCCGCAGCCGGCTAGCATCTGCCGGCGACGAGAGTACATCGAGCGCGGTAACGAACGGCAAGGATCTTCCCGCTCCGCCGGAAGGCGACGCTGCTTCTGCCAACATGGATGAGTCGGTCTGCCGCACGCCTGGTGGAACTCAGCGCGGCTTCAGCAGACCGCTGAAAAGACGCGCGGTCTCGAAGGCGAGGCTTCGATCGAACGCACACCCGAGGCATCCCCGCGCCGAGACGCGGGCAGATCCTCGCGCGGGCGACTGCTTCGCGAGCTTGGCTTCCGACACGTCGCACAGCTTCCGTTCGCCCGCGACGAGCGAGGCGTGGCGGGACGCATCCGGGAGATCTCGCGAGTCGAGGAAGCTCCGTCTGCGCTACGTACGCGCGAGCTCGTCGAACGGTGTTCGCAACGTCACCTCCGTCACGACCATCAGGTACCGGGCGACGCCTCGCGAAGCCCGCGACGGGCGACCGGCATTCGCGACGGATCGCCTCCGCGAATCCGTCGGCAGGTCCGTCCGCTGGATGAAGAGTCTGATTCGCGGCAAGCTGGCCGAGGGGGAGCTCCTCGAGCGCCAGCGAGTCAGGACGACTAGGACGTTTCGCGGCTGCGAACAGGGCGAGACAGGTGGAGATATCGCGGGACGCACGACGGCTGAGAGATACGTCGGGCAGGTATATTTCGCAGGGAGGGAATGTGGGAGAGTTGATCGAGGTCGAAGCGACTTGGTAAAGTGGATAAAATTGATGCGGCGAAGATCCCGCTCTCGCGAAAGTAACAATTCAATTTTCCAGACTGGGAATCTCTCTTTGCTTCAGTCTTCGAGTGAGTCGTGTGTGAGCCGGTAATTTGTTTTTATCGATTTTTCTGCAGGGTTACTGCGTGACTCCGTGCTCGAATTCCCATTGTCGCGGACGAGGCTACACTACAACACGCGTCGAGTCCTCGGACGTGACGCTGCCGCGGCGCAGGAATCGCGGGAAAGAAAGGAGCGAGGGAGGAATGAAGCTGCGCGACCGCAGATTGGCCGGCGGCAGCGAGGTCTTGTCGAGCTTCAGCTCGATCGACACCACTTACACGCGGTCTTACGATTTGTTGACTCTGGCAGCCGAGGATTGGCAAGCGCGGCGACTAGACGACGGCAGCGATCGACGGCATCTTGGGCGAGGAGCCGCCGAGGACGAGCGAGGACTCGTCAGTCGTAGCAAACACTGTCATGGCCGCGACTGCGGGAATCACGAGAAAAGTAGAGCCATTTCCTCGCGTTCAGCCGTGATGTCCCTCGCCGACGATGTTTCCGCGAGACATCTTGAGCCTGGCGCGAGCAAACGACGGAGGGCAACACTTGGCGGCGAGCGTGAGAGGGATCGACGAGCGAGTGAAAAAAGACAGCATCCGGCCGGACGATGCGGCGATCGGAGGAAGAAGCCGATCGGATACGCTGCGGGTGAATTTTCAGAGCTGTCGTGGTCGTCGTTCATCCGAATGAACGAAGCCAGAGATGCCCGAGCGAGAGGACGCTCTCATGGCGCGTCGAAATCGAGAAATGCAAGCGGACTATCTCCTTTAGGAAAAAATCGGGAGACTCTCGACGGGGATACGGAGATGGATCGTCTACGCAGGAGGCGCGCGTTCGCACTTTCGACCGACACGTGCCACGATTTGGAGTCCACGCTGTCGCGATACGTGCAGCTCTGCAGAAACGTCAAGCGTTCATTGATGAAGATGCTGTGGCTGGATGATATTCACGAAGTTAGCACGACGGCGACGCGCGGTAGCGACTCGTGAGAGATTCTGATTCAGCGCGACGTCATTCACGTCGCGTTTGACTCCAAGACCGTGGGGTTGTAAAATAATATTGTTCGCACACGTCGCGTGCGAATAATATTCGCGACGTTCACGTTGCCACGCTGTGTAATCCAACGTTCGTTGGGATCGATTTTTATGGTTGCATTTTTAAGGCAACGGGGATATTTCTCGAAAACTACCAACATATACGCGAAAATATCTTCCACGATGTGAAGAGAATTTAATTATTCTAACGTCCCAATAATTGTCTCATCGCCTTTCATTCATGTAGCATCGAATCTAAGTGGAGATTATTAATTGAAATGCGTATCGGCTAATCTGCCGCAGATTACGCAACAGGATCGTTTTTACACCTCACGCACACCCGGAGACGTGAAAAGACGAAGCGTATTGTGTATAAGACTTTAAATAAAAAAACAAAAACGTTACGTCAAATAATTCCGCGAAAATCCTTTATACATGTATGTATGCGTGTGTGAGCTGCTCGTTTCTTCAAGAACTCCGAACGAAGTAAATCTATAAAAATGCTGGTGAAACGAGAGCGCGATGTGACGGGGACCGCGAATAAATATCGGCTTGCAAATTGTCGTCGCGCGAGGAGCGTTAAAAAAGTGCTCCGTCCGGCGCTTGTTAGAGCCGGCGGAGCCGCTATAAGCCCGTCGGCAAATCAATTCTCCTTCATGGATTACGATGTTCCCGCAGGCGTCCGCTGGTCAGTAGGATAGTAAAATCCGAGTTATTTAGGACATACTGACGCCAAAGAGGAGATAAAGTATTGTACCGACCATTGAGAACAGCAGCATCCGTCCCGCCGGGCAGATCGATATTTCCTGGCAACCAGCGAAAAGGGTGCCTACCCCCGATCGCTCTCTGTTTGTAACAATGCGAGTCGACTATCCCGCGTCAGCATGAGGGAAGAGGGAAAGATGATCCGCTGTTATCTTGATACGGAGTTGTTTCTTCATTTTCGGTGCTCTCCTTCTTCGCGCGAGATTACCGAGACCTGCCGGTCTGAACATTACTCTCGCGGAATCTCGTGTCGCGAGTTCGAGCTCAGCTTGGACGGAATGACAAGCACTAGGAAATGTCGTTCGCAAATCTTTGAGAAGTTCGACCGGACGAATCGATCGATTCTCTGCTCTTTAATCTTCCGTAGCGAATAATCGTCAGCGTAATGACGTGGAATACGAAGAGAGAGAAAGAGAGAGAAGGAGAAAGAGAGAGAGAGAATGAGAGAGAGAGAGAGAGAGAGATATTTCTTCCCACTCTCGATCATTATAAATAACTCCAACCGCTCGCCATCTCAGTCCGTTCCGTTCGTCGTTCTCTCGAGGAACTAATGAGCCTCAAAACTTCGGCCTCTGCGCCGCCGATAATGCGTGATCCGAAAAATGGTCGCCAACTATATAGCCATTTCTGGCGATATGGAAGTAAACACGAAAAGTAAAAACAGAACTCGCCTGCAGATAAGCGTTGTAAAAATACACCTGGGATATTCCGTCGACCTCATATGAAGCGCTTAACAGGTTAATAATGTTAACGGTGTCTCTCGCGATCGTTTTTCCTGCGTGCCGTTTTGTTGTTGCAAAACTTTCGCCCGGGGTGTAGGAAGCTCCGCCTGAAGTCGATCCGAAGGGGGTTGCCAGCACCGTCGATTGGCCAGTGATATCGATGCGTCGCACAGCTAGTCCAATCGCGTGGTCGCGCCGGGATGCGCTGACGCCGTGACCAGAAGTCAACTTTGTTGCTGCCGCCGCCGCTGCCGCCGCCGCCGCCGCCGCTACCACCCACGCGCCGCCACCACCGCCGCCGCCGCCGCTACCGCCGCCGCCGCCGCCGCCGCCGTCGACGACGACGACGACGACGACGACGACGTCAGGCGACGTCGACGACGTTCTCCGTCGCGTACCCCGCGCTACAGTTACCCAGTCCGCACGTAACTGTATCTGGACTTAATTATTGGTGAGTCCCGCGAGTCCTCCGAAATCGCCGCGTTTTCCTCTTCCGGCCGCGCGATGATAACTCACGAGTATCAAGAGAATCGCGAATAACGATCCCACTGCTCGCGATTCCATTTTGCTCGCGGTCGAAATCCAGGCCGAGACTCGCGCGATACGCGCCTCCCGAAGAGGAAAGGACCTCGAGCGGAGGGCCACCGAGTGCTGACGAGACTCGTTCTCTTTTCAGTGGTGAAATGACGGGGGTTGGCTTTGAGATTTCGGTACGGCCGCCAAGTATAGATCGCCAAGTGAAATTCTTGCTCGTACGTTCTCGAGTGCATCGACGACGCGGAGATTTACGTTGAAAATTTCGAACGTCCGAAAGTGGTTCTTCTCTCTCTCTCTCTCTCTCTCTCTCTCTCTCTCTCTCTCTCTCTCTCTCTCTCTCTCTCTCTCTCTCTCTCTGGTCTTTCGCCGCTCTTGGTTGGATTCGAAAGAAGGATTCACGAGGTTGGAAATTCGATCAAAACGAAGGAAACACAGTGATGATAAACTCGTCCCCCGACCACTCGCCTCTTTCGTCGCCGAGGGAACTTGGAAGGCAACTTCTCTTCGTGGCCTTCATCTTCGCCGGAAAAGATTTCATTTCGGAAATTCTGGCACGAGTGGTGAGCCGCAGAGAGTGGTGTGCAATTCGTTCGTGCAATTTTAAGAGTGACCCGAGCACACGTCATGTATCAATGTCATTCTGTGTGTTCTCTCCCGCGATGTGAGAAAGACCGTGACGTTCTCCTGAAAAGCTCGCGGAAGCTCTTCATTAGTGACGGCTGTGATTTTCAGACGTGTGAAACTCGTCGCTGAGACTCGGTAACTGGTCCCACTGGATATCGATGCTTCTGCGACGCTTTCTCTACGACGCTGTCATAATAAGTTTATCTCGACTTGGACTGCGCGTGAGTGCCCGAGGCTGCGGGATGTCACAACGCTCGTTTGCGCCATTCGCGCGTCGATTAGCTGCGAATTAGGTTTCCTCCGCATAAATCTGCTTTGATTAAAACTCTCTTTGTACATCACTGGCGGATTCTACCTCTATTAGCGCCTTTTGTTCCTCGTTGGGACGGACTTCGTTTCTGCCGCGATGCTGTTTCTCAATATTTTGTTATTTGTCAGTACTTGTATTATTTTTCTCGCATATTTCTATAAAGAAGAAGAAGAAGAAAACGTTTCCTTTCATTTCCTGGATACGTTAACCGCACGACGTGTTGATACATGTTCCGCTACTTTCTACACGCTCTTCGTGCAATTATCATTCGAGAAGGTGACTCGAGTTTTTCCTTAAACGGACGTGCAGAAATTCAGAACGTTTCTTACGATTCCGCGCCTCGTCTCTCTCTCTCTCTCTCTCTCTCTCTCCAACATTTATTCTTATCAATCAGAAACACGAGGGAGGTTACACACGATGCAGGAAACGAGATCTTCATCGGGCCGTTCGATGTCCATTAAGTTGAGTCAGCATGTCCCATACTCGTCATTCCACCCCAATTCGTCAACACGTATTGTGCATTTTGTGCCTTTTGTCTGTCACGTGCCGTTTTAATATCCGAGAGCTATTGTCCTGCGATGCGCCTCTTTATGATCGGCGCAGTACCCCCGTAACGATTTTTGCAGGCCGCACGCTTCGTCGTGCAACCACGATGGACGATTATTATCTAACAAGACCGTCACTCTTGCAGAGCGAAAATAGTAACACGAGCGGCAAAAAGACAGCTGTTTAGCGTGAGGAAAGCGTGAGAAAGCGCGAAAGTACGGATGAAATTCTGCGCGTAACCAGAGAGGAAAACGCTACGAATGAGTGACATCGAATTTGTCCAAAGCGAGAGAGCACGAAAGAGAGCAAGGAGAAATGCGAAAAATACTTTTTATACGCAATTTCGCAATTTGTGTGATTCGACTTAGCGGAGAGGCTGCGCCTGTCGCATTTAATTTTCTCACCCCGTGAGGGCGGCGAAGGTGGTGCTGAAGTCCGCGATATTTTCCGTCGGCGCAGCGTGCTACGTCTTGATTAGAGACAGACCCGATTAAGATCTCGCGATTTAAGCGAGATACGCCGCCGAGAAACTTTAAGTGAAAAATATGATCTCGGTGTACGGCCGGCGCTATAACGTTTCTTCTCACAGTTTTCCACCCTCCGAAGATGCTCCCTCGAGAGTTCGGGGATTAGGGGTGGAGAGACTGCCACTCCAAATAAACACTCCTGCCACGGTCGCCCCTGTGCCGTTCTGTAAGGGATGCTCTATATAGATATAGCGCGAACGAACGGGTGCTGCAGATAGACGAAAGGGAAGTCTCTCCTCGGGAGATACCGCGTGGCGCCGCCGAATAAAACGCGGAATCTCGAATCTCTCGACGTCGCTCGTTCGATCGCGATCGCGTTAACGCGATCGCGATCGAACAAATCGAACGATTTTACACAATTTTTACACAATTTCTACGCAATCCTCGCGAGTTTAACGACGAAGACTGACGGGGCTTCCTTTGCTGCAGGGGCTGCCAATTAACACCGCAATTACACGAAATCCCGGAGCAACTCCAATAATTGGAAAATGTCCGGATTCGCAGCGGCGGGTCTTGTGGCCTTTGACTCCTTCAAGACCAAAGCATCGCTGAAATTATCCGGGTAACGTTGCGCGTTGTTCGTAACGTATTAGTTAAATGTTTAGGGCACGTTAAACGTCGCGGAGTAAAATTGAATCGTCACAGACAGAGACGACATGTTTCCCATCGTGCGTATTCTCTGCATCGTCAGACGGTACAGAGAGATAACTAATTACGCAGAGAATTACCGTATTACTTTTGCAAAATTACGAATGCAATCAATGTGTCGTTATCCACATCACGTTGGCTCACGTTGATCGCGAACGCGATTTAATTGAAGCAAGGCAACTAACTCATTTTGTAGAGTCGGACGAAGTAATGAGAAAATGACCGAGAGGATATTCGGATAAGCGAGATGACCGAAGAGAGTAGAATAAGCAACAGCAAAAGTTACTCGGGCGTGAGGACCTTTCGACACAGCATGGTAATTCCGCAGGTTCAGAAGAAGCAACGCCGGTTACGAGGAGTTCGAAGGGCCGCGCGAGGGTAGCAAGGACAACAAGGGCTTCGAGGATGAGAGAGGATACAGCAGGCAGGCGTCGTTCGAGTCGCTGCCGGAGCCGGAGAGGCCACCGTTGCGGCACATCGACACTTATTGCATGCCGGAGTGCCCATGCCTCTCGAAGAGGTACACCATCGCGACTCTGGCCTGCGTAGGTAAGACGATGATCGAGCATGAAGCAGCCGCGAAGTCGCGATTCGCGTCCGACCAATCGACATCGCATGTGTTCATCCGCACCTTCGCAGGCTTCATCATCTCGTTCGGCATGCGGTGTAATATGGGGATGGCGAAGCTGGCGATGAAGAACAGCACGAGAGAGGGCGAAAACAGCAGCATCAAGTTCAACTGGACGGTCGGTATGGAGAGCGCCCTCGACTCGTCCTTCTTCTGGGGTTATCTGGTCACACAAGTACCTGGAGGCTTCTTGGCGTCTTTGTATCCCGCGAACAAAATCTTCGGCACGGCCATCGCGATATCCTCCTTTCTGAATCTCCTGGTGCCAGGCGCGCTGAACATAGACCCCATCGTCGACATGTGCGTGCAAGTGCTGAAGGGATTGGTCGAGGTGCGTAGCCGGTGGTGCGACGCCGAATGTCGTTCGCCGCGGCCGATTGCACGCTGCAAGCTCCGAATGTGTCATTTCGACGCGCATAAGCGTGTAATTGGCTGAAGCTGCCTTCGCGCGTTTCTCGAGTCACGTCATTTGATTCTCTTAAACGTGTTCAATGACGTTTACACATTTAACGTGTTTTTAAACGTGTCAAATGCGACTTAAGACAATACGAAACGTGCGACGAAAGTTTCGGCCAATTACACGCTTACGCGTGTCAAAATGACACGCTCAAATTTGCAGCGCAGCCGATCGTTACGAGCGAGTACGCGCTCACCCGCAAAAAAGTAATTTCAACGGACAAACGGAATCATCAAAATTTTAGGGGATTTTATGGCTCTTATGTATGGCCTCAAGAGGATTCCTCTAAAATTAAGAGGGAAATATTATAAACACATTAGTCTTAAAATTAGTATAATGCAAATTTTATTGATTTTAATATAAATTCCCTCTTACACACAGATTATTTAGTCTTTTTTCAAGAGAATTATTATTTATTCTTACACTGCCATACTGCTTAATTTGAAAAAAATTATTATAATGTACAGCGAAAAGTAATATATATATATATATATATATATATATATAAATATATAGATTTATTTCTGGCTCCAGTTCTACAATAAGTAGGCACGAATGAAATAAGGTCAACAATACATAATGTAACAAATAAATTTCCAATCAATTTTGTTTGTTGGACCTCATAGATACTATAGATGTTCATCATAATCAGTTGTATGAAACGTAGTTAAAAGAAAGAATATATTATTCAACTTCTTGCAATAGATTATAAACTATATTTGACCAAATATGAGTAAATTATCTTTGTTATATATTACAGCAACACACATACCTCTTGTAAAAAGCATTCCAAATATTCTGACCTATGAGAGCATACTGATTATTTTTTTCGTATATTCGTATCTGGAGAGGTAGAGTAACTGAACAAAAGAAGCCGACATTCAAAAATCAACGTATTCCTCTTCGTATAAGAGGAAAATTAATTGATACGAGAGGAAATTCTCTTGAAATAAGAGGAAAACAGTTAGAATAATCTAATCTAATAAATTTCAGATGAATTGTTCACTTTAATCGCTTTATCGAAAGAGGAATCCTTTCCCTGTAAAAGCCTTAGAATATGAAACTATGGGAGAAATCACTTGACAAATAGAATACTTTTTCTCGAGTGCTCGTCGCTATAATAACCTTGGTGGACCTTGATGCCCCCCGCAGGGTGTCACGTATCCGGCGTGTCACGGTATCTGGAAGTACTGGGCGCCGCCTTTGGAGAGATCACGCTTGGCCACTTTGGCGTTCTGCGGCTCGTACGCCGCGATGGTGATAGGAATGCCGCTCTCGGGTTACCTGAGCGCCTGGTTCGGCTGGACCGCGTCGTTCTACTTCTACGGTAAGTACCGACTTCGCGACCACGAGGATTCAGGATATCGACGCAGCCTCGGCGTCGTGTTCACAGGCGTGTGCGGCTTGATTTGGTACTGCTTCTGGCTGTGGCTGGCGTTCGAGAAGCCGGCGAAGCACCCCAGCATCTCGGCTCGCGAGCTGCGCTACATCGAGGACTCGCTCGGCCAAGGGCAAGCGCAATGGCCCGTGCCCACGCTGGCTACCACCCCCTGGCGGAAGTTCCTCACGTCGATGCCCGTGTACGCCATCATCGTCGCGAACTTCTGCAGGTCCTGGAACTTCTACCTGCTGGTGCTCTTCCAGCCGCGTTTCATGCACGAGTCTTTCGGCATGCCCCTCGTCGAGGTAATGAGATCCGCTGATAAGAACATTCGATGCCCTGCGATTTCGATGCTTGACAACACGCTGTTCACGCCCGCTGCGTAACGCATTTCGACAGACCGGAGTCATCGGCTCGCTGCCGCACCTGCTGATGACGATGATCGTGCCCTGCGGCGGTCTGCTGGCGGATTACCTTCGCAAACACGGTATCATGTCGACGACGAATGTCAGGAAGGTCTTCAATTGCGGTGGCTTCGGCATGGAGGCGCTCTTCTTCCTGGTGGTGGCTCACGCGACCACGTCGAAGAACGGGGCCGCGGCTACGTTCGCCCTCGCGATCGGCGTCGCGTGTAGCGGCTTCGCCATCTCCGGCTTTAACGTGAATCACCTGGACATCGCGCCCAGATACGCCAGTATTTTGATGGGCATGTCCAACGGGATCGGTACCATCGCCGGCCTTCTGGTCCCCTTCTTCGTGGACGGAATCACGGAGAAGAAGGTACAACGACGAAGAAGCAAATTAGACCTATATTGGTTAACAATGGAACTACGTTCGGCGGAGGAAGCTGCTCTGCAATTGTTGTAAAATTCGTGAATCTGATTCACGCGCATGCTTTTGGATTCAGCCAAATTTAAGAGCATACGCCAATTGGACTCGCGAATTTTACAACAGTTGTGAAGCAACTAGCTTTCTCCGCCGAACGCAACCAATGCCATCGACGCGGAGATGATGTGATTTCTGAGATTACAATTTATGCGTACAGTGCATTCTATTTCAACTGAATACGTAAGCAAGAACAGAGCATAGATAAAGGATTAAACACATTCGGCGCAGGACGCTCAAAGCTGGCGGAACGTTTTCATCATAGCCGCCTGCGTGCATATCTTCGGAGTGACGTTTTACGCGATCTTCTGCTCCGGCGAGTTGCAACCCTGGGCTGATCCCACGCTGGAGGAGCAGAAGTCCTGGAATCCGATGGACGAATTCAGCCAGGCGAAGCCGCCCGTCCCCCCGCCGCCGAAGACCATGCAATCCGAGTTTATAGTAAGTGTGCCCAATTTGTATTCGCGAGGAAATATCGTTACTCGCCGCCATGACGCCGCTGAGGCATCAGAAGTAGAATTTAAGGTTGGTTCCATCCATGATCGAAAGAGACGAAAGGGCGGAGTGAACCGTTTCCTTTCGTTGCAGAAACAGCCGTCCCTCGAAGGGTCCGCCAACGACAACTGGAACAATTACGAGCAGCCAGCGCCGACCGAGAACCACCTGTACGCACGCCAGGACAAAACTCCCGTGATAAGCTACGGCTCGACGGAGACCAGCGGCAACAATCCGTTCCACTCGACGAATCCGTTCGCCAGCGACGTCAGCGCGACTCTCGTGCAGCCGCCAGCAACGGACGACTACACGCACGACGTCGTGCACAATCAACAGTGGAATTGAGAGTGGTTGACTTCCGGATAGATCGATCGGATCCGCGGAAGGCAGGCAGGCTGCTCTCCGGAGGATGTAGGTCGTTTGTATCATTAGCCATCAAGCTGTCAGTTCCTCAGACATGCCACGTCTTCGTTAATGAGGCTCACTTAATTGCAGGCCGCAGAGATCGCAAAGTTCGTCACACAGTAGAGAGCATGGTTTTATTTCCCTTGAGAGGAAGAGAGAGAGAGAGAGAGAGAGAGAAAGGAAGAGGGAAAAGTCTTTGAAAACGTCTTACACTCCTTGTTAAAGAAAACGAGGTGAAAGTTTAATCCGATTCGGAACATTGCGCTATCCTATCTTTCGTTTAGTCTTATCAGCCGACAAAGGATCGAGGTAAAAAGTCTCGTTTGATAGACGAGACTTTCAAAGATACACCACCGATTGTTATACACATTAGATATGTCTTTGATATGTTGAGACCACCTGAGGGGTGTCGGCCGAGTCGCCTTCCAGCGCGTCTGATTGTGGCATATCTGAGGTTCGCGCGTAAGAGTATAAATGAAAATATCGAATATCAAGCATGATTCGGGATTCAACGAATCGGGGGCGCAAGCACTTAAACGTTCGTGCACATCTCTAAGTTTCACGTTGAGGATTCTCGGTGAATATCTGCAAACAACCCCGCCTGCGGAGGTGGGGGGGGGAGGGGAGAAGGGTAACACGAAATTTCCGTTGCGCGTAATACCTAAGAGTGCAGAGAATGGCGCTGTGAATGGCCACGCGAGTCACTCGATCGACGAAATCAGCAGACGGGATCATCTCGTAAGATCCAGAGCGAGATCTGTCGCCCGTCATATTTTTTACAACAGTTTTGTGATAAAAACGAGGCCCGGGGCCGTACACACGTGGCCCGCCACGTTGGAGAACGACAATAAGTCCACGCTCTTCAGTCGTGCCTAAACACATGTCTAAGGATCGTTTCCCTTCTCGTTTGGTTACTCCTTCGTCGCGAGTTCCGCTTCTCAACGAATCCTCATCTCTGAAAGCAAACGCGATGAGCGGCCGGTCGCACCGAAAAATACTCTTGATAATGGATCTTACAATTAGCCGCGACTCTACTTATATTTTGCGAAAGCTCCGAGACTGAAGCGTATATCGTGAAGTCGAAGCTTCGTTGATTACGCCGCGCGTTATATCGAAACTCCGTTTGTAGGCAGGGACATTTGACGAGGAGGATACTTCGTCAATTTAAAGGAGAATCAATACGTCTTTTACATCGATAGTCCAAGGGATTCTTTAAAACTTTAACCCGAACTTTACCCCGTTATCTTTCATTAGAATTCACGCGATATACCCGCGTATGCAATATTTGCGGACGTCCTTCCTGCAAGAGGAATTAATTAATCGATCGGTTAGTTGTAGAATGCTGCGTGTCAGCGACTAGATCGAGGTATGTCCCGAAGGCGACAATAACGTTCAAACCTTCGCAGACAATAATTCTACGCGGACAATAATTAAACAAGGCGAGGTTTGACAGATAGCAATCGTGAGGCCTCGGTGCGCGTGACATAGCTCAATCGCTGAAACTTTTAGGTATTTCTTTATCTTTTAGGTATTCCGATACTTCTTGGGGTGGGGCTCGATTATTTATTTACATGAAATAATAGAAACATAGCAATAAAGGAAGAGACGGTGAGTAGGAGGAGACAGGGGAAGAGTCATGCGAGTCGACATGAGATGTTCGTCGAAATTAAAGTTATACAGGGTGATCCGGAACAGGGTTCCCTGTCCTTGAAATGACACATTCTCCAACGAATTCTAAGACGATTTCTCCTCTTGCAAAGTATTATCCGAAGATCAGTTTTTGAGTTATAAAGGCAAGTAGTTTGCCTCACTTTTGAGTCAGATATAGGAGATAGGCAAGGACGCAGCATAAGAAACTCACCTCGTCAAGCTTGGGCGCTTAATGCGACGAGCTTATCGATGAATGTGATAACATTATACATATCGTTTTTATAGCTTCCGTTAATGATTGTACATATCATATCGAGTGCCGCGAGAGAGGTCTGTGTGAGGCCGACACGCGTTTCTCTCCTACGCAAACGCGTATGATTGCACAACGAAATAAGATAGTCGATGGCGATGTTGTCTAGCATGAATAAATTGATTATTAAGCAGCAAAGATTAATGCGATCGTAATAACGAATGAAGAATGTTTTAAATCAGCGGGATATGATTATAACGTAACATTATTAGGAGGATAAAATATTTGATATTACGCGAGCACATTTCCAAAATAAACTTTGCAAATACAAGCGAGAAAGACAGAGCGTTAATCACTGGATTTGGAAAGTCTAAGATATTCTTGCCTTTAAGAAAACCGACGACGAATTTGTACTCCTTTGTTGTAAAGATATTCTTTTTTTTTAAGAATGACAGCTTTTACCATCAGTTTGCGCGCGATTAGTTTTATTTTCAATTTTACATTCGATTCGATCGTGAATTGTGAATTTTCCTTCCTCCTCGTGGCAGACAAAGTTGAAGAGAACAGTAGTTAACATACTTTCATCGGTCGCACTCTCTATCAGATTATCACAGAGTACGGTTTCTAACTTTGTGATAGCGCTGTCATCAAACAGTAAACAACAGAATCACCTTCCTTCTTTTTTAAACGCCACTTTTCAGTATTATTACTAATTATAATCATATCCTACTTATCCTGCCAATTTGAAACACTTCATTCATTATTATGATCGGTCTTTGCTGCTTGACGATCACATTAATCCCATCATGCCGGACAACATCGCCGCAATCAACTATTGCATTTCGCTGTGCGATCATGCAGGTCTGCGTAGAAGAGAAACGCGTGTCGGCTTCTCAGATCTTCTTTGCGTCACTCGATATGACACGTATCGGATCATTAACGAAAAATATAAAAATGATACGTACAATGTTATCACATGAATCGATAAGTTTATCGCGTCAAGCGCGTCACAACTACGTCACTGCCTACGTCTGGCGATGAGTTATCCCTTTAATAACTGATTCGTGATAGACAAATTACTTACCTTTATAGCTCAAAAACTAAATTTTGGATAACATTTTTTGCAAGAGGAAAAGAATTCGTTTTAGAATTCGTACAAGAACATGTCCATTCCAAGGACAGAAACTTGTTCCGGACCACCCTGTATACATGAAGACGCGTGACGTCTTCATGCACACTTCGATATAGTACAATTAAATTCGCGATAACGACGTTGTCGATACGACATAGATATCCGAGGGAAATATCTTAAATTGTAGATTTTCCGTAGCCAAGTGTCTTGCAAAATCCAATATTCTGGATAATCTAAATAATCGTTTGAAGACGATGTTGTATCAATGATGGTATCAAGATGGTACCGTCCTAAATAATAGGATAAATTTTCTTATTACGTTATGCATTATTTCACACTGAGCAGAAAGTAACGACGTCAATGAAGATTCAAAAGTCCAGGACCGTCACGAGACATTCGGATATCGGGAAAATTCGCGCAATACGAGCGCAATCGTAAGGTATCTGTGTCGTATGGATACCACGCTGCTCTAGTGAATACGAGAAACGCAGACAAACAAAAAGAAGGAAGACGCGGCTATCAACTGATTCTTCGTTAATCTTCATCGGGAGACAATGCGCTAATCGCTCGGGAGATCGCAAAGCGAGACGTTCGTAGATCGCGTTCGCGCTCGCGAGTACAAAACTGGATCCCGAATGGAAACATTCTCGCGCGAGTTCTCTCAATTCGAAGACGGACATTCGGACAATGCCCACGTAGCGGCTTAAAACTTGAAACGTATGAAAGTATTCGTAAAGGAAAAAAAAGTGATAACAAATTGAAAGTACAGTAAGAAAGTACCGATAAGCTATTAAGTAGACAAAAATCGTGAAAGTGAATTTACAGAAGTCGAAGTAAGATCGAAATATTAGGGAAAAAAAAAGAAGCAGTATATTATACATTGTCTAGATGTATTTCGTATACATACGTATATATTTGCATACATATACGATCTATATACAAGATACATACACATATACACACGAATACTCGATTTTCATTGTATACATATAAATATATATGTATGTTATTTACGACCGCTCGCATACACACACACACACACACACACATATAGGTATGCGCGATCGAAGGCAAACGGAACGTCTACAAGGAAGCAGAGTAGAAATCATGAGATGGATTTCGCGCCGGATTTCGCGGACGAACAACAGTAAGAATTGGATTCTCGAACTGACAAATTTCGACTGCTTTCGATTTTCGATAGTATAAGGGGAGGAGGAGGAGGGATGCTCTCGAAGATAGACACATCAATGCCAAAACATTAGGATGGAGAGAAAAATATATTGCGTGCAAATAAATCGCGGCAGAGAGGAGGCAATTGCGGAGATTATCCTCGCGTGTTTCCGCGATATCGGAAATTGGAAGCGACGCTGTCGAAATTCTTCGATCCGACTGTCCGATGCGAAATTTGGATGACACTCATATACGTAATGCGAACGAAACACACACGCACATCGCAGCTAAACGGCGACGTCGTAGTGCAACCCTGTGCGCGAGCTTACGAGTCGAGTAGCCGGAAAACTTTCCGTTGGCCGAAGATCCACAAAATTAGTCAATTTAATGCGAGACCTTTTTAATGCGATACAGATGTACCGATATACTCGCGTAGAACCGTGTAAAGTACGCGTGTATCGGCAAAAGTATCGCGTCTCGTGTTCCCGTCGACAAATAAGATTATAGTCGTACATGTCGTGCGTTATACGTTATTATATTGTATACGCATATATTAATATATATATATATATACACACACACACACATCGCGGTCATGTTGTGGCTGTAATTAAATACGTCAACGCGTGTGTGATCATCGCATCGGAGAATGCTTCGACTAACATTAGAGCGTAAAAGGCGCGCTTAGAAGCATTAATTTCTTCTCGTTACGACAATAATACTTCAGATAAAGCCTGATGCACGTGTTATGACTGAGCAACAAAGTAGAGTTTATTGTTTGTTCATTTGAACGGCGCGTTTTATTGCATCGCGATGCGATCACGCGTACGGAGTGTTTGGGAATCGTCGTCGAGCGTTTCTCGACGAGCGGATCTCGGCGTTTCCCTTTAGAAATCGATCGATTTGTCTAATGTGACGTGATTCTAACGGAAAAGGGGGGGGGGGAGTGAGGATTGTAGTAAAAATAAACATCTCGAGATGTGTCAATTAGTTGGCAAAGTGTGGGCTAATTAAAAGGGGGGAGTTCTTCGACGAATTAAAAATCCGAGAGATACAATCAGCTTTAACTTCAAGCCGATTTGAAGCTCTTTTGAAGGAATTTCAGCGCGAGACTCGATCAATGAGATGTCCCAAGCGAAAAATTTGCAAGTCATTTGCAAGGTCGTTTTCGATTAAGTGTCTAATTGGAAGAGCAACTTAACGGCAATCGCGATCTCAGGTTTCGCCGGAAAGGGAAAAATCGCGCGCTAAACTCCTGTTGCCAAACACCCCGTACACGCAACGATAATAAGTCTCACTCTTCGTGACATCAGTGACAATGCAGGGCGGATAATGACGGGTCGCGATTAGAGAGAGAGAGAGAGAGAGAGAGAGAGAGAGAGAGAGAAAGAGAACGCTTGCATTAATGACGACACGAAACGATGATGCCGCAACGGACGGCGGCAGCGGACACGTCGCATTTTTTTCGTGCGGTGCATCGACCGCGTGCGTTTTAAAAAAGGCACACACGAAGATAGAAAGTCGGAAATACTTGCGACACACGAAATTAATGACATGTACGCGATAACTGTCATCTAACCAGCGTACCGTCCGCGTCATCGTTGCGCCGAGAGAGAGAAATGATTCGTTGTCGGTTTAACGTTGGGAAAGGAGTACCTGAAACTCGGTCGGACAACTAATAATTTAGCTGAAAACACGAGAAAAGTATACAACAGCGAAACACTTTCCCTCGGCATGGTCGAAAGCGAATCAATTATGCCGCGAATCGTGATAAATATAAATAAAGTACGAGGAGCGCGAGAAAGGGGGACAAGAATCCGCCTGACGGCGCGGAAAAGTCGATTCTAAATTTATGAAAAAAATCTGCGCGTTCTCTGGGAGACATTTCGTTCCTTGCAACAGATACTGACAAGTCTATTTTATATTTTTATATTTATCTTTCTACCCTCTAGAGATTTATATTCTAATTGATTGCTTTTTGTCGTTACCGGCCGTATACCAGCTTAGCATCTTTATCGTATTCGATCGCGCGCTTTATTTTTAAATTTTATTCGAACCCAACTCTAATCGTGACTCGTCCTTTACACGAGAGATAAAGAGGGTTGTGTTTTAAGAGTATCTATATATTGTATATTCATCATTGTAATCGAAGTAGTGACGGGCCTAACGTTATCCACGATTTCATTCACCATACCAGGGGGACGGTTTCTGTGTGGACTCGAGATATCGATAGATTATAATTATTACGGAGAAGAACCTAGGATGTAAGTTCTAATGCTGTTCGAACAATAATACTGATACTTATATATATATATATATTTACATATACAAACATATATATATATAATATATGTATAGCTCCAATAATAATTTACGACAATAAATAAGTGAAACACGGGGTGGGCCGATGCAGCCTGTAGATGCAATCGCAATTTGCCCGATGAATTCGCGAACGTCACAGGAAAAGGTGCACTTGCGAAACGATCGTTGTTGATCGCGAGATTCGTCGTTGATGTTAGATTTGATTAGCATAGTTTTATTTTCGGCACACCCTGTACCGCTTTGCAGTGACGATTAGCTTTATAAAACGGACTCCATTTCTGCAGTCTCATTCTCCGGATCCAGTATATAACATCGGACATTCCCAATCATCGTGTTTGAATATTCGTGTATCGTAACTGTCGATTGTTCGGTGAATCAGCAACAAGAAATCAGCTAATCTGTCACCATTTATCAGCTCAACAGCCTTACGTCTATTAACAAATTCTCTGAAAAAGCAATTTTAGAAACATAAGTTGAAGCTGCAAACGAGAGAGAAGACGAGTAGATTTCTTTAGAAAGTTCCGAAAACTTTAAGATTGTATATAAAAGAAAATTGTGTCGGAATTCAAATATCCACATATTCATCGCTTTAAGGTTTTTGTATTTTGTATTAATACATTATACCCGA